CAGTTTATTTGCTTGTTCGACTGACAACCCAATCCTTCTGACAAAGTGGGCATCTGTTATTTTGGCGAATCCATTGAGTCATACAGCAGTGATGGAATGAGTGATTACAATCTCCCCAGACTACACAACATTCTGAATTCGGTTCGGATTGACAGCGAAGGCATTCCTCTGAAAATAAATCAATTTCATAATCAATAGTTTGGTCAAAATATGAATAACAATGTTTTTTTCTTTTTATTTTCTAGCTCCTTGAACGAATTTCTTCAAAAATAAAATAAAAATTAACAACTCACCCATTAAATGAACTCTACAGATCGCACATGTGTCGCATTCAACATCCCATGCCCAAGTGGCCAACGCGTTCCACTTCTTCAGAACGAACGGACGAGTTTCAGTTGGGTTTGAAGTTTTCTGTTTTCTGAAAAAAAAAACGGCATGGAAATGTATGCAGAGTAGTTACTTACTGAACACTAGCACTGTCCTCCTCCATCGGGGTTCCAGCAGAATTGCTTGGTGTACTCATATTCGCAAAAATATTGATTTCTGACCGGATTTCGACTGGTTTTGCGCAAGAAAATTGAATCGAAAAAATTGACAACGACACTCCGATATTCCGTTGCGCGCGCGTTGTTTAGCCAAACCCAAATTTCGAATTTTATCCAGTTTCTCTTCTCTTTTTCTTGAAAAAGTAATATCAAAAGGATACTTCCAGTCCAAAAGTAAAAAATGTCCAGGAGAAGGCAGAACGATGGTATGTTTTGACTCAATAAGAACTCGAAAAAGTTTTCATTCATTTTAGAGGAAGATGAGATCCAGATGAAACGACGTCGTGGAGCTCCACTGATTGGAGATGTCGAGAAAAAACTCCAAGAAGTTATTGGAAAAGTCGGAGATAAAGTAAGAGTTAACACAAGTATTATTTTAGATTTTGACAGCGACGTGTTTCATGATCCAATTACTGTTTCCAGAATACGGGCTCATCAATCGAAGCTAATCTGGAAAAGCTCACAGCTTTCTTGCATGACGATCTCGAAAAATATAGATCCTCAATTATCGATATTGTTGCTGGATGTGCCATATACCTCCCGAATCGTGTCACTGTCTATACTACCCTTGTCGGCCTTCTAAATGCGAAGAATTTCAATTTTGGAGGAGACGTTGTAGAAAAACTGATTGCTGAACAACAAGATCTTCTGTTGAAACAAAAATACCAAGAAGCACAGAATCTCGCCATCTTCCTTTGTGATCTTGGAAATTCGGGAGTGTTGACAGCTCAGTCCATCGGAGAATACTTGGAAAGCTTTATAGCAGCCGCATTTGAAGAGAACATGCCCCAGGTACTAACATTCCAAACTCATGTTCAACGGAAAATAATTATTATTCAGGTTCGAAACGACTACTACATTCAAACTGTTCTTCGTTGTCTTCCTTGGATTGGCAAGGAACTAACAGAAAAAGCTCAAGAGCAAATGGAAAATATTGTTGAGGCTGTCGGAAAATATCTCGAAATGAGAAACAAAAATCATGTACCTGTAAGTTTGTATTATATTTAAAGGAAGGTAATACAAGTATATGCTTGCAGCTTCTTCGTGTTTGGCGCGAAGGATCTACGGATCAAGAACAAGAAGATTATTTGGAAAGTTTGTCTGCTCAGATCGAAAATCTGCGAACAGCAAACTGGATGCAAAACCATATTCCAAGATATTACAATACGTTTGAGGCTGTTCTTCAAGATGCTCTTCAACATAATCTACCCAGTTTCTCTTCTCCAGAACACACTTCCGATATGATCTACCCATATCCACTTGTAGTCTTCCGGCTTTTCCAAGACGCTGATTGTGGAACTGTGAGTCTTGGTTATTTGTGTGTTTTATAAATGTTTTTGTCGTTTACAGGACAGCCAACTTCCTAGTGGTCATTCCATTGATCGTTTTCTTTTCGAAGGCGAAATCTCATGGATCATTGAGAAGAACCAGTTTAATCGAAAATCGTGTGCTCGAGAACTTCTGGCTTTTGCTGATGAGAATCCAACAGCACCAGTTGGATTCCTCATCTTTGAAACTATCTTCGGTCAGATGCTCCGTCTTCCACACGCTCCATACCCAGCCATTTTCCACTGTAAGTGTTTCTGGAGTTTTTTTAGTGATAACATTTGATTTCTGCAGGTTCTCTCGTTCTCGAACTACTGAAGCTTAAACCTAACGATTACCCGAATATATTGTGCAAAACTGTGGACTTGATTTTTAGTCGCGCTGATTCAATGCAACCTATCTGTATTGACAGGTAGTATTTAATTTTTAGTTTGGTTAAAATGAATGATTTTTAGAATGGTAGACTGGTTCAGCTTCCATCTCTCCAACTTCCAATATCGTTACACATGGGATGAATGGAAGGATTGTATTTCCGTATGATTTTCAGGTTGATGCCCTTATAGTAAAATTTGATTTTCAGAATGACGAATTCTCGGGACGCCAAGTCTTTCTGCGAGAGGTAATTGAGAAATGTCGTCGCCTGGGATCCTATGAGAAAATTATCGCGGCCTTGCCATCAGATTTCGTCAAAATTCACCCAGCGTCTCCAGAAATCAGATATCTACTCGACGAAGGTATCAACTACTTATCAATAGAAAAAGTTTCCGAACGTTATCAATTTTTCAGAAGACGCCATGAGTCAACGTGCTGAAACATTCACACAGATGTTTCAAGAGCGACAGCCAGCGGACGCATTCCTCAAAGAGCTGAAGTCAACCGATGAGAATGATGAGCTTCCATATAATATTAACGAATTCGGGGTTTTCGTCACTGTCATGCTGAAGATGGCATCAAAAACTTATTCTCATAACTTTTCGGCACTTTTTAGGTAGTTTGTGTTTTTTAAAATTATTCTTCCTACGTTTAACATTTCAGATACAAAGACACTCTGAAAACAGTATGTGATGCAGCTGAGCAATATCAAGAGAAGCTCCTTGAAACACTTTATTCTTGCTGGAAGTCTAACCAACAAATGTTGATGATCCTCACTGATAAGCTTCTGAAAATGCAGATTATCGATTGCTCATCTGTTGTCGGTTGGTTGTTTGATGAAAAGATGTGGCAAGAACACAACCGACAATGGCTGTTCGAAGTGCTCAATCAAGCTCTTGAGAAGCTTACCAGACAGATTAATGTGGTTGAGAAGGATATCAAAGATTTGACAGAAAAAGTTGAGAGCAAAGAGAAAGTTACTGAAGCAGGAGATGTCAAAATGGAAGAGGAAACCGTGGTGGATGAAAAACTAAAAGGAGAAATGGAGGAATTAGAAAATCACAAAGAAAAATTGGACAGGATGGTTTCTTTCCAAAGAAATCTTTTCAACGATTTCCTTATCGTACGTTTAGAACACTTGAGTCCTGCGGGAATTTACTGGAAAAGATTTCAGGCATTCGTTGAAGAAATCAAAAGTGCTGCTACCAACACTTCCGAGATGGATGGATCAGGCGATGTCGGGGGAAGTGAATCGTCAAAGTTTCTATGGCTCCGTGGAAGATTCTGCCACGTGTTGCTAGCGGTATGTCCATTTCATCTAGGCTAAAACACCATTTGCAAGTAATAATTCGTATTCAGCACGCTGAAACACTTCTGAAACATTCGTCAAGTATCGCCGAAGAAGTTTTCTCCGAAGGAGCCGATCCAAATATTTCAGAATGCTTCAATCAATTCCAATCACTTCGTTTCTAAGTCCCTCTCCAAATGTGCAATCTCGTATAATTTCACTGTTTCTGTTATAATCATCCCTCCCCAAACTAAATCTCCTTGAAATCTCCCTCGCCGGGTTCTATTTAATTGTTAATCGACTTTTCGATCTATTTCCTGGAACCTCGAGCAATGTGAAAATTTAATTTGTTGTGTTTGACATCATTTTTTATCCGACCATATTTATTTTTCGATCTAATCAAAGATTTTCGACGCGTTTTTCGATTTGACAGGCCATTATCGAACACATAAGCATCGAAAAAAGTAATAAGAAATTGACACATAAAGAAATCAAAAGTAGGATAGGAATGTGGAAGGCAGGGGATGAAGGATCATGATCAATAGAGAAAAATGAAGCCGTGGTTGTATCATTCGGAATCTTGGGAGCAACAGTGGGAGAGGTAGATGATAAGGATGAGCGAAGACGTCGGAATGAATAACATCCTGAAAATATTTTTCATATAGAAAATCAGTTGTTCCCTTTAAAAGATCCACAGTTTAATTTTTCGACGAAAATTTTAGATCCTTTTTACTTTTCCAGCTATTTTTGCCGATTTTTTTCATGTGTTTCGCTGTAAATCATTGGGACGGTGTCCGCGAAGATTACTATAGATTACTGTAGGAAACTGATTTCCTGAAGTTAGAAAAAACTTTTTTCCCGAAGTTTCTCCACATTTTGACGCGATTATGTTTTTGCAAAGAAACTACAGTAATCTTGATGAACATCATCCGGTGATATGCATTTGGCAAACAAAAAGCTGGAAAAAAAAACAAAAAAGAATCTGAAAAATAGCTGAAAAGGCTAAAAAGGTAAAAAATTTCGTCGCGAAATTTAAGTAAATAATTTTTTACCGCAGAAAATCTTTCAACATTCGAGCGCTGTATGGGATGACCTAGAAACAACACTGGTAAAAAAGAAATCTGCGCTTTGGAAGAGAAAAACCGGTGTCAGTGGCCGAATGTCTCATAACGATAACTACAGTAACCTGAAAAATATTTACATTTTCAGGATTCCATTTCTCGTTGTTTACTAATTTTCGCCGATTCTTCCATTATTTTTCCCCGAACAAGTCGGAAAATAAAAATTTTAGACTTAAATCAGGGAAGTTTTTAGGTTACGGTAGTTGTCGTTGTGGGACCACGGCGTTTCTCTTCCTCAGCTTCGATTTTCTGTACCAGTATAAATAGTATTGGCCGGTGTATGCTAAAATATTCCATTTGTTGTTTCGTCTTTGAGAACTGACCCGAATTTTTTTCTAATTCTCTATAAACTTCCATCTGTTCCAACATCCAATCATATTGTTCTCTACAGTAACCCAAACCGCTTTTCAGCATTCGTTCCTCATCATATTGGTTTACGAAAGACTTCAAATTTGAAGTTCTGAAAAATTAAATTAATTTTCTTTTTTTTAGAGTTTATTCTTTACCTGTTAGCCAAGTGCATAGACCAATAATACGGCGCACATGGCTCACGAAGCCAGACAGGAAGAGTCATTGTTGAGTGAAGAAGATGTCGGAGTAAGCGGAAGTTCTCCCGAGAAATCAAGAGGAACGAAGCGGGAAATTCCTGAATTTCTGAACTGATTTTTTGATTTTTAAAAGACCAAAATACCATCAAGGGATTTCCGTCGATTTTCAGTTGGGACAATCCACTTAACATCGCCATTACTTCTGGAGGCATTGAAGAGCTTTTATGTAGCATGTTGTTGGCCAAATTTAATCGAGCCAAATGACAATTCGCAGTGACTGCTTGAGGTATTCTTGTCAAATTGCAAGAGTCCATATCAAGATATCGAAGCGATTTTAGAGGAACGAAGGAATAAGGAGAAATCGTTTGGATTGGCATTCGAGATAGGGATAACGTTTTCAAAGAAGCCAATCCATAGAAATGATCAGGAGATAAGGTCTGGAATTGAGCTATCGTGAAACATAGGGGCCGTTTAATAGAAGGGCCCACTGAGAAGGACTCAGTAATAGAAGGGCTTTTTTCAAAATGTGTTGTTTGAAAATGAACATTTCCGTATGTTTTCAATGAAAATATTCCGGAAAGTCCACAATTTTGCAGAAATTTGTTGAAACTTTTATTAACTCGAAAATTTGCTCAATTTTGGTGAAATTGATATATTTTCATGAATTGCGAACGAGAATTCACCGAATTTTTAGATGAAAACATTCGTAGAGAAATGACCGGAAAAATAGAACGGGCCCTCTGGAGATACCTTGGAACAATAGAAGGGTCGGCCCTTCTAATACTGGTCTTACCGCATTACTTGTTGGAAAGTTTTGAAACATACTGAAATATTAGTTCTACTCAATTTCAGCCACTTCAATCGAATGTTCTTTGCAAATGGTTTGTATGGCAACATTTTTATTGGATTCCCAGTTAGGTCCAACACTCGAAGATCAACGCATTTACTGAATGTATGAGAGGCAAAAGAAGTTATCTGGAAAATCCTTTTGAAACTTTTTCCTGTCAAAATGAGTACCAAACCTGATTATAACTGAGATCCACATGAATTAAAAGCGGTGAAACAAAGAGAAGTCGATGAAGATTTTCGATTCGATTATGGGAGAGTTTCAAACTTTTAACTGCAGGAAGTTGAGCAATTGGGGATAGGGAAGATATTGAAGTGCCTGAAAAATGATATTTTTAGGAACCTTTGAAAATAAACAGTCTTGCCCTTCAAATATACGGTTGACAAAGATTTGCTGGTTGATATCCATTTTGGTAGTTCCGTAATTGATGAGTTCTCAATATGAATGTATGTTATAGTATTAACAAAAGGAGACGGTTGAAGCCAGAACTCGAAATCTACGTTCACCAAAGACAACACTCTCAAATATTTTAAATTTCTCAATGAAGTGTGAAAATGGGCTCTTGTTCGATGTCTGAATATTACACTTTTCGAATGTAATGATTTTGAAACCTACAGTAAGACAACTTGGAATGAACCCAAATTTGGAAAACATTCCCCGAAATCAATTGAATCATAAAGCGGATGATAGTGTTGGAATGTTATGGAAGTGACATTTTGAGAACAGGATCCAAGAAGGAATTCTTTTGTGAGACTGAAATAGTTAATATAGTTTCTTAGCACCAAAAAATAATTAAATACCTTCCATTAGAGTTTTCCACTACAATGGTATATGGAGAATTTGGATTTGGAAGGTTGGGTTGTCTACAGGAAAATGGAGAAGCGTTGGGTTGATGGTCAAGCCATTGATAGGGTTTCTGAATTTTCTATTTCATTATCAACATTTCGAAAGTAAATCAAATACATTTTCAGATTCAATCTGTTTCAATTGGCAATCCAAATCTCTAGTGATTGTTAAGAAACAAGAGCATTGTTCATGACAGAGTGCCGAGAATTCACAGCTTGGAGTGAGACTGTGATTCAAAGAACAGCATACCTGGGAATGGATTTTGTTTCAGAACTACAGAACAATTTACCAACCAGATTGATTCCATGTGCTTGAGCATGAAGAGGTTCACAAGAATCAGAACACCTAGAGGACACAGCTAATAACAATAATAGAATAGTCCACTTCAACATATTGTTTTTTATCTACTCATAGAGACAAAAATAAGAAATTGGTCATACTGAATCGGACCTCCCTATCTCTCAAAAAATGTTGAATTTTGAAATTTTGTGAGCATGAAGTCAAAAAAATGTGGATCGCATAAGAAATGCGTTCTCATCAAGGCTCTATTCAAACAAAAAAAGATGCAAAACGGAGAGAGCGCGAGAGATGAAGAGACGCAGAGAATGTACATTTTTGAGCATTTACTCCTCGGTTTTTTGACAGCCTGGGGGCGAGTATTCTACAAATTAGATATATAAGAAATGTTTTGTGAAACAAACAGTAGAGAAAAGAGTGTATTTATGTGTGTGTGTGTGTGTGCTTGAATTGTGTAAAGGGGGACTCCCACCAAAATGTCTATTTCATTAAAATGTTTGAAAATAATTTTTGCCGACAGCGTTTTTAAACGTTTTATAAATGCGGAAAGATTCCGGAAAAAAGATAAATGCGGAAAGATTCCGGAAAACTGCCATGTAAAAAGGCGTGGCCTAGGATTCCCACTGCACAAAAACTCAAATCCTCTTCTCTATTCGTCAATTTTTAAAAAAAACTTTCAACAGCGTTTTTTAGGGATTTCGGACGTTTTTTTTTGGATTTTCTCAAAGTAATCTTATGAAAATACTTAACTTTGGGAACATTTTAGTCGGAGTCCCCTTTGAAGCTATTTTTGACCTTGGCCTTTAATCAAAATCACTAAAACACCAAAACAAATGCGGCTGCGATAAAATGAGAATGTTCCCTCCGCAAACTTGGGTATAAAAATCCCGAAAAGTTCAAATATCAATGCGTTCAAAATGATTCGGAAAGTAACCGTCGTCCTTCTGTATTTGGTTGTGGTAAATGCTGTTGACTTTGGATCAGATTTCAGTAGTTGTGAAGATAGTTACGAAGGAGGAGGTAGTGGTGGAAACGGAGTAAGTTGAAAAAAATATTTTTAAAAATTGAGAAAAATTTATTTAGGGGAAGAGCAGAAACGGCTGTCCGAGGGGATGGAGAAGATTTAATAGAGATTCCGGAGGATGGTGTATGAAGGTTGGCTCAGTTTAGGGATCTCAAGAAATTCAACTAGCTTCAGGTTTTCGCAAGAACGAATATCGAATACACTGACGCTGCATCTGCTTGCTCCAATGTAGACGCAGTTTTGTCCGGAATTCAAAATTCGGAAGAGAAAGATTATCTGGCAAGAAGTGCCAGTTCAAATCTGGCGTCTTCAACGGGATCCCTTTGGATTGGAGCGAAAAGAACTGCTGCTTGTGCTAGAAGCAAATTGACAGCTACTTGTTCAAAAACTGTAAATTTGATCATAAGGGAACTGAAATTGACTATGAGTTCAATTTTTCAGACATCTTTCTATTGGACAGATGGAGTGACCACTGGAACTGCTGGATTCTCCTGGCTTGACGGAAGTCAACCGGATAACGCTCTTGGGTATGCCTGAAAACTTTTTTAAAGGTACTGAATCATGCGAATTCAGAGGAAACCAAGACTGTCTTTCCTTCTTCTTCGCACCATCCAAAACTGTCATTGCACGTGTTAACTGGTTCCCTGGAGCAATGGACGATGTCAAGTGAGTTTCGAAATATTCCAAGTTCTACATTCAAGATTTTTTTGTTTTGAGTTGCGATGCGAGCCAGTTCAATTCAATCCTACAGAGAAGAATTCAAGGATACGTTTGTGGAAAAGCTGCTACTTCTTAATAATTCAGTTTTGAAATAAAGCAGAACTTGAGTGTACCAAAATTTTGAGGAATATGTAGTTGATTTCATAATGTGTTACAACATGGTTTTTTATGTTTTCAATTTTGTATGCAAATTCAAAGCAACATTTTGCAGAAGACAACAGTTTATCTTGTTCTATGAGTTTCTGTGAGAGTATACAAATTATTAGTCTCTATAGACAAAAAACCGTTTCTTGAGAAATTAATACAATACAAAGGACTATACACACCGCCAACTTTGAGGTCATATATCTCGCTTTCTGTGAAACATATCATAAAGTAATCAATTGATATAATGTTACTAATAACAGAACATTTTGTGAGTTGACTACTTTTTGATATCTTTCATAGGAACTAAGAAATATGATTAGGCACCACAAAATAATTTTCAAAATAGATATTTTCTTATTTTTATTGTTGGATTCTTTTCTCCACTCTTATAGAAGTCCATTCCCAAAGTCGATTAGAAGTCGAAAAAGTCGAAAGTCGATTAGATGGGGACAAGTTTTAACCCTAAAAATAATGAGTTTCTAACGCCCGATACAAGACTTCAAAGATGGACTTCTGAAAAGGGGAGAACAATTTGATCGCCCCGCCCCCTTTCATTGCGGCGCCTAAATATGATCTCAAAGTTGGCGGTTTGGGTAGCCTTCTATTATAGTGTTTCAAAAATCATTTAGCCTGGAGGCTTGACCATTCATTTTTCAAAGTTACTTTTTGTCTATTGAGCTCTATAATTACTCTATTCTGATAAGACTTTTTCCATAATTTCCTAATCTTCTTTGTCATGCATTGATTCACAGTAATACAACAGGTCCCTGGTCAACCTAGTTGCCTCTATTGACTTTCTGCCAATCAAACGTTCACTACTTTCCACACAGGAGCCATTACTGAATTGTCTATTGATTTTCAGACATTCTTCTATCCTAGAGAAGAAAACAATTGAGAGTCACCTACTCAGACTTAGTCTACCTGAAGATTTCGAAATGTCTGTCGTTTCAAAATCTTGAGGCGAGGCGACTAGTTTCTCTGTTTTACTGTTTTCTCTTTTCCAAGCTACTCTCTCATTTAAAAGAATTTTTAGTATTTCTCTATTAGGTCTTTTTGTTCAAGAATATTTTCTGCGACATACCGTAACAGTCTAATAAATAGAAGGCTCCCTATACTCACACTTTGAGATCAATTATCTCAATTTCTATAAGAGATGTTAAAAATCTGTCAACAAAATTTTGAAATCTCTCATGGGAACCGAGAAAGTTGAGCTCGAAGTTGAAAGTTTGGACGCTCTTCTGTTACAGGTTTTACTGTTTTTTTTTAATTTCTGACTTTCGAATTGTTATTCGCAGAAAGAGTTAGAAAACAGAAAAGTTGACTGACATGACTTCTTCAATTTAATAGGTTTTTCAACATTTCTAATCTGTTGTGCAGTATCAACATACAGTAATCCAACGGACCCTTATAGGCCTAGTGACATATTTATCAAGTGTCAATCAAATGTATGTCGATCACTTTTTCCCAAAAGAACCATACTACATACTAGGAGAATTGAGAAACAACTATTCAGAAACAACATAACGTTGTCTACCGACATATTTCGAAATATTCTGTTTTATTTTTTTTCGATTCATTACGAAATCGCCTGTCTATCTTGTTTGCTTTTTTATACTTACTGATAGCGAGTTTTCTTATTCTTGTTTTGATTTCGAATATTTCAGATAATGTCTTACTTCTCGTACGCCACCTCTATGTTGAGCAGCATGCTCAACAACGTGGCAGAGCAAATCGGGAGCTATGTCAACATCCCAGAAACTCAGGTAGACAGACAGACAGAGAATGAGGGGACGGATCCGGAGAAGGAGGTGAAGAAGGATGCTCCAGAAGCGGTGGAGAAGGAGGAACAGAAGAAGGAACCTTGTGAGGTCGGAAAGATGAACGATGACGAATTCGAACTAATCACCGATCACGAGTTGTATGTCATAATGTTCGAGCGAGATGGAGGGGTCGTCACAGAAGAGAACTTCTTCATCAATTTGGAAGAATCTATTGCCAACCATTAGTTAAACATTTTTTATCTAATTTCTTCTCGAACTTTATTTTATCAAAATTTCATCCACCATATTCATCTTCCCAATATTCCCATTCGGTTTTCTTTTTTGTAATATTCTCACTGTAGTTCACCTTTTCTCCCATACCCACTTTCATGTTATCCGTTTTCCGGTGTATCCCGGGCATCAATAATTTTTGCGGGTTCATGAATAAATATTATTGCTTTATAAAATGAATTTCTAGCAGAAAAAGGTCATCGTGCACATAGAGGTTCCACTTATGGATTACTGTATTTTTTCTTCTCCCGGGAATGTGGGAACTTCGCCCAAAGTTCCACACTATGATGTCTCCTGAAAACGTAGTCATCTTATAAGATTTCGAATAAAATGTTTTAAACGAGAAAAGGAGGAGATATGTTTCAGCTAACATGAAATAATTGAAGGATTACGGTAGTTTTGGTATAGTTTTAGCTTTGATATATTTTCGAACACCGAAGTAAGGGTATAGGGTTACTGTAGGAAAACCCGAAAAAATCAGTAAGCAAATTTCCGTATAAAAGTTTTTCTCCATCGAATTATCAAAGCTTTAGCTTTCATTAACTCATATTCTTTGTTAAAAATCAAACAAAAGACACAGTTTCGTAGAATAATTATTATTTTCCTTCCATACACTCTGACCCAATATTTTTCTAGAATTCCTATTTTGTTTTTTTTACCAAGAACTGAATACGCAACGTGCAACGTGCCTTTAATTTGGAGAGATTCCTATCGAATTGCTGAGCCTCTATCACAAAGACAGTTTATTTCACATCTTGTACTTTGATCTTATCAAAGAAGCTAAGTGACTAGGAAAATGTCCTCGTAGGTTTCATCATCTGAATCCCCTGAATCATTCAGAGAGAGTTACAGAAAAGATAAGAAAACAAAGAAACACCATCACCATAATGCAAAAGGATCGGTTGTTCCACCGAAGAAATCAAAGAATAAGCATGATAGGAAGAAGAAGGGAACCAGAAGAGAAAAGTCTAGTACTAAGTTGCATGCATCCTCATCGAATGTCAGTCTTCGTGGTTTTGATTCAGACACCGAATCAAGAAAGTTCCTGAAGTATCATCCGATGGAAACCCATTCCTTCCAAATATCACTGTTTCGGATACTTGTGTCAATTTTTTCACCGAACAACCCTCAACACCAACAAAAGCAGTCACAGTGAGACCAGAGAAGGCGTTGACTCCGATGGCAGCATCCCCAACTCCAACTGCTGCTCCAATCGTGGAACCAGTTCTTGTACAACCTCCACCTACTCCTCTCATTCCTACACAAACTGTCGTCACAAATGTGAAATGGAAAGCTGAGGATGTCGCATTGGGATATATTGAGAAACTGGATGCCACAATGGCTCGCCTTGAGTTCATTGAGGCTTGCTCCGCGACGAAACCATCGGTTGAAAAAGACTGTCTCATTTGGAAGAAGAATCTTCAGAAGAACCAATCGGATGCATATCCGGTTCTGGATGCAACGATGGTGAAGCTAGCGAATGAGCCCGATGCGTATATCAACATGTCGTCCATCACTGTTCCACACTGTCGTTATCCAATTCTGATGGCTCAAATGCCCAAGAGAGGATGTGAGGAAGAGTTTTGGAAGGCGTGTTTCAATGAATCTGTAGTCATGGTGTACATTTTGATGGGTCCTGAAGATGAGAAAAATGATTTCTTCCCGACAACATCAGGTGCCTATGTTTACTATGGAGCAATGTTTGTCAACATTCGAAAGGTATTTATAGAACCAAAAAGGAAACATAAAATATTTCATTTCTACAGGTCGAGAAAATGGATGCAGAACGCACAATGTACACGATTGAAGTTCTTCCAAACGGTTTTTCAAATTCGGTGATCATGAATGTCTACGTTCACACGGGTTGGGAACCATACGGAGTGCCTCTCAAATATGCAAACACGACTCGTTCGGTGATTGATGTCATGAATTTTGTAAAGACGTCAAATGGAGGAGATAAACTGTTGATTGTGTCGAAGAACGGATGTGGTCGTGCTGGATTCTTCCTCTCCCTTGGAGCTGCATTTTGTTGTCTGAACGATTGTTCGGAGCCACGAATTGTGGAAATCGTGAAAGCGATTAGGATGCAGAGACCAAATGCAGTTGAAACTTTGAAACAGTATGCTTCTTTGTACCTCTGTCTTCTGTACTACATTAAGGTAAAAACTGAACAACAGTAAAACCTGTAATAGAAGGGTCTTAAACTTTTGACTTTGAAACAAATTATCTCGGCTCCTGTGAAAGATATCTGAAAGTTATAAATTGATAAGTTGTTTACCATAATATCACAAACATTATATTAGTTGACACATTTTTGATATCTCTCATAGGAACGGAGATAATTGAGCTCAAACTTCTACTACATTATTTTTTTCAGAAGAAAATCTCGATCCCAGAGAGTCTGAAACAGAAGGTGGAGGATGTGACGAAAGGATTGGAAGGTCTCATTCGTGAAGACTTGTCAATCTTGTACTGATTGGAAAACTGATTGTGGCTTTAATGAATATTTTGTTGGAGTTTTGATTTTTCTTGAGAATTTCATATTTTTATAGATCAGTTTTTTGTATTTTCCAAAGTCTGAATTTCAGAATTGTTGGAATTTTGGGATTTTTTATTTTATTTTTTAGATTTTTGAAATTACGGAATTTCAGAATTTTCAAATTTTCCAAAAATTCGAAATTTCGGTAACTAAAAAATGTAGAATTTTCAAAAATTTGGGTGGTACGACGGATCGGAAATTTCCGAAAATGAAATAGTAGCAAAATGAAATGTTTCTGAATCGAAATACTTCCAAATTAAAACATTTATGGAATGAAAACTGTCCGAAAGCAGGAAAGGCGGAAGCGGAACTGTTCTGAAGTAGAATTGTCCCGTTTTGAAACGCTGATTAATAGAGCGCTCTATTGCTAACAGCGTTCCAAAACGGGACAATTCCACTCTAGGCATTTCTGTTCCGTCCAATTTCTACTTCCGGACAGTTCTGATTTCGCACAGCTTTCAATTCGGAACCATTTTTTGATTTAGGAAATTTTCATTTTGCTTCAGTTTCATTTAAGAAAGTCTCCAATCCGTCGTACCACCAAAATTTGGAACTTTCGGAATTCAGAAGTTTCTGAAAATTCGGTAATCCTGAAATTTGGACATTGGAAGTTCAGAAGTTTGGAAACAGACTATGAGGAATATGTCAAAAAGTGTCTGAAAGAGGATTCTAAGATCGATTGCTCAAACGTCAATCCAAATCAACTAACTGGAGATGAAGTAAGAAATAGTCTACTGTAAACACTCTAATCGAACGCCACCCCTAAAGTTGAGCCAATTTATCCCTGTTCCTGTAAAAGATATAAAAAGGTTGTCAACTGATAAAATTTTAATCATAATATTCAAAAGTACTTTGTTAGTTGACACATTCTTGATATCTTGCATAGGAATTGTGATAATAGACTCTTCGTTAACATTCAGATAATAACACAAAATCTCTTTATTCATGAAAATTGCTGACATATGATCTGCAAAAACTTTTCTGTGTGCGGAATATCAGTTTTTAGTGAATTGATCAAAATGAACTATGTTGATCGGAGAAGTTGATTGTGTATTCTTCTGAAGGATATCTCGAATCATCATGACGACTCCATGCATCGTGGGTCTTCTGGTTGGATTTGGATGAGTAGTGCGAGAAATCAGATGACGCATCTCATTCAGAGCACGTGGCTCTTCTGAAAAACAATCATGGAAAAAAAGCTCAAAAAAACTTCCGGACCTGACTCTTCTTTGTAAGATTGAATCAAATCCGGTTTGAGGATTTGCTCAAAAAGACGACCCAAATTGAATACTCCACTTTCTTTGGTTAGCTTCCGAGTGAATGCAACTTCTGGAGCAGTGGAATCATAATCAACCACATGAACAGTGTTGTCCGATTTCCTGTTATAATTGAATTATATTATTTTCAGCACACTTTTTCTACTGACCCCTGAATGAGCAATCCGTTAGCTCCACTGAAAACCAGTTCGTAATTCTTCATTGTTTTTGGTTTGAAGCCAGCAAACTCAACGTAGAAGTTTTCCATTTGAGATGCTCCGTGGTAGATATCACATTGATGGAGTTCCGAGAGAATACGAACTGCAGAAGAGCAGAACTGAAAAAAAATAATATAAAATCCAATGACAGATCAAAATGAGGGACCTTGATTCTTTGGGTCAAATCCAATTCAGACTGACGGGTTTTCAGAAAACTCTCCAATAGACTTCCCAGTTCAACTTTGTTTCTAAAAGTATCACATTTTTTTTGCTCTCTTTTCTATTTCACCTACTCATAGATCAAAGTGGGCGGAGTCAATATTGCTCCGATTGGAAGACGAATCGGAAGATTTTTATTTGAGAGAGCCTTCCCATTGACAATTTTCTGAAATTAAATGATTTTCAAGACTTTCAAGCACCTTAAAATGACCTCAAAGAAAACTTTATGGTCTGTGGAACCTGGTCTACAATGCAAAATCTGTTCGAAAATTGCCTCTTTGATTTTGCCGTCGGCAAACTTCATCTCTCCGGTGTAGATCTAAAATTGGCATAGTTCTAGTAATCTCTTATTCTTCCTCCTTACCATTGTTTGGATATCTCTATACAATGATTTCTGATTAGTAATCAGTTTATCCGTCAAATGAATGTTGTGCATTACGGTAGATGATTGTCCCAGAAGACAATCCATCGACAAGTTCTCATCCAAAACTCCGCAAAGAATATCAATCTAAAAGAAACTAATTGGATGAGCAGTTTCAGATTTGAACGATTACATTCTCATTTTTCAATTGATAAATTAATTTTCTCATGGAAGAAGCACGTGCGAAGATCAATCCGGGAATGACATACTCTTTTCTAGAAACAGGAGTATAAAATTAAATTTATTGAAGAAATTGAGCTCTCACCCTGATTGCTCAATACGAAGATTGATAACACGTGGTCCCTCCTTTTTGGTCTTGTTAGGATGAGCAACAATCGAAAGGTAAAGAATGCCTTCGAGGTTTGTAGAAACACAAAAGTCTCCTAAAATGTTCCTCTTTTGAGAATATTACACCTAAAAGATTAACCTGGATTTTTGAGCACAAAATTCTCAATAAATGGGATTGAAACATTGACGAACAAGGCATCTTTGATTTCTTCGTCGTCACTCATTGATCGTTTTGTAATTTCCACATTCGATTTCGATTCGACCAACGTCATCGCTTTGAATCGATAGAGTTTTGATCTTGAGATCAAAATATTGCTTGCCAAAAGTGTGGAATATCTTATTGGAATCACTTTTTTCCTTGGAGAAGATGTTTCTGAAAAAATATGTGGAATCGAGATTCACGTTCCTTGCTGTCCAGTTGAACAATGTTTTGAACTAGAAAAAGATATTCCCATGCAGATTAGTTCAACATGAAATTTCGAATTTTCTAGGATTTACAGTAATCTCTGACTACAGTAATTCACTTCATTATTCTTTGAATTTTTGAATTCTTTAAAGATTTGTCATTTTCAATACTTGAAATTCTAAAAATCTGAAAAATCCGAAAATCGGGAATTCTGTAAACTTAAAAAGTTTAAAAAATATAAAGAAGCGGAAATATTCGAAACATCTGAAACTTGGGATATCCCGAAATCTGAAAAATCTGGAAGCTTCGAAAATCTAGAAATCTGAAAAATCCGAAAATTATAAAACATTGAGAATCGGAAAACCTGAACATTCTGGAATTTTCAAAAATCTAAAAATCTAAAAAATCTTAAACATCTGGAAGCCAAATTGGAAGAGCCAGAAAAATCAGAAACTTTGAAAAAATCAGAAAATCAGGAAACCTGACAAATTTGGAAAATTTTAAAAAACTCTGAAAATTCTGGAAGCTTCGAAATTCCGAAATTCTGGAAGATGCAAAAATCTGAAAGCCCGGATTACCTAAGAATCGGAAAAATTTGAAATTCAAGAAATCTGGAAATCTAAGAACTTTGAGAATGTGAAAAAAAAGTTTGAGGTATTTCAAGATCTAAAAATGCTAAAAGCGTCAAAAACCGTGAAATTTAGAGAAACTGAAATATCTGAAAAATTTGAAGATTTGAAAATTCTGGAAATTTCAAAAATCTTAAAACCAACAATTTTGAAAAATCTGAAATTCTAAAAATAGGAAAATTCTGGAACCTTCAAAAATGTGAAAAAGTGAAAAAAAAAGCTGAAGCATTTGAAAAATATGAAAACCTGAACAAATCTGAAAATCTTGAGAATCAAATAGTGTGTGAGCTACGGAAAATAGGGGGATCTGAAAAATCTGAAAACCGTTAAAAAAAACTGAAAACCGTTAAAGGAGGCCAGACACCAAAAAAAAAAGTTTTCCTGATATTTTGCATAGAGAACCCCCATGAGGCACAGGTGATTCGCGCAGCGTTTATAATAGGTGAAATATTGTTCCCGGAAAGACGCCATGGGTACATCGGAACATGACTGCCGCAGGTCATTTACAGACCAATCGCGAACGCGCCACCGCAAACGACCAATATTCGCCCTATCGCGAGCAAATCTCCTACAATTGGCTTGTCGCGAGGGCTATAAATGGGATATATTTTTTCGAATCTGGAAGCTAGCAGTTGCTAAAAATTGTTTATTGCACAGAAAAAAACAAGGAAAAACGAAAACAGAAGTTATCGGCTGGAAATTTTCTCGAAATCAGCGAATTTGACACTTCCGACTGAAATCTAAAGTTTTTTCTCAGATTTTTTTTCAAATCTACCCACCGTTCCAGTTTTTCTTCCTTCCTCTTTCTCAGCCGTTTTTTTTCCGGAGTACTCAGTGGACGTACCAGAAAATTGAGAATTTCCTGGCTCTCTGTAAAAATTGGATTTGAAATTCGGACTTTCTGAAAGCTTCTTACCTTTTGAAAGTACAGTAGCAGTGCTATCTCCTGAATAAACCAAAATTTCGACAATACTGGCTGATACAGTATTCTAGTATGCTCTTGTAGGTTAAATAATAATTTACGGACAAAATTGCTAAGGAAACTGAAAAAAACGATGAAAAATAACCGAAATAGATGAAAGAACTTCGAAAAAGGAAAAACAAGAATTTTTTCGCGACGGGTCAATTGTAGACCTTTTATAGGGTCAGTTAGTAAGATACACAATGTGCTCGTGAATGTTCAATTGTAGAAGCACTAGTTTGCGGTAGGTGAGTAATTGGGTCGTTTATAGCTCTTCATCTGTAATTGGTCAATCACGAATCACCTGTGTACGGGGGCGCAAAGGCGCCGGACGACCGATGGTCTATATAAGCGCAACGCGATTTCGTCCTCCGAACTGTCCCCCGAAATTTTTGCTGTCTCGCCTCCTTTAAAATTGGAAAAATCTAGAAGCAACGGAAAAGTAAAAAATCTGGTATTGATAATGTTGTTTTTTTTCTTCACTTTTTTCAATTCTAGGAAGTCTTTCTTCCAATTCTTTTTTTCCATTTTCTTTTTTTCTCATTTTTCAAAACTTTTTCCGGTTTCCCTGAAATGCCACAACAACATTTTTCCATTCTCCTTTTCTCGTTTTTTTGAACCAGTACGACACATAAAATTTATGACTTTGCAAGCTCCTCGGAGCCTCCAAAAAGTGACCCCTTTGGTTTGGTCTTCGTAAAAAAGTATATGATTTCTTCTTCTTTTCTGCTTTCCCAGGAATAAAACTGGATTGTCGAATTCATCCTTCTTCTCCTGATGTCAGGAAATCGAAAAAAGGAGTTGGTCGTGCTCATTCCAAAAACAAACAGAAAGATCTATCATCCATCGGTTATCGCCATTCCTTTCTCTTTTTTTTTTGTTGTTTAGTTTAAAAGGTTTTGTCTCTTGGGAAACATTCGAAGGATTCAAAGATTTCTGTTTGAAGACGTGGTTTTGATGAAAAAGCCATTCCGAGAATAAGTCGGAAAAAGGAAGACAACGATACTTTTTTGTATGAACGACTCCCTTGTCGATTTAAAAAACTGAGTTCATTTGGATCAGAATTTTCGGAAATTTGAGGTTTTATAACAAACAAGTCACCTGATCCCTTTTAATAATTGACTTTTCTGCTCAAGTAGGTCTCTACATTGTTTTGTTTTTTGAAAAGTTAATTAATTTAGAATTCGAAGCTCATTTCAAGTGGACTTCCTTCCTCATTCTCTTCCCCCATTCCACTCAATTTTAAAACTCAATTTCCTTCTTGCAAACTTTGCAGCTCATTTGGAGTCTAATTTAGCTTTTTTTTCTGAAATCTTTTTTGTTTGGTCAATCTATTTTCTTTTGCTTCTTTGAAAGTGTCAATCACACGAGAACAACCGAGCAATTTTCGGACTATTCTCTTTTGAGTGACGTTGATTTGATGGGATTCTGTGTAGTCGTGGGTTGATGAGTTCTTTTCAGAAATTATGGGGGCTCAGAAATCAAGTGAAGATTCTAATACCTAAAACCTGAAAACCTTGTGGTTAATCTCAATCTCTTTGAGTAGGTTTATAGAATTTTTTTAGAATTACAAGATCTTATCAGGAAGATTATCTGGTTTTCAAAATCTCATATCGCCAATCAAAGAGAAAGGAAATTGAGGAAGTTTTTTTTCAAAAAATGAGTGTTCAATTTTATTCCCGAGTTATTCCCTATGCCTATGGCTCCAATCCTACAAAATTCTGCACACCATCTTTTTGTTTTCTTTTTTTCTACAAAATTTGTCAATCACATTAATGATCACTTCTGAAATATTCACATCCTCTGTTTTTGTATGAATGACGAGGATTTTCTCCAATATTCGTATTATCTAGACTAGAAAGCTTAGCAGGGTCAGAAAAAAAGCATAGACATATATGTCAACAAAGTCATAAAATCAGGTAGAAGACAAAATAGTCGTTTTCCTGCATTCATAAAAAAATTTCGGACCACGGTAGTCTAGAAACTTTTTCTCGCTCTTTTTCCATTTTTCGATCTTTTTTTCATAGCATATTTTTCCATACATTATTCACTAGTAAGAAAGTTCCTAGAAGTCAGATGACATAAAAAAACGACCAAAAAGAGGTCGATTCGCTTGGTGGGGTTCATTCAGAACAAGAAAAAAGAAAAAAGGAACGTAGTATAATTGAATTCGACTTTTTTCGAGACACTTGGTTTTAGAGAAATGTGTTCCTGGAAAATTGCTAAATATATTCTGAGAATTATCAGATTAGCTTCTGTCACAAATTTCCAATCTCTTTTTTTTTGCCACTTCCTTGTTAATTTATCAATAGTGCCTGACTTCAAATTTGTTGCCATGAAAATATCAAATCTCTCATAAGATATACTCGTGAGAAGTTTGAACTTATCCTTTTGTGCTCAAGATTGAAAAGGGAAAACCTATAATTTAACATAGCCTTTCACATTGGAATTTTCTCTAGATGTTGAATTCTAACTAAAACTGACATCATAAACATATTTCTTATTCTTTCCGTTTCCTTCTCAACTCTAAAAGTCTATCGCATAGTTTAAAGTCTTTAACTGAGTCTTTAATTCATTTTCCGTTTCACTTCCTCTCTAGATTTTCCCACGCGGATTGAGCCATCTCTTCTTTTGAATGAGAAGTGAAAGAGAGTGGCAGCAATTATGATGCCGTGAAGTCACATGACAAGATTATGAAAAGATTGTAAAATTTTGATTGTAAAAATATTCACATCCTCTGTTTTTGTATGAATGACGAGGATTTTTTCCAATATTCGTATTATCTAGACTAGAAAGCTTAGCAGGGTCAGAAAAAAAGCATAGACATATATGTCAACAAAGTCATAAAATCAGGTAGAAGACAAAATAGTCGTTTTCCTGCATTCATAAAAAAATTTCGGACCACGGTAGTCTAGAAACTTTTTCTCGCTCTTTTTGAGAAGTGAAAGAGAGTGGCAGCAATTATGATGCCGTGAAGTCACATGACAAGATTATGAAAAGATTTTTCTGCAAGGTATGGACTTTAGACTCTTTGCGTCTTATGATTGAGAGGTTTGAATCTTTCGAGATACTAGACAAGGTATGAACCAATGAGCAATTTTTAGATAAGTGAATGCGTGACTGCTTCTGGAACTTACCGTAAACACTCTAACAGAATGCCCCTGAACCGTCAACGTTGAGCCCCTATAGCTCATTTTCTGTTACAGATATCAAAAAGCAACCAACTGACAAAATGTTTATCATAATATCAAAAATATTCTGTCTGTTGATCACTTTCTGATATCTTGTACAGGAACCGAGATAAATTGGCTCAACGCTGGCATAGCAAAACAGGCAATATATTCAATGTCAGTCTCATTCGCCCATCAGAAACTTACGCATTGATTTATTTTTGTCTAGCTGGCGAATCTCATTTACTCCTAAAATCCAATATTTCATGACATGTTAATGACCTTTGAATTTCCAGACAAAAAAATGAATGGCAGGTGGAAAGGATCTTCTTTAAGAAGAGAAGAAGAGAAGTGACATTTCCTTTTTTTTTCTTCCTGAACTTTCTCCGATTTTCTCTTAAGGGATTAACATATTCATGAAAAGGGTTGTAGAGCATTCCGATTACGGAATGTTAGCTGACATCTAAGCTAATTTCTCAAGACCTACATTGTTAGAACATTTAAGAAAAGGAGCAGATTTTTGCTGATTCATGACCTTCTAAGTTCGAACGTCTCCAATTTCAGTATCTCATGTTTCGTGTAATACCGGGAATGAAAATCGAAGACTACCGTAATCACTCTAATAGTGTGCCACTCAAACCATCAATTTTATCTCATTTCTTGTGAAAGGTATCAAAAAGTGGTCAACTGACAGAATGTTTATCATAATACTACAATATTTTTAATGCAATATTTTGTCAGTTGACTACTTTTTGATATCTTTCAAAGGAAATGAGATATATGTGTTAAATGTTTACGGCTTGAGTGACACTCTATTAGAGTGGTATTCAGATCTAAGCATATTCTATAGTTTCTGTATTTCCAGATTTGTTTGTTCTGTTTTCTTTCATTTCCATTTCGTATAAAATGTTCTTCTTTCCTTAACCTTTTGCCTCTGTGGAGGAGGAAAAGTGGTCATAAATCAGAGCTACCGTAGTCTCGATTCTCTTCAATCCCTTTCAATTACTTCTCCCTTCTTCTTCTTCTTTTTCACACCATATCCTTTTTCTTTTCCTCTAATCTCATCTCGCACTTTTCACACCTCCTTCTGCTCCATCAGTCTTCTTCTCCCTCTCCTTCTACTTCTTCTTCTCCCATCTCATCGCCCTTTTGTGACGTCGCCTGGCGCGAAGCGGGACGCGTCGCGGCTCCGATTTTAAGAAAAAAGAAGAGAAGCGAAAGAAAAAGAGGCAACAAGTGCTCCATACTTATTCGTCATCCATTTTTTTTTCTCCCTCTCTCCTCCCATCCTTTTCAGCTGACACACAACGTCTTCTACCCCCCCCCCCAAAACTGACTCCGCCCACTTCTCTGCCTTCTCTCCCACGTCGTTCTCTTTCCACTTTTCTTCGTCTGTCTTCTTTTCTTTTTCTTCTTTTCTGGTTCAGAGCTCCCAGAGCAAGCTCACTCACTTATTTCTTTTTTTCGGTCGACGCCTTCTTCAAGCGATCGACACAGTCGTCCTTTCGTCACATGCCCCATTATCAGCCGGGGTTGGCGAAGAGCGCGGGACATGGTATGTTAAATGAATTTAAAAATATTTAAAAGACAAAGGAGAATTTGTAAATTGTATGTAATCATGTCAGAAGAGGTACGAATTCTGAAAATTTGAGCCGGAATAATTTTTGTATTATCTTTTTCCAATATCTTCCAGCTGCTCTTGTCTGGAACTATGATTAGTCTGAGCAATTCTTCTCCCAGAAATACGAATCAATGATCACAAACCGCTATAATATATTCAGAATGTCCCGTGGGTGTTCATGATTCAATTCATATATCCCGATGATGTTTTTCTCTCGAGATTTCTCATTTAACGAACTTTTCCCCCTCGAAAACAAACCTCAAGTACAACGTACACACTCCTCTTCTGATTCTTCTGATTTTTTGAAAACAGAACCATTTGATTTCTAAGAAGGATACGAACCTCATAATTTCCTTTTCTCCTGATTGACTTGTTTACCCTTTTTGAAAAACCACTTCACTCGAAATTGATCGTAGAGAAATCCGTCTTTCTCTCTCATGCCAAAATAGCCACCGTCATTGGGATTCCGCAGTAATTTGACACTCTTTATGAGGACTTGCCTGCAGAGAAAAAGTTGGGAATATTCTAGGACACTACATTTTGACGTCATCTCAAATCTCGCTAATGTGTTCAATGGACATCACGAACACCTTTCTCATTTAAAGCATCAGCCTCCTATTAACATCACTTGCGTCTGATTTAAATATTGAATTAGAGGAAAGGAGAAACAAGTTTTAGGAAGCAAGACACTAAATTTCCGGTCACAAATTAGAAATATAATTTTCCATACATGACATCACTTTTAGATTTTACTTGAGATAAGACCAATTTCTTCGGAAACCCTATTCGACCAGAAGGGCTTAGGTAAGGATAATCTTCGTGCGGAGGCGTACTTAACTCTTCTTCATCTGTCATACTCTCTTTTTTCTAGACTTCCGTTTCGGCGAATCCCGGCGATATTCACAAATTATATGTGCTCCGGGACAAGGAAATCCTTTTGTTCTTCCTTGTTTTTTTTCTATTCTTTTCTTTTCATTTTTGTCCATCCGTTTTCCCATCTTGACATGTTATTGTTGTCATTTCCGTGAGTCTCTCGGGCAGACCATCCGAATTATTCAGCACGTTCAACTGAAGAAAAAAAACGAGAAGCACAAAATGATTAAGGCAGTTGATTCTGTTGAGAAGTAGAAATAATGACGCATTTGGAATGAGGCTTAATTGAGAGGGATCTTGAGAGAACTGCCTAGAGCTCAGAGATTATTTGAAACTTGTTTTGAGAGAGTTTCCTGATATAGCAACATTCATATGAATAGATGATCAAAAATTATTCATAGAAAAAGATATGATCAAGAAATTAAAATGACAGGATTACTGTACCAGCAACATTTAAAGAACTAATATTTTCAGAATGGTTCTATCTTGGAATTGGTGGAGCCGTCGGTCTCGCGGCTCTTGTAGCCGTTGCCGCCCTACTCGCTGTTCGTAAACGTCGTCAATACCCATCACTTCTGCTTCCCCCGAAACAGGTCAGTAAGAGATCAGAGTGAACCATAGCAAAATTAATTTTATTAATTCTAAATTATATATCCTTCTTTGAGTCACACGAGCTTCTTATGTATAGTACATCTAGACTTTCCTGGTTCAGAAAAGACCAGTGAAAGGACATTTGTACTTTTCAGTCCTATTGTTTTTGTGCTCTCTTTTCGAAATTACTTAAAACATGGTATTGGTTTCTATTTCCAGAACATTCTCTATTTTCTTTTTAGAAGAACAGAAGACGTCACGAAAATTTCCAGTGTTTGTTCCTAGAAAGGAGGGAAACGAAAAAAGGCATCTTTCTCATTTCGTCTCTAAAATTTCATTAGGATAAAAAAGAAAAGACATGGGGATGTTTGTTTACAACTATAGGATACCAGACCAAGGACTACATCCCATCAAATCTTTCTATTTTTTTAGGTGATTGCTGTCCGTGGAGGATTTCCAAAAGGTCCCGGCGGACTCAAACAAAGCCCATCCCCTCTTCAATCGCCTCTTTCAAATGACTCGACTCCATCACCAATCGTTCCACTGCAGACTCTTTTGGAAGACAGAACCAGAAAACTGTCTCCTTCGGAACTTCCATCAGAACGTGGAAACATCTCGTTCACTCTCAGCTATGATCCTCATACACTGACTCTTCTTGTCAGCATCATCAACTGTAGAAACCTTTGCGAGATGGTGGTGTCTCGTGATGGACAATGTCTTCTTGACCCTTATGTCAAACTTCAACTTCTTCCGGAGCGAGAGCATCGTGTAAAAACTCGCATTGTTCGCTCAACAACCAATCCAGTCTATGAAGAGCAGTTCGCCATGTATGGAGTCACTCACGAACAAGTCAACTTTGCCACGTTGCACTTCCAGGTGAACTATAAAAACACTGTAACTAAAGCATCGATTTACTTTTAGGTCGTTGCCTTCGACCGTTACTCTCGTGATACAGTCGTTGGAGAGTGTGTCTACAGACTGGCCGATGCTGAACTTCAAGTTCACAACGAGATGAGGTAAACTATTTTATTTCCTGCTAACTTACTAATTCATGAATACTTGTAGAGTTGAGCTCCCTCTCCTCCCACGTGCTACGGATACTGTAGCTGCTCGTGGAGAACTTCTTCTTTCCTTAACCTATCAGCCAGCATTCAACAATTTGACTGTTGTCGTGCTCAAAGCTCGTGGGCTAGGAGGAAGAAATGATGCCGGAACTGCGGGTAAGTAGATGAAACATTTCTGCATCAGAAGATTTGAATAGAATATAAATTCAAAAGGAAATGCTTTTTTTTGACAATAAAAATAACTATTTTTGTTTCAGATCCATTTGTAAAGTTGTACTTGCGCAAAGAAAGTGGAGAACGTATTGCTAAGAAGAGAACGCATGTGAGAAGATCGACGTTGAATCCGGTTTACAACGAGTCATTCGTCTTTGAGCTTCCAGAAGATCGACTGGATCATTCTGTCATTGACCTACAGGTTTGTCATCAGGCCTAAAATTATTATTACTTTATTACGCTTTTTAGGTTATTAATCATGACCGCGTCAACCGAAATGACGTCATTGGAAGAGCTCTTTTGAACATGGAAGACTCACACGTCGTCGAAGTTCTCGAGAATCCAGGAAGACAAGTCGCTCAGTGGCATCATCTTGACTAATCCCCTTTTTTCTTATCCCTTCAAAAGCTTTTGTGTAGATTTCTACAGGTTTTCGAACCTATTCCATTCTTCCACCCGCTCTTTTTTCTTTACTGACTCTCCCGTTGCACTGGAAAACAATTCTTGATCACCGAAATTTCGCTATACGTTGACATGATTTTTTGACACATGAACTCCCTCTCTCTCCTCCATCCTTCTCAAACTGAAACATCTAATGGAAACGACTAAAACTTTTCATAACAATAAAATTCTGTTCCAAATCTGTTATTTTTGGTTTTCTCAATTTTATATTACCTGAAATTCGAAAACACTAACAATAAGCAATACAATTTAATCATAATCTCACAGCTACAGTAATTTTTAGGGGCAATGATTATGAAGAAAATCCGGAAACTCATAAGAACAACAGAAAAATAAAAAACCTTTTTCAAACAACAGAACGATAAAGAAAAGGTACTTCTTTGTGTTTTTTTCGGACTTTTCCAACCTGAAGCTCTCGCACTCAATGAGGCTCCAAAGACTGAGATCAAAGATCTGCAAGAAGAAAAAAAGAAACTCAATGAACAAGGCGATAATTCAGAAGATAATCTTGAATGTATTTATGTTTTTCAAGAAGTGTTAATCAGAAAAGTTTGGATCGCTTTAGAAGCAACTTTGGAGTTTACTGCTCCTTAATCAGTGCGAAATGTCTATCTCAATTTTGTCGTTTCTGCTATTGTTGTCAATCTTTGCAATCTTTGTCATTGTTATTGTTTAGAAACTCTTGATTTTCAACCCATTTTATAGATAGAATAAAAGTTGGCCAAATAATTGGTTCGTTCTACTCGCGTTCCTCTCCAGTCGGCTATCCAGTAGCGGAGAGCACACCAACTGGGAGGAAAACAAAAAGTGGTAGGAACCATCTGGTAGGAAAAATGGGCGGAGTCGGAGGCGGAGCCTAATTTGCAACCCTGGCACGGTTTTGCCGCATGGTTTATTTTTACCATTTGGTACCTGGTCAAGAAAAAACCATGCGGCAAAACCGTGCCAGGGTTGCAAATTAGGCTCCGCCCATTTTTCCTCCCAGATGGTTCTTCCCACTTTTTATTTTCCTCCCAGTTGGTGTGCTCTCCAGTAGCGCACTACGGTTCACAATTTAGTTCATTGTCGTACATTCTGACACCGCGTGTTTGCGTACAACGAAGTTTTTCAAAATTTCTGAACTTGTCTTTTTGAAATTCAAGACTTTCGGAGCCAATTCGTACGATTGAACAAATCTTCTGCTTTTAATAATTTTGTACAAATATTTTTTCGTTTCTCACACTCCCAAGTTTGGAAAAATCGATTCGATAAGAGACTGATAGGCAAAATATCTTAAATTTAGGTGAGCAAGCCGAGTGGACTCATGATTCTACTCCGATTACTTGTTGCATTATTTATACTGCAATCAAACCAGCCTATAGGCTCAATGTTCCACGAGTATTGTTACCCTACCACCCAACTGTGCCAGTTTCATTCGTTTTGGAAGTAACTCATCCCACTGGAGGATGCTTCTCTTGGTAGGTCATTCAAGAAAAACAGATTATAACCTAGCTTACAGGAGATCCACCCGTCCGGATATTGTATCCGTCAAAAGCATAGTCACATCGGATGCAGGATGCTCTGATAAGGCCGAAATCCGCTCTGTTGCCAAGCCAGGAAGCGTTGGAAGTTCTGAACTTTCTGCAGTTATTTTTGCAGAAGATAAAGGTGAGTATAAATAAAGAGATGTAATAAATCGAATTCGTTCAGGTTCCGGCACTACATTGAGTTGTGGAGTTACTGTAGATGAAATCGCAACAATCAGCATCGAGACAACAACGAGGTGCTATTTGTCGATGCTGCGCCGGCACGAATGACTGTTGATGCGTTCAATGCTGACGGTGATCGCTTTTCAACTCTCAGCGAACTCGCTTTAGAATGGGAGCTCTCTTCAACATCATCCAATAAAGCCAAACCGCTTCGAATCGTTCCGTTTGAACAGTCAACTTACGAAGCTCCGTCAGAGATTGTGAAATTGGAAAAGAATAGAAAGAAAGGATACTTGATTTTGATTGAAGGAGTTGGGACTGGAACCGCTACGTTGACTACCAAGTTCAGCGATGCTTACTTGCAGGTAAATAATGATTATGTATTGGAAGAAATATAATCTTTGCAGAAAGTTGCTGCTCACAATGTTGAACTAGCAGTTGTTGCTAATCTTCTACTGGTTCCATCTCAAGACATTTACATGCCTGTTCACTCTGTCATTCCATTCCAAGTTCTCATTGTTAAGCAGCGCGGTACCGAAGTGGTCAATATGCCAAATCCATCTTACGAGCTGAAAATCGACGGGGTTGATGTCGCATCACTCGACAAAGCTACCTCATCTGTAAGAGCTTTATCAACAGGAAACACTGCTGTGCACCTTCTTAGCAGTCGTAAGTTACATTTTTGACATCTCTCAAAAAATCTGTGATGTTTTTTGCAGACGTTGATGTTCGTGCCAAGGCAGGTCTCCGCCCTCCTTCAACTGTAATCCATGTTGTGGACGCCGAATCCGTTCAATGGCACGTTTCCGGAGAAAATTGGATGCTTGAAACGGGAAAACAGTACACCATCAATGTTGAACTGCTGGACGAACACGGAAACGTTATGTTTGTATCTGATGTAAGACACTAGAGTTTCAGTTTACTCAATTTAAAATCATATTTTCAGAACTCTCGATTCGACACTCGAGTGGATGAAAATGTTCTTCGTGTTGACTTCAAATCAGAAAATGGCACATGGCTTCTCGTAACACCATTGAAGCCATCAAAGACAACTCTTCATACCAAGTTTGTCGCTATCATTGATGCTAATGGAAAAACCATCTCCCAAAGTGGGAAAATTGGCGGAGAGCAGAGAGCAACTATCGTGGATGCTGTGAGGATCGTACCACCAGTCATTTACTTGCCATTTGTCACCGAAAAAAGATCACAAATTGATTTGACAGCCACCGGTGGAAGTGGCTTATTCGATTGGTCTTCTGAAGATGATCATATTGCTACAGTTGATTTAACTTCTGGAAGATTGACTGCCAACTCGCTAGGAAATACAGTTGTACAGGCTACTGATAAAAGAAACGAGCAACTGAAGGATCGAGCAAGCGTTCACGTTCTTGAAGTATCAGGAATTGGATTCGGCGAAGCAGTACGCGAAACGTTCGTCGGAGAGAATCTTGAGCTAAATATCAAAGCAACCGGCCTCAATTCCGATGGAGTACTTGTGGAAATGTCCGACTGCCGCAATATTCGTGTTCATGTTCAGTTATCAGACAGTGCTCTTCTTCGACACGAATCTAATGTCGATTCTCATCTTCCAAAAGTTGGAACCGGTTGTGGAACTATTTCTCTCAAAGGATTATCTTCTGGAGATGCACGTGTTACCGTCAGCTACTTGGGACACAAGGCGAGCGTTGATGTTGCTGTCTACGAAAAGTTGAAAATATCCGAAGACTCGGCCGCCATCGCTCTTGGCAGTTCACATCATTTGGTTATTAATGGAGGACCACGGCCCTGGATTCTGGATCCTGCCAATTTCTACAAACGGAGAGAAACTTTAGATAAGAAATACGTTGATGTCACTTTCGAAAATGAGAAGGTCGTTTTCAAATGCGGTTCTTCTGAAATGACGGAATCTGTTCGTGTTCGTGTCGGAAATCAAAAGTCATCCACCCTTCCTCTTCCTATTCATTCTGATATCACCGTCTCGATTTGCTGTGCTAAACCAACTCGTCTAGAAATCTCTGAAAACAAACCACGTCTACCGAAGTGTCCTCTAAATGTGCATTCAATGCTCTCGGAATCTGAAAAAGAACTTGTGCTTCGAGGATCTGGAGCTTGTAATGGAGTCGTCACACCACTTGCATCTATCAATGGACTCTCGCCGAAATGGACAACATCCGATTCCTCGCTCTTGAAAATCAGACGTCAGGGAATTCAAAGTGAAGTTGCTGCAGGAAAGGTGAACTGCTAATAAGAAAACTACAAATCTCCTTATGTATATGTGGAAAAGTGTTTTTCTTACAGAAAGAAGGATCAGTAACTGTGCAAGCCCATGCAGGATCATTATCGGCCAAATACGAAGTCACAGTCACTCATGGAATCAGAATCGAACCAGCCCGACTGATTCTTTGGAATGAAGATATTTCAAAAGGAACTTTCACAATTGCCGGTGGTTCAGGTCATTTCCATGTAGACAATCTCCCAACACATAACACTCCTGTCGCTGTATCTCTTCTCTCTCGAAGTTTGACAGTAACACCAAAAAACAATGGAGAAATCAGTATAAGAGTTACGGATTCATGCTTGGTTGGACAGTATGCTGATGCTTCAGTCAAAATCGCTGATATTCATTCCCTGGCTATTGATGCTCCACAATACGTATGTTTTTAATTATATTCGGTGGTACAAAGTTCCCGGTTGAATTGTATTTTTGCTCCCCCTGTGTTGAAATTTGGTCTCGGTACGAAAACTTTGATTTCACCAGGAATTTTGTGCTGCTAAAACCCACTGTACCCCCCCCCCCAAATTTTTGGCCTTTCTTTTAAGTAAAATTATCTTGAATTACAGGTCGAAATTGGTCAAGAAGTTGAAGTCGAGATTCTTGCACAAGACGAGACAGGCGCATCATTTGAAAGAGAGCATCGTCCTCTAGCTGATGCGCAGCTTGATGTTAGCAATCAGCATGCAGTACTGACTAAAGTTGATGGCCTTCGATACAAACTTCGTGCCAACTCCATAGGAAGTGTATCTCTGTCCGCTACTTCGAAGTCTTCCTCTGGACGTGTTCTCTCCTCTCGCCTGCACACCGTTCAAATCTTCTCCCCAATTTTCCTTCAACCGAAAAGACTTACTCTCATTCCGGATGCTAAATTCCAGTTGGAAGTGGTTGGAGGTCCTCAACCAACTCCACCACTTGATTTCTCATTAAACAACTCAATGATTGCAACTATCGAACCAAATGCTCTAATCACTTCTTCTGAAATTGGATACACTTCAATCACAGGTACTGTTCGTGTTGGAGACGGACATGTCACAAAAGATTCCGTGGTTCTTCGTGTCGCTTCACTCGGAGGAATTGTTTTGTCAGCGTCGAGTCACAAAGTGGAAACTGGTGGAAGAGTTAATTTGAGATTGAGAGGTGAGTTGATTACTATCCGTTTTTCAGTTATTTATTCCCAATTATAGGTATCTTTGCGGGTGCCGAAGACGAAGAACCGTTCGCTTTTGGAGGAGCAATCTATCCGTTCAAGGTCACTTGGAGTGTCTCTGACCCATCTATCATTTCAACCACACATCCACTTGGTAGCGATGTTGTCGAACCTGCTGATAACCAATTTGCAATTTGGTTCGATGCGATTCGTAGTGGGTCCGTTACAGTGAAGGCTGTTGTTACCTTGAATGAGAAAGCGAGAAAGCACTTTGTTGGAAGAAGTACCAGCTTCACATCTGAAATAACGGTGACTGTTGAAGACGCTCTTTCGTTGGTGCATCCAGAAATGGCTGTGAACTCTGTTAGAGTTGCTCCGAATTCTCAACTAAAGATGCAAACAATCTGGTGAGTGGACCCCTTTTACTTTTGTGGTAAACCATAACACCTTTCTAGGTCTCAAGCTGCTTTCTCTGTTCCTTTGGAATTCTCAAACCGAATTTCGATCTCCTCTGAAGGTTTTCTTAGAACGAATGGAAAGGAAGGATCTGCCGCCGTTGCAGTGCGAAAACTTAATAGCCCAGACAATGAGACTGTGCTTATTCCAGTTACAGTATGTCCCACCAAAATAGTTGTTACATCAAGGTTATTGACCATTTTTCAGGTGTCTCGTGTTGCTTCTTTTGATATCTACCCTACCACAGAATTGAAAAGCGCATTCGAGAATTCTCCAATCGTTCATCTGCCCGTCGGAGCTCAAATTCAACTGAATGTCGTCCCACGGGATGCTCGAGGACGACGCCTGGCTGCAGCATCAAACAGCATAAATTTCAGACCACACAGGTTCAGTTGAACTTTTTTTGAATTTAGAAATTGTTTTTTTGTAGATTCGATTTGACCGACATTGTGGCTACGAATAACAATTTGACATTGACGATTACATTAAAAACTGCTGGAGATACTGTACTCCGAATTGGAGATGCTGCCAACATCCACATTTCTACTTTCATTCGTCTCTCTGCTTCAGAGTCTATACTTCCTCGTTCTGCGCATAAGCACGCTGAAGATCTTGTCGTCTCTGATGTTATTTGTCTTCAATCGAACATCCTCACCGGAGATGGGGCTCATTGGTCTTCTCAAAGCTCAAGTGAAGGAAGAATTAATTGGTTAAATGAACATCTCGGAGTAGCTCAACTCGCGAAAGCTGGCAATGCCTTTGTCAAATTGCACACCAGCCAGCAGACGATCCATTCGAAGATTTCGGTCCTGTTGCCTTCGTCTCTTCGTTTCCCAGAGCAGCATCCAGATTTCGTCAGCAACGATGAGCATTCAGTTTTTGTCATTCCAGTCACCGCCACCACCAATAACACTTCTAGGAACAAAGTTTCGTCCATCTACGGAGGTGAGAACATTTGCAGAATTCAATATTCATGCCTACTTTTCAGAATGCAATGCTGACCAGATTCGATCGTTTGACACAATCAGTGCTCCATTCGGATGCCAAGTTTCTTTCGTTCGAAAATCGAAGCATGTTTTGTCTGCTGTTAACTGGCTTACTGCGTCCGCTGTATTCAGCCCAACGTTTGGTTACGGATGTGAGATTCGAAGACTGGACACCAGCATTTCCACGTCATCCATTGCTGTACCGGAAGAACTTTTGAAGGATCAGGTTGATGCGAGAATCACTGCTAAATGGGTTTCTGATGGAACTGTTCAAGTGGATGAGGCTCAAGTTGATGTTCCATTCCACTTCGCCTTCATTGTGCAGGAAAAAGAGGTAATAATTTTTACTGATTTGTGATGTAATTTTTCTAAATTTCACAGCTTGTCTTCTCAAACATGAATCAAATCGATGCGGCACTTTCAATCTGGGTGCCTTTGTACGATTCGAAGAACATTGTTGTGTCTGGATGTGAAGGAGATATTGTATCGGTTGGAAAGACTAAATCAAGTGAACATCATTCAGCAAAAGCAAATATATTCTACAATGTCCATCTGAATGTCAAAGCTGCTGCACTGTTCACGGAGCATGCAAAGAAATGTCAGATAACTGTGGAGAACACATTGACTGGACAGATTGTACGAGTTCCAGTAACCGTTCAACTTTTAGACGAAACAGCAAAACAAGTATTCAATGGTAAGTGTTGATCTATAGCTTCTCAATTTCATTTATTTATTTTTCAGCTCTCGAAAGTCGAGGAATTGTTGATGTTCTTCTGATCCTCGCTCAAAAGTACTCTCATACCATTCCAACTCTTCTATGGACATGCTTCATTGCGTTCGTTATTCTCGTTATTGGAATATACGTCAAGACAAGTGTCTTCGATAAGTCTGGTTCTTTCGGTGATAACACTATCAATAATTCTGCTCATCACACTTCTATTGGCAGTTCATTCAACAGTACCAACGGTTAGTTTTTTTTGGGTTCAATTATTTTATAACAGACTCATTTCAGTGAGTCTCCGTGATCCAATATTCCGTTCAACACCAATCGCCGGATCCCCACAAGTTGCTCTTCCAACTCCACGTGATCGTCTTCGTAACAAAATGGGGTCTGGAGGCGAGAACCAATTATGGAGTTATTAAATATTTATTTCTCTCCAGTTGTTTTTTATGTAAAACTTTGTTTTTTGAAATGTTGTTGTTACACTTATGCTCCTCTTATCATCCTAACTATTTTTGGATTCTCCCCCTTCAGGTTAATTTTTTTTATAGCTGCTCAGTCTCCCTTTTTTCAACATAATTGTATCATGATTAAGAATCTAGCAACCTGATTCCCTATCTCTCTGTCCCCACTTCTCTTTCCTACGAGTATATTTTTGACAATCCCACACTTCCTTCAACACCCGATTTTTTATCCATACCATCTCTCTTTATCATGTTATTATCATATTTTGTTCACAATGAACGGTTTCCAATTTTTCAAAGGTTTTATAATAGCATTTCAGACGAAACTAAATGGAAACTTGGGGATATTCAAAGGTATCAATGGATTCGAGAATGAAGTGATAGGAACGATTGGTACTCCACGAGCAGAGACATGAGCCGGAGAAATCGGAAGAACAGCAACAGGAGCGGTGACATGTTTCTCATCCAAACTGAACGATACAGATGGTGGAGGGATTGGGAAAAACGGTGTCGTCGTGGAGATGGGAGGTTGGTACATGATAGATTCGAGCTGTATTTTTCGGATTATTATGAATCTGGAATTCTAGACTTACAGGGGACATTTTCAGATTTTGAAGAGCTGTTAAGCGAACAAAGTTTCCAGAATGCGGTTGCACGGGAGTTGCTTCTTGGTCTGAAATTTTGGATACTTTTTTTCTTCTATTTTTCCAGCTATTCTTTCGAAAAATGTTATTAAAAATCAAGCGAATTTTCGTTCAAAATCACCAAAAATGAGAAATTTGTCAAGCAAAAAACTATGTTTCAACAAATTCTTAGAATATTTTTCACTGAAAACGTGCGGAAGTGTTTAATTTCAAACAACACATTTTGAAGGGGTCCTTCTATGACAGGGGACCATTCATTTTTCCTAGCCCCTTTCGGAGGACCCTTCTGTTAGAGGGGCCCTTCTAATATACAGTGCGTTGCAGGTTCTTCGGATTTGGAACAACAAATTAAATCTAGTGAAAAATGTTTGTAATGAAACCTTGAAAGCTACCCGAGTTATCTGGAAAAGTTTGAAATATGACTTTTGCAACTGTTACAAGTTTATACGTCCACTCCAAAGATCAGTAGATCCCGACCTCCAGCGAAAACGGAGGTATTCAATTTTGATTCTTCTTTCATGGAAACGGGTTTGGAGAAGAGAAAAAAGAAATGGAAAATGTAAAAAAAGGGATTTATTGAAAAATAAAATAATTTCAAATATAGATATTCCTGAACATATCAACAAAAATTATGAAAAATGACAGGTTTCAAAAGTGTATTGATTAGCCAGACTTTCGTCTGTTGATCCCTTTCGTCACGTAGAGGCTCAGTACATGAAAGGGAAAATGGGTTTTCACTGGGGGAAAACACCAACACAAAACACCTGTCTCCGAGGACGACAGTTTTCTGATTCTCAATAGTTCTTTTTCACTGCTAAAAATCTATACGATCGCAATTTATTGTCTAGTTCATTTGTTTCTTTTTTCTTTGATTGGGTCTTTTGCAAAAGGGGGACGTTCAGTGAAAATGATTTCACCTAGCCATGAACCACCAAACATGGCGACCCTAAGGGTCTTTTATAACTTTTTTCGCATCCGACCAATCGAAAGAAAAAAGCAAATGAAACAATAAACAGCTTTAGCAGGGAGCTTCAGGGCAGTCAGAAAGTTCTAGTGAAAATTATCAAACTAATTCAAAAAGTGGGATTTCCCAAAGGACTTTTTTTTTCAATACGTGGAATTTTTCAACGTGGACAGAGGTGGGGGGGGGGGGGGCGTGACATAATATCCACATTCAATCCAAATCACACGCTACGCAATGATATATTAGGTTAATATTAGGTTACGCCCTCCTCCTCTGTCCACGTTGAAAAAATTCCACGTATTGAAAAAAACAATTCTTTGGGAAATCCCACTTTTTGAATTAGTTTTCACTAGCACTTTTTGACTACCCTGAAGCTCCCTGCGTAAGCTGTTTATTGTTTCATTTGCTTTTTTCTTTCGATTAATCGGATGAGAAAAAAAGTTATAAAAGACCTTAAGGGTCGCCATGTTTGGTGGTTCATAGGTGCTAGGTGAAATCATTTTCACTGAACGTCCCCCTTTTGCAAAAGACCCAATCAAAGAAAAAAGGAAAAAATGAACTAGACAATAAATAGCGAGCGTATAGCTTTTTAGCAGTGAAAAACAACTATTGAGAATTATAAAACTGTCTCCTAGGAGACAGGGGTTTTGTGTTGGTGTTTTCCCCCAGTGAAAACCCATTTTCCCTTTCATGTACTGAGCCTCTACGTGACGAAAGGGATCAACAGACGAAAGTCTGGCTAATCAATACACTTTTGAAACTTGTCATTTTTCATAATTTTTGTTGATCTTTGGAGTGGACGCATGAACTTGCAACGGTTGCATAAGTCATATTTTTAGACTTTTCCAGATAACTCGGGTAGTTTTCAAGGTTTCATTACAAAAATTGTCCACTAGATTTAATTTGTTGTCTCAAATCCGATTTTCAAAAAATTAAGCCGATACCTTTAACAGCTCTCAAGTTATGACCCTAAACATGGGCGGACGTAAGAACCTGCAACGCACTGTAGTTTTTACGGTATTCTGGTACAAAAAATCGAAGATGTGGGAGAGAAACGCCGGTGGCCGAAAGTCCCAAAACGAAAACTACCGTAACCAAAAAGCGCGCTCGTATTTCTACATGACGATGCAAAGGGCTTTTTGGGCATTTTCGGCGTTTTTTCGCCCCATTAATAAATTCGGTGCCTCGAACGAGGATCGAACTCCGGTCTATTGCTTCACACCCCGGCGTGTAAACCAGTGCGCTATTCGATCGACAAAAATCTTCGTTGTTTTTGATATATAAGAAACTTCTCATTTTTCTCACGTGAAAATTCCAAAATTATTTTCTTTTTCAAAATTTAAATGAGCGTAAATTTCTGAAAAGTGTTAATAATTTACCGTGTTTCCTCTAATAAAAGCTCATAGGCTTCTATTTTTTCAACCTCTTTCTCAGGGTGGGCTTCTATTAGAGATGGGCTTTAATTAGAGGAGATGGTTTCTATTTTTCAATTTTTTATTTTCAAAAAAAATTGTTTTAAAAAATCCGAAATTTGACAATTCGGGAGTTAAGAATTCTGAAATTCAGTGTTTTGGATCATTCGAAATTTTCATTATGCAATTCTAAATTCCAAAATTCCTATTTCACGAAATTCCGAGATTCCAGGATCTCAAACTTCAGAATTCTGGAATTCTGGAACTCCGAGAAAAAAATCTAAAATTCAAAAAATTTGAGATTCGGAAATTGAGAAATTGTCGAGTTCTAAAATCACAGTTCCGAAAATTCTGGAATTTTGAATCAGCGTATTTTCTCCAATACAAGCCCATGGGTTTCTATTGGAGTGTGGGCTTCTATTAGAGGAAATGCGGTATACTAGAATCAAGATTTTTGAGTTTCTGGTTCTAAAAATTTTTGTTTTGATTTTAAGAATATTATAAATTTATAATATTTCAGAAAATTTTGGAATACCGAAGATTATTTCTGAATTGGGATAATTTTTGAAATTGGCGCCGAAATTCAGGTGGAAGGTTAACAATGCGATTTTGCCTAAACCTATGATCGTAAACAAAAAAAACGAAACAAATTGAAAACAAATTTTCACCGAAAAATGTGAGAATCTTACTGATTTTCGCTAATTTCGGTACTTTTTTGACTGGAATTTTTCATTTTTTGAAAAAAAAATTATAGGCCTTCCCTTTCATTGAGCTATCCGAAAAATGGTGCCAAATTCAAAAACTTTGCATGACCAGAATTCGAATTCAAAATTTAACACAAAAATGTCGCTAGGAATAGGGAAAATTATTTTTTCTTCATAGGCATTCAGATTTTTTGGTGATTTTTTAAGATTCTGAAAATTATTCGATTCTTCCTAAAATAATGTGTTCTCTTGAAAAATCTGTAGTTTTTAACTGTGTAGCATGCCTTTGTTAAAATATATAAATTGCAATTTCAAATTTTCTTATTTCTTAATGTACGTACTATTGCTGTCTGAAAAATGAAGGTTAGAGAGTATTTTTACTGGGAGCCTTGCTTCTAGATGTCAACTGATATAGGGTGCTAAGCCAACTTTTTAAAAGCTGAAAGTACTTTTAAGGGCAAACAAGAGTTCAGAGGGAAGGGTTGCTATCCAAGAGAAATTCGACTTATTCCTCTTCTAGTTTTGATGGGAATAAATTCGAATCCACACTAAATTGCTTCAGTCGTACTACTGTGGATCCACGTTCCTTTTTTTTATCTCCCTCATTTTTTTTTGAAATGTCACGGAAAAATATAATATTGCTGTCCTGAGAATCAGAAAATAGAAACTAGGAACAATACACGTGAAGAAAATCTCCCCCCACAACAAAAAATCAAAAAGCCTTTTGCATCCTCATATAGAAATACGAGCTCTCAACCAAAAAACGTGCCTTTTCATCACGGTGAATAATTTGCGAAATTTGATTTTTTTTTTCTGATTTCTTGGCGCTTTTCTCGATACAGTGGAAAATTAGGTTTTTCGGCATTTAAAAATTCTAGGTCGAAATTTTTGATTTGAAAATAGGTAACAATCATGAAGGCGGGGAAAACAAACAAAACGAGCAAATGAACGTCAAATTTGGTTAAGAATTGAAGGAGGAGAAACATTTTTCAGAAAATCACTGAAAAAAAATCAATTTTTCGAGGTTTTTGCCAACCTGTTCGAATACCACCGATCGCATATTTTTTTAATTAGGTAACAATTGTGTAGAATTTTATGGGGAACATTTTGATATAAGTTTCTCCTGGAAAAATTCAAAACTGAGGGAGGAGATAGGTTTTGAAGCAGTCAGATTAGTCAGATTACTGTAGATTTGTGTGAAAATTTTCATTTTCCCAAAATAGTTTGCTTGTTTATTCGGCGTGTTATTTATGGCGGGAAACTTTTAGCTTGGATTGACGTGAAGTGACCTAGAAGAGGGAAAATTGAGGGTGAAAGTGATTCCTAGAGTCTGAAATCCCTCAATAGGTCGGTTCACTAACAAATTGAGTTCTTTTGAACTTTTTGAATTTCGGTTTTTTGCCGATGCACGAGAAACGCGTCAACAATAACCATTAGTGCGCTTATCGTGAATTATTCACCGTGTTTCAGTAAATTTTTTCACTATTAAAAGATATATCAGAATTTAAAGACGAAAAGCAGTGAAAAACGAGAAAATAAAAATATTTTTAGGTTACGGTAGTTGTCGTTTTAGGACCTTCGTCCACCGGCGTTTTTCTTCCACAGTTCCGATTTTTGCATACCAGAAATAGGACAAAGTTCCAGAAAACTCACCGCAACTTATAGTTTTCGAGTTCTCATCCACCAAATCAATCGACGAAAATGCAACAAAATCGTTAGATCCGGTGACGGATTTCAAAATCAATACGACTGGAATACCTTTCGGAACTTCCTCCAATGAAATCAATAATTTATTCCATCCAGATTGAGACTTTCCAGATTTTTCTGTGCCTTCTGTCCAAATAGTCTTCTCATTCATTGATCCAATATTTCTAAATGATAGTGAAGTGATTGATCCAAAACTATCAAACATTTGAAGTTGAATAAAAGAAGACTGATCCATAGGCAATCGAATTGGAGTAGTTGTTAAACTGGATTCTCCAGCAGCTTCATTTACGATTTTATTGGGAAGCATCTGAATGTTCGAAGGGGTCCAAGAGCAAACACTAGAGAGGAAGTGGCAGGAAATTGGGGTGCAAACCTTCGATAATTCTGGAAAAATTGTAATGGAAACAAAAATTGAAGTTAAAAATAAACTTGAGCTTCTTCGAATCTCTCTTCTCCGAATATCTTCTTCGTCGAAAAACTTTGAATCTTGCCCCGCCCACATTACGTTTGCAGGGGTTACCACATCGATTTCATCAACAGCAATCACATCTTCAGCTGTTTGAATATTGTCACATTCGAATATTACACTTGTTTGATTATCGTAAGGAATCGGTGGAAAAATCACACTTCTTCGGTGCCATTTGGTTCTTTCAAGTTCATTCGAAGAAATTGTATCCAGAAGAATTTCATCGGTTTCATTTTTTAGAAGAACCTAGAATTTAGGAGATATTGTAAAACCTTCAATAGAAGTTCTCAGCAAATTTTCGGCACGCCAGGGCACAGAGGGGCACAGGATCCGCATCCAAACGGCACCGTGCCGCGTTGAAAGTGCCCTTGGAACACCGCACCCGTATTTCTAGGCTTTCAGGTGGAAAATCATGAAATTTATTTCTGTTTAGTTTTCAGACATTGGCTGTACCAGATGTCCCGTTGGAAGAGACACCGAAGGAAAATAGGTGAGTTGAGAGATGTTCAAGTAATAATGATGTCGGAAATCTTTTCAGTTATAAAAGACGAGAAGGGAAGTCGTCAAACCGTGGGGGATACTGAAGAAGAAGAAGATATTTTACGACCAGCAACGATGAATATTCCAAATTAAATATGTAAGTGGGCGAGATGTGAAAAACTGAACTATTTTGAAATGACAGTGTTCAAAAAAAATGTTCGAAAGGTTAATGTTAATCCCTGTTTTACAGTTCCGCTGATCTTCGGTGAAAACGTGCCAGACAACTTCCGATGGATTTTCGGGAAGACAATCCGTCCAAAGAAATGTGAGTTTTCATCCAATTAGTTATGTAAATAATCTTTAAAGTATTTGTTCAAAATCAACGGTCAATACTTTGACTGCTTCCTTCACAGAAACTTGTCTATGTGGAACCGTGTATGTAAGGTGATAAATTCTAAACTCAGTCCGGTGGCGTTTGCTAAGCGAGTAGGAGCGATTCCTTATGATATTCTGATCCCTCCCACTTGACCTACAGGACTCGGTCCGTCTGGTCATTTTACTTTTTTATTTGTACAGGTTCCATTTCTTGCCAAATTATCTATCGATTTCCGCCCATGCATTGCAAATAAATATATTATTTAAGCAAAGTTATCTCAACTCCTATGCCAGATATCAAAAACTTGGTGAACTGATAAAAAACTTCTGATATTATGATAAACAATTTACCAGTTGACAACTTTTTGATATCTTTTGCAGTAATCGAGATAAATTGGATCAAAGTTGACAGAGACTTTCTATTAAAAGTTTTTCGGTAGGAAGTTTTACCCTCAAAACGGCTTTTCCTCTTCGTTGATAACGATAAGCAAGAATTCTCATATGATCTGATTTTAAAATTTTCTGTGAAACAACTCTTGAAGAAGGGACTGATGCAAACTTTCCCTGTGCCAAGAGAAACGGTCCTTCTGCAAAAATTCATGAAGATTTTCCAGAAGATTATATTATTTTGGTACAAAAAATCGAAAGCTGCGGCAAAAGCCCGCAACAACATCTACCGTAACCTAAAAATACAGCAAACCACGGCAACCCAAACCGCCAACTTTGAGCATAATTATCTCGGTTCCTGTAAAAGATATGAAAAAGTGTTCAACTGATAAAATGCTTATCATAATACCAATAACATTTTTTTAGTTAACCACTTTTTGATATCTTTCACAAGAACCGAGATATATGGGCTTAAAGTAGGGTGGCCTTCCATTAGAGTGTTTACGGTATTCTTATTTTTCGGATTTATCGTCTCAATTTTCGTGCGTTTTCAGTCAACTTTTTCGCTTTAAAAACTCCATACTTTCGGAATTTATTTAAAGACGAAAAGCAGTGAAAATCGAGCTTAAAAATCCAAAAAAATATTTTCAGGGTACGGTAGTTGACCTTCGACCACATCTCCGATATTTTTTCGTCCCAAAATGATAAATGACTTCTTACCAGATGTAACAACATCAGTAGTTCTAGAAGTGATAAGAAGTCCAGGTTCCTGATGACGTGGCAGAATCGCTAATGAGACAACATTCCAGGGTGGTTTGATATCCCACTCACATGTTCCGTCGTCAAATGAGCACAATTCTAGACAGTGAATTGCAGATATTATTAGAAATAAAAAGAACAAGATTTGTTGAAAAAGCATAGCGTTGAACGGTGTCATCATCTGTCATAATCCAGAAGGTGTGTCGAGTGACCTCGATGTATATCCAAAAAGTGACCGGTTTTCTGGATGATGCTAATAGGAGAGAGGACATGTCAATTATACAAGAGTAAGAGATGTGCGGGCGGGTAAAAGGCTAGTTAGTTATGAAGGTAAGCAATTTATTATATTAAGTCTCTGCACAGAAGAATTTGTAGAAAGAAAAGTAGAAGGAGAGGGGGCGGGGCGAAGAGAAAGTTGAAAGAAAATTGAGAAACAGGAGAACTTTTCTTAAACGATCTTATATTAGAACAGGTAAGTGGCAAATGAAAAAATGATGCCTAGGTTGGGGAGAAAAGCGGAGATGGTGGAGGCAAAAACTGGAGAAGAAGAAAAAAGCGAATGAGAAGAGGGGAACAAAAGTCTATATATTGACATTCAATTTCATGAATACCCGGATAGAACATTTACAAAACCACATTGGGTAAATTAGAAATTCTTTGTCTTTGGTTTCTAACAACATCCTCCGCTACCTCCCGGTCTTTGTGGTTGAACAGGGTTGATGGTATCACGGGATTGCTCATCTGTTGAATCGGGCATCTGAAAAATAAAGAATCGTGATTTTCAAGCTTAGAGCTGATTATTGATTAGTAAGATAGATCTTGAAATTTTACCTTCGCAAGAATCGCCTCCGCCAAATCGTAAAATGCGGTGTCCACATGTACGTTCAATTTTGCAGATGTCTCATGGAACCGGATACCGTGATCCTGTGCAATCTTCTCTCCTCGGTCTTTGCTCACAACTCTTCTGTCACTCATATCACATTTGTTGCCCAATATCATTTTTACCACATCTTCAGACGCGTGTTCATCAATATTCCGAAGCCATTTGGCAATGTTGTCAAAGCTCTTGGCATTTGTGATATCATAAACGAGCATAATACCCATCGCTCCACGATAGTAGGACGTTGTGATCGTATGGAATCGCTCTTGTCCAGCAGTATCCCAAATTTGTAGTTTGATCTTTTTTCCTTTCAATTCAATTGTCTTGATTTTGAAATCGATTCCTGTAATAAATAGATTTCCTAATCGATCAAAGGCAATAAAAAGAAAACTAACCAATTGTTGAAATGAATGTCGTATTGAATGCATCATCTGAAAATCTGTAGAGAATGCAAGTCTTTCCAACTCCAGAGTCTCCTATTAACAGCAGCTTGAATAGCATATCATACGGTCGGCGAGCCATGTTGATCTGGAATGAAGGAAATGTGAGAATGAACGGTTTAAAAAGAGAAGAGTCAGCGAGATTGAGAAAGACAGAAAGGCAAAAAAACACTTGGAGCATTGCAAATATAATACTTTTGAGATTGTGGGAGTAGGCACGGATATTTGAGAGGTTTCTTAATAAGAAGATATTTATTTACTGTTTTAAAAACTCGGAAATCTTCTTTATCCTACCATCTCATCCAGAATTAAATAAGGCACTGGTTTAGAGGAAATCAAAAATTTGAACGGAGCGATTAACCGGTGCGCACATCGATCAGCTGTCTCGGAAATTCTCGGCAATAGATGAACAGCAGCTGGCTTCTGCGCAGGTCACACACACACACACACAAAGAACCCATTATAATTGTTGTTCAAGATAGGAAATGAAAACAGGGCGTAAGCGGAAAAAGACCGAGCGTAAAGTATTCAGTATCGATTGAACCTCTAGTAAAGTACACATTTTGGGAAAAAAAAACCAAGGTGAGTTTCGTCAAAGTGTTATCTTTGGTGTTAGAAACCTGGAAGGGCAGTTGATAAGAAGTTCTGAAAGACGTATTCTGGACATTGACAGATACAGTTTTGTTGAGGAGAGGAACTATAACTTTTCCTTTGATCGATCAGTAGCACTTTTAGCAGGATATGCGGAAGTTCACCGTAAGACCTGTATTAGAAGGGCCCTCCAAAAAGGGCTTGGAAAGCTAGTAAGGACCCCTGTAATAGAAGGACCTTATTAAAAATGTCTTACTTGAAATTGAAAATTTTCGTAGGTTTTCGGTGAAAAATCCTCCGGAAATTCCGAAATTTCACAGAGATTTGTTGCAACACAATTTTTTGCTCGAAAACTTGCTTAATTTTGGTAAAATTGATGGATTTTCATGCATTTTGAACGAAAAATAACCTGATTTTCGGAAAATATATTCGGAAAAAATGGCCGGAAAAATAGAAGGGCCCCTCTAATAGAAGGACGCTCCGGAGGTGCCTTGGAACAATAGAAGGGCCGGCCCTTCTAATACAGGTTTTACGGTATATAAATTATAAACCCTGTATTTCACCTCTGGGATAATGAAAATAGTGAGTTTGTCGAGAAAAAAATGCAACGACAACCGAATGACATAAACAGATTTATTTGACTTCTTTGTCGCTGTTTTCAAATAAAACAAAGCTGTTGACAATGGGGTGGTCAATTCGAATGACATGGGTGTGGTGGAATTTTGAAGGCTAGTGGTTGGACCTAAAAAGAAAAAAAAGAAGACCCCGAAAACAGACGTTTAATTTGATGAGATGGAGAGACAAAAAAGACTCATTCCTCTAGACGAGACGACAGATGAAGAAAGAGGGGGAGCGCCCCCGAGACGTATGGCTAGGGATCGATGGAAATGGGCGAGATGACATGAGACAACGAAAGAGACGCAGAGCTTGCTGACATTGCATTCGAGTTATTGGGAGGAGGATGAGGATGGAAACAGCAGAAAACGGCGGATGAAAAAGAGAGAGGAAGCTCAGGGAGAGCTCGACTAAACCAAAGGGCAATGTGCTGACAGCTTTTAGTCGAACTGGTGGTTCGATCATGCGTTTTCGGTTTCCGGTGAACAAACGTTTGGAAACAAAGCAGGAAACAGGTATACGTAGAGCAAGTGAGCTAAACGGGCCCGTCATTTCACTAGTTTCGAAATGTTCAAAAAACACATAAGGGGGGACCCTTATGTGATTTTTTTCGACCAAAAAAATTTTTTTCGAGTTTTTTCGATCTTTTTTGATCAGACAGACAAACAATCCGAAATACGAAAAAAAAAATGGAAAAAATTATATTGAGAGCTCAAAACTTGGCTCAAAAATACAGAATTTTTGACACCGGGCCCGGGCCTTGAAAATTTCCTCAGGCCCGGAATTTTACAAGTATGCTTTTTTTGATCTACGAAAAAGTACGGCAAAAACGTAATATTTCAGAATTTCGGCTCGTTCGAGCTATTTAATAGATTAATAGATTCTAGAGCTGCTGGCGATCATTTTTATATCAAGAAATCAAAATTTTGTTCAGAAAATCCGACTGAATTCACATAAATAAATTTGTTATCTACAGTATCCGTTTTCGCTCCGCCCCCTCGTAAATCGACACGAGAACCGTCTCCGAGATTTTCAGGTGTCACTTTTTTAATCCGACAATATGAGCGATTACATAAATCTAATGGGGTTATTCATGTAGCGAAACTCATGAATAACCCCATAAGAAATTGAGACAAACAGGATGATATATATAGAAGAGTGCACTCGGCCTCGCGGAAGGGAACCTAGATTTAAAAATTGGAAAGCGCGCCAAGTTTGGACGCGTTGCGCGGTCGCGTCGCGGCTTTTCGGTGAGTAGCGACTCAACAACGCTTAATTTCACGTTTTGAAATTTTCGAATCTGGCACGCAGCCAACTTTTATGTGCGACGAAGCGCGCGTTTTTCAGGTTCCCAACCGCGATGCCGTGTAGAGTGCAATTTTCGCACTAGGATTATAAGAATGACAAGAAGAAGAAAAAATGGGGTATTTGTTCAAAAAAAGAAGGGGAGAAGGATTGCGAAATCGACGGAGACCACTTTAGAACGAGCGGGAGGTGGTGAGTGGGCAGCAGAAATTGTGAATGACTAATGTTTTGAAAACTGAGAGAAAGAGAAATTGAGGAATGTGCAAATATGTGACTAAAACTGCAACACTAAAAAGCTTCAGTTTTTCGTAACTTTCGACTTTTGGGGACAGGGAAAAACAAGAATTTTGAAACAGTATGAACGACATTTGATACTTTCAATATAAAAAATGAAAAACAAAATTATGAATTATCTCTTTTTTGTGAATTATGGATCGAACTTCATGAAGGACTACGCCCAAAACGAAGAGAAAGCTTCAAGCCAAATAAAAAAAAAACAAAATGTGTCAAAAAATTTAAAAGGCTAATCTTTGTCAGAAAAAAACTCGGATAGGCCGAGAAATCGTCGACAAATCGGCAAAGAGACCCCGCAATTTCTGGGGAAAAAAAAATCGGGGAAAAAAAACCGGGGAAAGTGGGCGGAGTCGAAAAAAAACCGTGCGGCAAAACCGTGCCAGGGTTGCAATTTAGGCTCCGCCCCCTCATGACCGTGCCCAAATGTGCAGAAAAACCCTGCGGCAAAACCGTGCCAGGGTTGCATTTTAGGCTCCGCCCCCGACTCCGCCCACTTTTTCCCCGATTTTTTTTTCCCCGGAAATTGCGGGGTCTCATCGGCAAAATGCCTTCTCTTGAAGTGCGCTCCACCGCACACCGATTTTGCCGCCAATTTTTCGCATTTGAATGGTAAAGAAATCAAAACCGTTTTCTTGTTTGCCTTTGGATTGTCAGCTTGATTTTACAATAGGAACGCCATATTTTTGTTATAAAACCTCATTTTGTGAAAAAAAATGGGAGACAGAAATGTCGTTCCTGTTCGAGTACAAAATGTACTTGATATGGATATCGTTCGACTCAATTTATGGTCCATTCAGGTAAAAATAACTAATATTTAGGTAAATGGAAAGAAATCAAGTGTTTTCAGTTTGTAGACTCTGGTGTCATACTTGAGGGATTTGTTCGGAGTGAAGACGGAAATATGATGCAGAAAGTTCGGTCCGGAATGATATGTGTAAGTATGAACAATATTTTTCAAACTCCAAAAATGGAGATAACAATTTATTTGCGAATGAACTGTCTTTCAGAAACGGATGACTGCTACAATGCTTTTTGACTTTTCGGGTTGCTTTTTCGAATTATCTGGCCAGATAGATCGGGAGTATCAACAAAAAAATGGGAATGCCGTCGAGAGTTATCGATGAATTCACAAGTGGATTCCCAGAAAATTGGGTTTCTCTCATAAAATCATTTCTCCCTGTTAACCCAATCAGTGCGGTGAAACATATTCAATCAGCTCCAAGAGAACCTTTGAGGCCTATTAGTGAGCCAATAGTAACGATGCTTGATGAAACGACATTAGAAAGCGAAAAAGATCAGAAACGAAGAAACAAGAGGAGCGATTGGGAAAAAAGCGATTTGAAGAGGAGCGATTGGAAAAAGAACAACGCGAGCAGAAGTTACGAGCTGAGAAAGAAAAGGAAAGACGAGAAGCTGTTGCTGCCGCCGAAGCTGAAAAGAAACGGTTGGAGGAGGAAGAGGATGCCGCAAACTACACCCTTCGTGTTCCTCAATCACAAAGCGGGGAAGCAATCACTCCAATACGGTTCACACGTGGAAACGGACAGAAAGGTGCAAATGTGCGACCGATTTTCGATAAAACTCCAGTTGTGAGTTAGCAATGTATAAATCTGTAAATTGTTTGCTTTTTTCAGAGAGGAAAGCCAGTTGGACCACTGGCTTCGTCAACTCCTCAAGCGCCTCCTCCACAACAACGTCTGTCGAATGTGGAAAAGAAACCGGCGTCTCCAGAGCCTCGACCACGGATTCCTCAGCGTGATCGCGATGTTCAATATGCCAGTGATGCCGATTTGTTTGCTGTACCGAAACTTCCAGCTCCTAAAACCACCAAACCTTCTACTACCTCGGAACCCTCGACGGGGGGAGGCTTCGATTTTCTTGATGAGATGGATGAGCTTTTTGATACTGTTGTGGTTGAACAAACACCTACGCGAAATCGAAGACCGCCGGGATGGTATAGCAGATCGCCATCACCAAGACGTCGTCAACATTCCCCACCAAGAGATAGCTTCGAATCTTCACGATACTCCCAGAGATATAATGATAATTATAACACAAGCCGTATGAGTAGGAGGGATGACACATTCCGAAGAAATGACGAGAGGAGGGACGAATTTAGAATGAACAGGAAACGAGTATATGTATGTGACCGTGGTCTAGTACGCAAGAGAAAATACGTTTTTCAGAACAACTCTCCAGACGACTTTGAATATAGCAATCGATATGATGATCGCAGTAGACGTCCAGATTACTACGATTCTGATTCACTATACGACTCGAAACGGTCTCGTCCTAGAGAGACTTCTTCGTCTTCTGGAAGAGTAAGTTTTCACAAATCGATTTTGGTAATATCACAGTTTTTGTTTAGTCCGTGCGGTTCGAAGATGACTATCGACGAAATCACTGCGATCCAAGAAATAGAAGTGATTCCAGAGACTACAGAAGTTACGATGAGTCTCGTAGAAAACCTGAAGATCATCGTGAGGACAAAAGAAAACTGAACGATATTCTGAGACGAGAGCAGGAGTTGGTGTCCCGTCTTCAGAACAGGAAAAAGTCTTCTGTTTCTTACCGTCCGGAACCATCTTCAGATGAAGATGACATGGCTGATGAATGGGACAGAGAGAATCAGGAAATTTTGGATAACTCGATGATGTTCGGTGATGGACTATCGCAAAAGAAAAGACGAAGTGCGGGTCGCCCATCTAAGGTTAGTTCTTAATTCAGATTATTTTTTAATTCTGAGGACGACTACTAGAGAATGTGAAAGCGTTTTGTTGCTTGGTGACAACCGTGAACATTGAAAGCTGTCCTTTCTGTCTTCGAATATATTTATTTCTATTAAAATACAAAGAAAACTTCAACTAAATGGCTCCATCTTTGCGCCCTAACCCAAAGAAAACTGTTTTCTTCCAGCCGTCGAAAAAAGAACGTCAAGTTCAACCGAAACCTGTTCGAAAGCCGCCACAGCCGAAGAAGAAGAAGCAAAAATCTCCACCTGATGAACTCAATGATAGCATCGCTTCTAACCGTCCTCGCCGTGCTTGTGTAACTCCGTCAACTCCTGCCCCGAAACGAATTGTTTGGCCGAAAAGAGATTTAGATAGACTGAAACACACTATCGGCTTGAAGAAGCCAGCTGGGTCTGATGCCGATTGGGCTGAAGTCACAAGATTGCTGGCAAAAGAAGGTGTCGATGCAGAGGTTGTCAAACAAGTTGCCATTACAAGGCTCAAGTGGAAGGAACCTGCACAAGATCCAGAAACTATTCAGAGAGAAGAAGAGGAGGAGAAGAAAAGAAGACGTGGGGTTGCTGCTAGAGTTAAGGAAGGTGTCAAGCTACATGAAGAGTTGAGACAACCAGGTGTAAAACGAGCTGATAACTCTCAAACTGGTGTGGAAGCTATGGAAGACTACGAACCGGACGATGTCGCTGCTGACCAGTCGTTACTAGCTCTTCAGACTCCGGTAGGAGCAAAGAGAAAAGGTGGAACTAGAGCTTCTATAATGCCAGAGCCTGTAGAAGACTCACCATTGGTTAGAAGGTGAGCCCAACTAAAATCTTTTTCTGAATAATTCCTGATTTCTTCAGAAATAACTCAACTCTCAATTCACCACGACTTGATCAAACGAAAGCAAAAGAAGTGGAGACCACCCTCAAATACGTTCAGCATCTTTCCATGATGAATGCTCATCCTAGCTCGAGAGCTAACACTTCCTATCACAATAAGTCATCGGTATGATCTGAATTGTCATTTATTTGGTTTTAATCATCTTATTTTTAGTCTCGTGGTGGTGGCAGCAAGAATACAAGCATGTCACTGGATCAAGGAACTAGAAAAGCATTGAAGATAATCAATCGTGGAAGAACTATTCACGAGGAAGATGAAGACGATGAAGAAGACGACGAGGATCAATATGAAGATGCCGTCGTTTACTAGATACGCTCAATGCTTTCTAAAATTTACTCACTAATATCTGTGAATAAGGCCTTATGCCCAAATAAAAATCAGTTTGTTAAGTTGATTTGATTTTATTGCCAAAATGAACAAAAATAAATAAGTATGCCTGAAGATTTGAAAATTTTTAGCTCATGAGTACTTTATGCCTTGTGTTGATATTCAGCATCCACGAGCTTCGCAATGGTGTTCAATTGAATGTTAGAAGTTCCTTCGTAAATTGTTCCAATCTTCGAATCACGATAGAACTTTTCAACTGGGAATTCTTTCGTAAATCCGACTCCTCCAAGCCATTCGACGCATTTCGATGTGGCTGTGGTCGCAACCTACAAACAAAAATCTAAGATATTTATTTACATTATTCTTAATACCTGAGAAGCGAAAAGTTTGGCCATCGCGGCTTCACGGACAAATGGAAGTCCGTTTTCCTTCATACGAGCAGCGTTGTATACGAGAAGACGCGCGGCTTCAATTTCCATACGAACTTGTCCAATTTGATGTTGCATGCCCTTCAAAAATGGATTATATCAAAAATAAAACACTGTGGGCACCTGGAAGTCGATAAGTCTTTGTCCGAACTGTTCTCTCTGTTGAAGATATGGAATCGTTTGGTCGAAGCATCCTTGTGCCAATCCAAGCATCTGAGCTCCGATTCCAATTCTTCCGGCGTTGAGACATTCGATTGCGTACTTGTATCCTGAAAATTCGATGTCTTGAATATTCACAAATTCGTAGATGATGTTCTTACCTTTTCCGTACTCTCCGAGAATGGCCGACTTATGCACACGTACGTTATCAAAGTGGACAGAGCATGTCGAAGAAGACGGATTCCGAGCTTGTCTTCTTTTTTGCCCACCGAGACACCTTCTTGATTTCTATCAACAAGGAAACATGTGATTCCCTTGTATCCTTTGGATGGATCAGCATTGGCAAATACAAGGAAGAATTGGGCATGACCGGCATTTGTGATCCACATCTTGGATCCAGAGATCACAAAATCGTCGCCATCCTTCTTAGCTGTGGTTTTCAGAGCAAATGCATCAGATCCAGATCCGGTCTCCGAAAGAGCAAAGGATCCGATAGCCTCGCTGACGATCTTTGGTAAGTATTTTTGTTTTTGCTCTTCACTTCCGAGTTGAATAATTAATGGGGCGACTAGAGTGTTTTGTACATCAACGAACACTGAGACGGATGGATCGATCTTCGCGAGCTCTTCAATCACAAGAACAGCATCGAAAAATGAGGAGCCGGGTCCTCCATACTTTTCTGGAATTTCGATTCCCATCAACTGAAAGTATTTAACAGATTATTTATTATACTTTTATAAATTGGCCTACCCCGTTCTCAAAGGTTCCAGTAATAACGGACTGATGCATCTGCGACTTGTCGTCCATTTCACGAACCAATGGTTTGATGACATTGACAGCGAATCGACGTACTGAAAGAAATGTATCACTATAAAAATAATTCTAGCGATTTCCAACCTGTGTCGACGATAGAAACCTCCTGCTCGGATAGCTGCTGCAATGGTGTTGGTACGTGTCCGTCAATGTGAGCACGTGGCTTCGTCGACATAGAAGACGTCGCGGAGACGAATGGAACAGCCGAGCGGCCCACGAGAATTGACCGAGAGAGGGAGGACATACCTGGAAAGCCATAATAAGAAAAAAAAAAGATTTACACAGAAAGAAAAAAAAGTGGAAATGTAAAAAATCATTGAAACAAGTAAAATCATATTCTATGAAACCAAAGAATCAAGACATTGCCTTCGTAAATTGAGTATTTATCCTATCTTGAGTTGACCTAAGTGTACTCCTGACATGTGAACAATGATGTTAGAAAACGGCAAATTCTAGCCAGGCGAGTGAACAATGGTCTATCGATAAGAACAAATTGAAAAAATAGAAGAAAACTCGGAAGGAGAGTGAAGAGAGATGGGCGGACTGGTGAGATGCAGACAAGAAGACGAAAGGCGCGTTTGGACTGGATGGACAACTGGCGCGAGATGAAATATGAAAACACTTGATAGTGAAAGTGAACGTTTGAAAAGAGTTGGTAAATAACTGGAGATGGGAAGTTGAAGCTAGCTATAAATTTTCGCGCTTCGGGATCTTTTCTGAAAAAAAGGTCAAATTTGGAGAGTTACAGTAGACACTTTTTAAGAGAGCCACCCAAGCCGTAAACTTTGAGCCAATTCATCTCATTTCCTGTTAAAAAGATAAAAAGTTGTCAACTGACAAAATTCTTATCATAAAATGAACAATATTTTGTCAGTTGATTACTTTTTTATATCTTCTACAGAAACCAAAATATATGGGATCAAATTTGACGGTTTAAATAGGTGGCACTCCGCTAGAGTGATTACGGTAGGCTATTGTAAAGGGAACCAGGAGAGTTTTCAGACGTGAGAGTTAATTTATTTTCACAATGGAGCTGTGTAAAGAGTTTCCCGAAATACCAGCAGATTTTAATGATTTTAAAGCGTCACCGAAGCCGTATGATGTATGTTTTAAGACACTTTTTTTTGTGAAGATCGTTACTATTCTAGATGACTTGTAACGAGCTCACATTGAAGAATCACTCAAAGTTTGCTGTTTTATTCAAAGTGAGAAATTTTTATGGAATTCCTGATAAACTAATATCAAAATACAGGTGAAATGTACAAGTAACAAACGTATCAAAATTGAAGATTGTTCCGAAATTTTGAGACCAGGAAATCAGACCTCGGTGATAAATATTCAGAATTATATGAAAAATATTGAAAATCTAGGTTCCTATCAAATTGGTCGACAACATCGACGGAGACTCGCTCTACGTGATTTATACACTAGTCGGAAAGCAGTGGCATGATGAAAGAATGTCAGCTTTCAGGTATCAATTATGGCTGGACGAAATTTCGAGAAATTCTTTTTATTTTAAAAAATTTAGATGTTGGGAAAGAGCAAAAAAGCAAGATGTGCCAACGAAGTGTGTTTCGATTCGGATCAAAAAATCGACTGAATGTGAGAAAAAAGAGAAGAACAAGAAGGATAAAGACAAGACGAAGAGCGAAGATTGATCTATTTTTTTCAATAAAGACATTTGAGTTTACAATTAATTGAAAGGCAAAAAAAGTTCACAATTTTATTGAAAAACACTGCTAAACAGAGAGCGACATTCGGAGTGTCGTAGTGAGGGAAAAAGCGGGAATTCAAAAATATGTTTGTTCCAATCAATCCAATCAGTGACCTAGAACTAACAATATATGCTTTTGAAGCAATTGAACCGTGAAAGCAAAAACACCGATGGTAGAAAAAATCTCAAAATTGCCAACACATAGCAAGAAATAAGTTTTCTCAATTACACTATTACTCGATTTCATCCTCACTCGATCAGTCGATACTCGAAAAACCCAACAAGAATGCCTATGACCGACCCTATTCTAACTCCAACTCGCGAAGGACCACCAGCGGATCCAGCTCTTCTTGCCAATGCAGGATGTACTGCTGATGCTAGTGAAGCAGGGATCAATATGGCTGTCACCGTAAGTGGATCAAATGGCAAACCTACTATTATATTCTATTTTATAGACTATGCAAAAATTCGGACGCGAATTGGAGCAGTTTCCAGCCGAAGGACGTAGACTTGTGGAGCAAGCGATGACCTCTATTTCAACAACCAATCATCGTTCTACGTTAACTTCTGCTTCCCAAAGATCTGCTAGATCTAGATCAGGTCATGGAGAGCAAGATTCATTCGTTAGAATCATCAACATTCTTGTTGACATGGTACATTTTCTACAGTAATACTACAGTAACCCTAATGTTTCAGACGGCTGGTCAAACTCCATCCAAACCGATCATCGAGACATTCGTCCTCTCTTCTATCACATTGGCGGTATTCTCATTGTCTTCTTTACTTGGTGGATATCTTTTGGCTCCATTCATCACATTGGTCATCCCACCGGTTGGAGCGGCCATTTTCAGTGCTCTTGTTGCTCCGGCTGCTGTCTACTATCAATTGAGCAAGGGATACGGTGCTATTGATGGCTTCCGTTTGTTGGTCATTGCTGCTGCTGCTCAAGGAGTTCTCACAGGAGCAGCTTTTGTCCATTTCACTGTCCCATCCGAGCCATTCATTGCACTCTCCACAATTGCTGCTTCATTCGCTATTGCTATGATCAATCCAACATGTGAATTCAAAACTTTGAACAACATATAATCGAATGAAATCATTTTCAGCACGTTCAGCGTCTCTCTCCACAACATTCGCAACATCCATCATCATCCATTCATCTCTGGGAGCAATTGAAGGAGCACTGACCCCCATCTACTTTGTTCTTACTGGTCTCTACACTCTCAGTGCTCTGGTTCCAATCCAATTGGCTACTCGTGACCAAGGACGAGCAAATGTGAATTTGTATTCTGCAGTCCTCGTTGGAACCACAATCGCCTCCAAATGCTTCGTGTATGGAATCCTCGGAAATTCGGATGCTCTGATTTTGGTCGAGCAACAGCTTGGAAACGAAGGCATCATCGAACAGCCAACTAACGCATAAAACTTATTTTTGAATAAAAATATTTTGAACAAAATGCTTACAGTTTGGAAGCTTCATTTTTTCTTAAATGAAAAAATCTTGTTGGGGGTGTAGAGGGGTCATGACTTCAAAGAGGAAGACAATTATAGTACAGTAGGTGCAGGGGGATTTTTTTGACTCGTGAATCGAGAAATTGTTTGACAACTATAAAAGGGGGACTAAAGATAAGACAGGTGAGTTGAAAGAACTGAAAGAGAGAGTAGTGGTTGGGGCAATTCACAATTGATATGTAAAAAAATGAAGGCAAAATGAATGAGATTGATTTCAAAATTGGTTACCAGTAGAAAACAAAACCTGTAATGAGTGATTCGAAATTAGAAAAAAGCTAAGAAAAAAAAAACAGGAAAATGTGAGATAGAGAGAATTAAAAAATTTGTGAAAGTAGAATGAAATCTAGTATGAATTAATCTGTGTCAGAAATAGCGGAGAAGTCGAGAGCTGCACAAGGGGTGTCTAGATCATTTGCATTCAGAGAGAGTGGAACATGATGTCCAGTGGAAGGTCCAGATGATGATGAAGGAATATCATGCATACCAAAATCTGGAGTGATGACCTTGATTCCTAGCTGAACCACTCGGTCCACATTCAAATCGATCACTGATGATGTGTCAGAAACTGGTGCGTCGTTCTCACTGTGATTCAAGAGTTCCTGATCCAAATCAACCTAAAAATAGTCTTTAAAACTTCGAATATGAACCAACGAGCTTACCTCTGACCCGATGCTATTGATGTCAAAAGCAGAAACCCATTTTGGACATTTGCATTCGTTTTCCAACTCATGAAAAATGTTTTCCGTGCTGAATCCCGAATTGAGAGCACTCGATGATTTTGAAAGTAACTGAAAATAAAAAATGAGTAGTAAACAAAATAACCTATACTAACGCTCAACGTTGAGTTATTTCTGCGAATTGCACTACGGGTACATCGTTTCTTCTTCTCTTCTCGATGTCCAGTTTCACCATTTGGTTTCAATGAAGCCATTGAATGGTGACGCTCAAGACGAGCTGATCTGAATTCCGAAGAGTATAAACTATGATTCATTGGAATGTATGATTGAGGTTCGCAAATCTGTCTGCATTCGGTGAGGTTCCAGAGCGACTTGTATCCATAGTCCAGTAGATACATCTCTGGATATTCTACGTGAGGATACCGAAGCTCATTGCGAACACGATCAATTGAGCGTACAGCATGAGCCCTGGAAGTCTAAATTAGAACTGACACATTAGAAAAACGGCACTAACATAGCAGGACCACGTTTTTGGCTGAATTCGCAGTAGAAAATGGGAATGCGCTTCGGGAAGGAGCAGAAAGTCAGGTCTTCTGGGAAAAACGTTGCTTTAATCTTGTCATGTCGAAAAACATTGATGGCCCCTTTCACATGTCCACCTTTGTACTCGAATGGAAAACGGCAGTCAACTATCATATACGTTTTATTGAAGTCATCACCAAGACGTTGGAATTCAGACAGAAGAGTCTTGGCAGATATACTTCTGAATGCTTGGGAAGCTTTTTGTGGTTTGTCGACTGCGGGAAGGGTGTACTTCTGGAAAGCACACAAAATTGAAAACTCTTTTTGGAAAACCCCTTCAACTCACTACTTCAAGCGTAGCTGGCAAATCATGGTCAATGACACCAACGCTCATTGCTCTCAACATTTGCTTCGGTCTTTCCAGAAATGATCCGTTTGCTGAGGTGTCGGATGATTTCCGTTCCAAAGGCGTTGGAGGGGCCAAGTCCCATAATGAAGTAGCCGTCCGCGGTGCTGGTGGGGCAAACGTTGATGCCGAAGTATTGAAATGTTGGCTACTGCTTTGATTCTGCTGCAGAAAGACGTCATCGTCGTCATCATCTCCAAAGGGATCATTACAATTAGGGACGTTGAAAGAACCATTGTAGCGGCAAATCTTTTCACTTTGTGGAGCAGCAACTGACAAGTTTCTACTACGCTTCCGATCCATCAGAGTGAAAGTGGGTGACATCGACGAAGAACTTCTTTTCCTATGTTTATCAAGTGTCCTGTCGAGTAAGCTTTTCTTCTCATACATCGATTGATCATAGGTATCCGTGTCGAAAATAGTTCTCTTCGTTCGCCCGGTTGGTGTATCGTAGTTGTAGCTGAAAATACTACATAAGAATCTTTTAATTAACCTATTCTTTTTTCAAATTCTTAATTCAACAAACGCACAATGAGGAGCTACGAGATGAGCTGACCGATGAATTTCGTTTCATTTTTGCGACAAAATTTGAACAATCGGAAAGGGCAAGTCGTGGTTCCGTTTTGCTAAAATCCACAATCCCTGAGGATTCCATGATATCTTTCTTATCACCACTACAACTTGTCATCGAAACACCTACAAAATATTTTTTGCAGGAATCACCTTTCAATCGTCACTAACTGACCAGAATCACGCGAATCGGCATCTTCCTCGAAAATTATGGATGCAGATTGGACGGTTTGTTCCGAGTGGACGACGACTTCATTGTCGCCTACATTCCCTTGGTCGATATAAATAGGGTGCTCTGCAGCCGTTGTCATCGGAATCACTCAGTTTTCTGTAAATTGCAAGCTCTAGTGTCATAAATTTGAATATGAATGGAAATTGGCGGTCAAATGAATGACAACGCACGAAGAAAAGAGGCGCAGGTGGTGGTAGGAAATATAGCAAAACAGGGGGAAAAGGTCATACTGACATAGAAAAGTGAAAGGGAAGGTAAGCTGCGTTATGACTGTCATTCTATGAAGACGGAACTCGGGTCAAAACTCTAGTGAAACATTGAGAAGAACGAAAGCAAAATCTCAGAATTCAAAGGTTTTTTGAAATCTATTTGGCGGTAGTAACATAGCGGGCTCTATTTGATCTCTAGGCAAAAATATTTTTGGATTGGCACTCATTTCATGCTTAGTTCCATGCTTAAAAAGCAAGCTAATTCTAGCGTCTAACCTAACCGTTTTAGGCCTGCCTCGATAGATTATAAGTTTCACATCTCATTAAGTTTTAAAATAATAATATTATAAGTTTTAGATCGACAGTGAAGCGAGCTCTTGAAGTATTTACTCCAAGACGAAAACCTAAGAACGTAGTTTAAATTCTCTTGGATTCGTATGTTTTGCCCATTCTTTAATTTATTAATAAATGTGCACAACAACTTTTCCTTGATATTAACCCATCATCCCGGGCATCAGTTTCAGCCTCTCTCTATGATCCTTGTCCTGAACAAGCCAAGAAACGATCAGAAAGCGTTCATTTCCGATGGAAGTTGATTACAATGTATAATTTGATCAAATTTCTCACAAGTTCGGAGTAACATATTTTCATGGAGGATCCTGGCAATTTCAAGAATTAGGCCCGTACCGCCTGGCTACCGTACTCCATGATCGACAAAGCGCGCTTGCAAATAGTTTTTGTCTGCATTTTTGCGAAAAGTTTGATGCAAAAAATTCTCTTATTTTTTCAAACATTCAAGCTTCTTTTCCGTTTTTGCTGAAACTTGCCAAATCTCTGTTCCCAAATTTTATTCAAACTATTTTAGAAGCAAAAACCTGTAGTTTTCATTGCGTTGTTTTCGGTAAAATGTTAATCGGTATTCATCGAGTCTAGCATTCAGTTTTGATTTCGTTTTAGTTTCTCTATTTCAGAAAATGAATCTGAGAGAACGAAAGTTTGTTGATTACGTCCTGACACCCCCAAGAATCCTGAAAAGTGCGACCTCAGCGGCTGTTCCGCAAGAGGATGTACCACTCCGTCAGCCGTCTTCCAGAACAATCAGATCAGCTCGACGTTACAGTCCTTCCGAAGGAAATTTTCTTCCAGTTAGAACCTTAAGCGGAACAGGAGTACCTTCCCAGATTTCAGTATTCAAACAACTGAGCTGTCAAAGACAGTCGTCATCTGCTAGTCTTCCACTGAATTCGAGTTCTTCACAACAACCACACCGAAAAGGTATGAATATTTAAGCATACATAAGGATGTTTGAACGTTTGTTCGTTGAAACATTCGAAAGTTTTAAAGATATTTTCGATTAGTCTCGATATATTCAGGAAACGGTACTCCAAATGTTGCCCCTGGGAATGGAGCGAACATTCCCAAATTATCATGCACGAGAAGCTTGACGTCACAGAAAAAATCAACCGAATCACTTTTGAAACCACTCAAGCCTATTGATGGTCAATGTAGCAGAGTATCTCGTCCGAGATGTCGATCAACGAATCCGCAACCAACTATTGTGCCGAGAAAGGCATCGAACGCCTCTACTGCAGGCAGCAGAAACAGAAATGTCTTAAAATCAGTAGTTCCGGCAGCGAGATCTTGTCGTCCGAGAGCATGCTCCACTGCATCGAAAACTAGGGAGCCAAGCAGTCAAAGAATATCGCCAGTTGTTAATCGTCGTCCGAATTCGAATTCTACACGACAATTAAATCAAAATGGTATGAATATTTGAACATAAATGATGAGATTTAAAAATTTTGAGCTATTTTTCCAATTTTAACTTAACCAATTCCCCAACTGGAAAAATGTGCATTTGAATATATTTTCGTTCTTTAACCTCGATGTTTTCAGGAAACGGTACTCCAAATATTGATCCTGAGAATGGAGCGAGTATTCGTAGATCATCAAGCTTGGCGGCGAAGAAAAAATCAATTGAACCACTTGTGAAACCACTCATGCCGAATGTTGGTCGAACTAGAAGTGCCCCTCGGCCGAGATGTCGATCAACGAATCTGAAGCCAACTAGTTCTGCAGGCAACAAAAACAAAAATGTCCTAAAAACATTAATTCCGACAGCGAGATCTTGTAAGTCTGAAGTTCTCAAGGCGACTCCAGTTCAGCAAAGAGTGCAAAATGCTCCACACCAGCGCAAGAGAGTCGAATCGCATCTCAACTATGATTTTGAAATGGAGTCGGAGTCGAAAGAAAAGTGGGACGAGTCCTCAGATGACGAAAACGAATCCGACGACACCACGTCGGATGAAGACGAAGATACCACCCCAAAACGAAGTAAAAAGGATTATGATCCACTATCGGAAATAAATAGCTCTTTCCAACCACTGATGGTTAAATTAGAAATCAAAAAAAGTGTCATGTAATTTAAATTTTAGCCAATCAAAAACACAACAACGGAGCCAAGAAAGTTCAAGGAAATGCAAGAGTTGTGGTCGAAACTCGTGAACGATATTCCAGAGGGAATGTTTCCTGACTACAAATTGTGTCTTCGTGATATGCTGACTGGACGTGTTTCTAGCCAGAATTCTGTTGCGTCGTTAGTTCCTGGACTCCCAGCTCGCGCAGTTCCAACACATAATAAACTTTATGTACTACTATATGAGGCATCAGGAGCGGTAGTTTATATGTCTCATAATGCTAAAACGATGAACAAACTTTTCAGCATCCTTGCAAATATCACGAAGGAACTAAATTGGTCTCCCAGCATAAGCTCGCTGATACTTCTCAGATTGGAGCCCAAATGTTGCTGGAATGTCTCGACAATGGAGTCGTGCCGTTCGATCCTAACGCTGAGACAAGAATTCTGAAGGAAATTCAAACTTATGTTAGAGTATGTGACAAAAGATCAAAATTTTCATAAGATTGATTTGTTTTTAGATTGGTATCAAAGATATGCTTCAAGATATGGTTGAGCGCCTTTCGAAGGATCGTAATATCATCACCGCGGATGATTTGAAAGAGACACTCGTCGCTCGACTTTTCGACTCTAATAATTTGGAGTGAACACAAAAATTTGTTGTCTGATTTTCATAGTTCTCCTTTATTTGTTATCTTGTTTTTTGTTGTTGTTGTTGTTATGTTTCCATTGAAATTTTGTTAAGTTCCAGTTTTCAGAAGCAATAAACATTCATTTCTAGGAAACCGGTATTTTAAGTCGAAAAAAGAGATCAGCGATTGGGGAGAGACCAAAGTACGGCTGAGCGATCAGCACTGGTTGACAGGAAAGAGAAGTCGTGAGGATGCCATCTGAAATCAATTTTATAAATATCTGGGGGATGAATTTAAATGCGCCAACCTGCACTGCACTACTTTGTCTGAATGCTCAGCTACTGGAAGATACATCAATGGAGCCATCAAGTCACCTCGCATATCGGTTATCACTACTCTGGAAAATTTGAAGAATGATAATTACGATTTTTAATGATTTACCGTTTGTCGTAACTGGCGGTTAGCAAATAATAAGCAGCGTTACTGAATCTAACTGTCCGAACTTCATCTCCATGAGGTCTGAAACTGAGTGTTATCGATTGGAATCCAATATATAAAAATTACCTAAAAGTCTGTAAAACCCGATTCCCAGTTATATCGAAAAGTGCAACAGACGCGTCCTCGTGTCCGGATACTAACAGTTTTCCATTAGGATCAACACAAACTGATGTCACTGGAGAAGCATCTGCAAACAATTGAATCAGAACCAAAGTTTAGAGAAAAAGTACAGACTGTGTGATTTGTTGTGGCCAGGAGATATGACATTCGTTGCAGTTTGTTGTCTAAGATCCCAAAATCGAATCGTTTTATCTTGAGAGCATGAAACGAATTGATTTCCTGCTTGACCCCAAGTGTATAATCCAAGGATTGGAGCTGAAAAACAACCCAAAACTCAAATTCCGTCTAAAATTTCCATCCCTACCTGAATGCCCTTTCATTGACTGAATCGACTGTCCTGTATTACAATCTGTCACATTCAAATGACAATTACCAGCTCCTCCTGATATCAATATAGTTGATCTATTGATTGAACTTTCGATGAAAATCAAATCTCGAACTGTTCCATCGTGACATGTCAGCTCCATTTCAGCACCTGGAATTGAACAAGTTGAAAACTTTTTATCAGAAAATGCTGCATACCGATTCTGCAAGCATCCTCATTGAATGCCATCAGTCGTATCGTTTTGTCATTGGATCCCGTTGCCAACAAGTCTCCATTTGGGTTGAATGAAAGACAGTAAACAGATCTATTTTTAGATTTTATTTTATTTTTCGGATTCAAGAACTTACCCTCTGTGTTGCTTTGGTCTCGTCAATGCGACTTCAGCGTTTCTCGTAGATTCATGAGACGTCGGTCTACTAAAATTCATGCCGTAAAGACTGTATTAAATTTGCTCCTTGGATTGTTTTGCCCCTCTATTAGTAGTTCACCCAAAAAAAAGGAGTTTGAAAAATTGTGCTCCGTTCTCTAATTTTAATGTAGGGCTTGTTAATTTTCAAAAATTTTGGAAGGACATGAATTGTTGAAAAGAAACTACCGGAAAACCTGTAATAGAAAGGCTCCTTAACTTTCAACTTTAGGCCATTTTTGTCGGCTCTTTTGAAAGATATAAAAAATTTATCAACCGATAAATTGTTTTTCATAATCTCAGAAGTCAGTGTGTATTATCAGTTGACGCATTTTTGATATCATTGGGTCTGTGCTGTGATATTGCCTGTAATAGAAGGGCCCGTACACTGTCAAGATTGAGCAAGTATCGGTTCCTGTGTAAGATGTCAAAAACGTATCAACGGACAAAACACTTTTGGTATTCTAATAAATATTTATCAGTTGACAACTTTTCAATATCTTTCACAGTAACCGAGAAAAAATACCTCAAAGTTATAATTTAGGGACCCTTCTATTACAGGTTTTCCGGTACACTGCTTTCACAAGTAAATTGAATTTTTAATTGTCGCTGACTCACTTTTGGGTTTTCTTAATATCCGGATAAAGACAAATATGAAGTTGCTTTGAATTTGTACCTAATGCAAAATAACGACCAGATGGATGGAATGCCGTGGCACGAATCGCCTGGGAATCTTCATATCTGAAAAATATTTGAACTACCGTAATCCCCCCACTTTAGTAAATTAAACCTGCAAACAGGAACAAACTGAACACCCATTCCAGATGGAACCGATACGGGCCTTTGCATTGGTTGGACCGTTTGTGGTTGTTGTGGTAATCCAGCAATGGATTGTGGTCTCATCATCGGAACCATTCCTTGGTTGGCCATTTGCTGGAATGAGATGATTTCAGAAGTGTATCTCGATTAATCCACGGATGCCCTAGCATATGGCTTTTATTTCATTCTGCCAAGATTCGTGGTGTTCTGGGACTTTCCTCTTGGGATCAGGTGAAAAAATACGCCTTGAAAAACAAAGATTGATGACAACTTCCTGGTGTCTATTGTGACGGTGTGGTGTTCAAAAATCTATGTCATTCTCATATTCAAGTTTCGTACCTGAGCTCCAATTCCATTCTGAAATCCAGGAGCCGCCGCAACTCTTTGCTGAAATAGTCGTTCTTGTGATTGGACCGGATGCACGTGTCCAGTGGCTGCTGCTACTGCTCTCGGCACAACTATTTCATCTGAAAATAAACACAATTTTTGCATATTTATTCTCTCCTCTTTTTTCTAATTTCCGGCGGCAGAGTAGTCCAAAGTGCTTAGAGAGTGGAAGAGAGAGATATTCATATAGATGTTATAAATACATATATTCTCATTTATTTCTTTTTTTTTCTCTTTCTCAACGGCTCTTTTGGGTCTGTTGCAGAGGTGTTACGACAGACATATTGGTTAATTTTTATAACGTCGATGGTGCTTGAAAAGAACTTCCTTACCCTCGTTTTCGTTTTTTCTTTCCACTGCTCGAAAGTTCTAGGAGCAAAGGCATTTTGATTAAATTTTCGTCTTTATTGGCCTTCTTGCGGCTATTTGGAAATGATGTCACAGAGATGAAATGTAGCAGAAGGAAATGGAAAAATTGCAAGAAGATAAAATCAAACATCTTCATGGAATATTTCGTTTTGAAGTTTTTTGAAGAAGTGCACCCAAACAATTTTTCGGAGGATGCACAGGCTGAAAATTTATAAACCCATTGAAATTCAGCTTCTGGAGAACTTCAGTGATTAAATTCCCTAAAAGACTATTTTCTTGAGAAAAAAGCTTTCAGGTATTATCATTTGGTGCGAAAAATCGGGAGAGAAACGTCGGTGACCAAAGTCTCACAACGGCAATTACCGTAACCTTAAATAATTTTTATTTTCCGGATTTATTATGTTTTGGTGCGCTTTCAGTCATTTTGTTCACTATCAAAAAGTTTTGGTTTCCGACTTTTCTTCGCGTAAAATCAATAGAAAATTTAAAAAAGAAAAATATTTTTAGGTTACAGTAGTTTATCTTCCACAGCTCCGAATTTTTCTTTGTAATAGAACAATATACCAATCTTGAGCTCATAAAAATGACCAAATATTGTTCATAGTTCGATCATGGGATTTCTTATTGGTATTATCTCATTATGGTGTGACTGAAGTATTAGTGTGAATTATCACTTTTGTTGAAAGATTAGAGAACGGGATGAGTCACTTGTTGAAACCTTGAAAGTGTTTCCATTTGTCCTCTTTTCGAAAATCCAATCCTAGAAACCTCAAATCATTTCAACTGTTGAGAAACTTGTGAAGTTTGCCCTCTCCCCCATCTTCCTCAACTCGTTTATAAGATTTTTCGATTTCTGTCATTCTACCAACAAAATGATAATCTAATCTGATTCGCCCCAATCCCTCGCTTTGGCAAGTAGCTGGGGGGGGGGGGGGGGGGGGGGGGAAGAGCGACGATGAGAAGCTCTCATTTTTATCCTTTTTTCCACTCAAATCCGCCCATCAATGTCCTAATCCATTGGTGATGGGCGGCGGCGGAAGAGGAGAGACGAGAAGCCAGATATGATAACGATGATTGAACGAAAGTTGGCAGAGAAGACGTCTCTGGTTTTTGTTTTTTTTTCACAATTTTTTAGTTTTTCGGGATAATTACTAATAGGAAGCGATTTCAAACGGATAGTGAGAAAATTTTGTGAAGTCGCTGTAGAACTTCTAAAAAATAAGGCTGAAATTATAGTAAACACTATCGGAATGACCTAGTACTTCCAACTTTGTGACAATTTATCTTTGTTCCTATGACAGATATCAGAAAGTTACCAACTTATAAAACACTCCTGATATTATGATAAATATTTTGCCAGCTGAGCTATTTTTGAAATCTTGTACAGGAACCAAGAAAAAGCAACTCAAGCTTGACAGCGTCGGGGCTCTTTTATTATAGGTTTTACGGTAAATTAACAAGAGTCTGTCAGAGTCTCTGTTCAATATCCCCCTAAATTAAAAAAACTTAACATGAAATCTATGATCTGATAGAGCTCTATGACGTTAGTTTAACCTAAATACCCCTTAGTTGCTTACTTTTGGGATACCACAGAAGTAATTCGGAGAATTCAAAAACAAGACGAACCAGTGTTCAACTTGGACAAAAAAAAATCTATATTAAGATTTCCAGATGAAGTTTAACAGTTGTAAAAAAAGATTACAATAACACAAAATGGCAGTGCTTTGAAAATTTCAGTAGCCATCATTTTCTGTGGTTCCTTCTTAATCTGCATAATTACCCAGACTGAAGTTTGTACTAGCATGACATTTGAGTTAAACGTTGTACTAGATTCAATTTAATAGTATAAGAATGCGAATATATCATCAGTAAACTGGTAAAGTTTCAAATTATTTGATCAACCTCAATCTAAGTTATCGCTTGTCAAAGTTTCTTCATATTAGGAAAACCACGAGAAACATTACGCGGTCCGTCTTTGGACAACCATAACAATACCTAGACTTGTGGAATCGATTTGAAAACTTCAGTATCAAAAATATAACACTATTTCTATCAATTTTCGAGCTTCCGAGATGCTTATGTCTAAAGATATACCCGTTTTTATGAATCCGAATAATTGGTCCCGAAACTAATGCCTGAAATTGATGCCGATCTCAATTCAATCCTCAACCCATTATTATTAGGTTGGCAGGAAAGTAACTGTCCATTTTTTATTAGTAAATAACACAAACACAAGAATAATCCGGAATTAGCAATATGCACCGTCGTGATCCACAACATGTTGGCAATGTTCAGTTAACTTGTGGGTACCATCCCTCCAAAAGCCAGCTAGTGGCAAGTCAAAGTATCCATCCAGTCCATTTTTTCTGGCATCAATTGTGTTAAAGTCCTTAAGCTCCAGATTACGTTGTATACTTTTGAATAACCAATGATCTGATAGAGCTGAACCAAGTCTTTAACGGGGGTAAAGGAGAACCGTCCAGCCAAAGCGGCTCAGGTACGGCGTGACTTTCCGTGAACATGAGGTTTTTTCATTTTTTACCTGCAGTCAAGTCAGACCTGAGCAGCTTCAGTGGGACCGTTCTCCCTCACCTACTTACAGTCCCGACTGAGCTCTATCAGATTATTGGATATTCGGAGAGATACAACCTCATCTGGAGAATACGAAAATTTGCACCATTTATGTGAAAAACAGGAAAAAATGAATACTTTGATTCGTGACTAGCTGGCTTTTGAAGGTATTGTTTCCACAAGTTATCTGAACATTGCCAACATGTCGTGGACCACGACGGTGCAAAATGCTAATCTTGGATTAATCCTGCTTTTGTATTATTCACAAATAAAACAAGGGACAGTTACTTTCCTGCCAACCTAATATTATTTTCGTATGCCCCCATGTCATCAATTTTTTGGAATAATAAGGTGCTCCTTTGCTCCGTTTTTTTCTCCATATTTATTTTCTCTCTCTCCAGTCTTCCGTCAAATAATTGTACCCGTTTTTCTAGCTGTTCTCACCCACCTACATCTTTTTCTGATATTTGTCACGAAATCTGAGCATCTCGATCTAATTTTTTGTGATGCTGACTGCTCCTTCACAAGGTCATTTTCCATGATGATGCCTCACATGAATGAGCAGGAAAGAAGACGAAAAAGAGGAGCTCCAGGAGGAATTAATTATTCGATTTGTGTGTGTTTGTATGTCCTTCTTCATGTCTCTTCGCACCGCTTTTCAGCCATCATCATCTTTTCTACACGTGGTATTGGCAGACAAAAAAGTTGACGATGTAGAAAAAAAAAGAAGAAGTCGTGTATATCTATAAAATATTCATTCTACCCTAATGGACAGCTTATATACGCTCCAAGCTGTTCTGCTCCTATTCTGAACTTTGGTTCATTCGTCATTGAATTTTTTTTCTCTGTTTTCTAACCTCATTATCTTATGCACCTGACACTTCGCCATATATTATATTATTTTTTCGGCATATCTTTTACTTTTAAAACCCAATATTCCAGTCCTTTGTTGAATGGACTCAATTTCTTTGCTTGTGGGACCTCCGCCGAACGCGTCGAGAGCATTGAATCAAGATGATTTTGATACGCGATACAACTTTGCAAAGTATCGGAAGAAGAAGACAAATACGGAACTTGTGAAGCAGTTTGCAATTGGAGACAACTGGATTCTGTACCAGCAACCCAACTCGTGGATACAGATTCTTCCGATTACGACATGGATTAACAAGTATCATGTTAAAGTGAGTCGGAAGATTAGAGAGAAAACTGAAGTCTAGGCTTTCTTAATTAACTTCAACAAAAAAAGTAATTTTTGTAAATGATAACTCGAATCTGGGTTTCAATTTGCCATAAAACCTGTAATAGAAGGGCCCCTTAACTTTTAACTTCAAGCTAATTTATTTCGGTTCCTGCCAAAAATAACAAAGTTGTCAACTGATGAACTGTTTATCGTAATCTCATACTCATTTTATCAGTTGACACATTTTTGATATCTTGCATAAGAGCCGAGAAAAATCATCTCAAACTTGACAGCGTGGGGGCACTTCTATTACAGGTTTAACCGTGACTTAATTTTTACATTTGCATTCTGAGCAGACGGACAACTTAGAAGACAGTTGAGTTTATGTCAAACTATTTCAGGACACCCTAGGCAAGGATATCCTCGGAGCTCTCTACCTTTCTCTTCTTCTTCTGCCTCAAGCCATCGGTTTTGGTGTTGTGATAAACGATGTCTCTGCTGCAGTCTATTCACTTTTCATTCCTCAAATCATTTATGCTTTCTTCGGATCCGCACAACATTCCTCTCTCGGAGCGCTTTCGTTCACCTCGATTATGATATACTGCTCAATTGAATATTCTAATTCTCATCTCTCCTCGATTTCTCTCTGCTGTGCTTTTATCCAGTTGATCCAATTTTTGCTCCCATTGGAATTAATCTTCTCCTATATCTCTACTTCCGCATTGGCTGGATTTTCCGGTGAGTTAGTGTTATGGGGGTCAATTCAAAATCCCTATTTACAGTTGGTCTTTTCATCCGTACCGTATTCCGTTTCCTCCCACAATTCTTAGTGTTCCGTGGACATGATTGCAAAAGTACAACGGCCGTAGGTCTTCTACTTCCAAATACAACAAACGATGTCAAAAGAGTTCTTCAATGTTTCTACGCAGCTGTTCCATGTCTCAGGTTAGATGAGAAACATAAACCCCCCCCCCCCCCAATAAAAACGAATAAAAACGGGTATATCTTCCAATAAAAACCAATAAAAACGGGTATATCTTTAGAAATAAGTATCTTGGAAGCTCGAAAATTGGTAGAAATATAGTTTTACATTTGATTCAACACTACTCAAAAATTCAAAGCGATTCCTCAAGTCTCGGTATTGTTATGATTATCCAAAGTTGAAAGGTGTAACGCTTCTTGTGCTTTTCATGAGATGAAGCAAATTTAAGAAACGATAACTCAGCTCACAGTTGCTAAAATAATTTGAAACTTGGTCAGTTTACTGATGAGGTATTTTAATTATTAAGCTCCAAATTTGAGTCTATTAACTACAACGCTTGGCTCAAATTTCATGCTACTAAAAACTGGAGTTTCAGATCGGCCGACACTATTCTCATCGTTGCCACCGTCGTTGCTGCAATCATATTCATCATCTTCAAATGGCGCCTTTCTCGTTTTCTAATGTCGAAAATTGGGTTCAGTGCCCCTCATGAATTCGTGGTTCTGCTTTCAGTCACCTTCTTGATATTCTTCTTCCAACCTGATGTTGCTGCCCAATCCACTACACGAATCGACCTATCCATTCCAAAAATCGGTTTATGGACGTTTCCATCATGGTCCACATTTGTGGATTCTTTTGCAATTTCAATTTATGCAATGACTTCGCATATGCAAATTACAAAATCAATTGCAGAAGAGAAAATGTACAAAGTGCATCGGAAGCAAGAGCTTTTCTGTTTCTCCATAATCTCTTTCCTCAGTTCTCTTTTCGGTTTGTTGCCTCCTTCAAGTAGTTACGGAAGCTCTCAAGTAACATTGAATCATCGAAATTCTCACTTGCTGCTAATGTTCTTTCCCTGATTCCTACAATGTTGATGGTTCATTTTGGAGCACCACTTTTCAATTCTCTTCCAATCGTAAGTTCCTAGTTTTAGTCTATTAAAAATTTGATATTTTTCAGTGCGCAATCGGAATCATGATCATAACATCGTTCAATGGTTGGTTCAGCGATCTAAAATCGATTCGAGAGATTTTCTATTCTTCCACTTGGGATGCGGTAAGCATAAATTTCCAATTTAGAACTAATTAGATTCTTTAGGCTCTCTCAATGGCAGCTCTTCTCAGTGCAGTAGTGTTTCCGAACGTTTGCATCGGATTCATTTTCATGTTGTTCTGTTCTGTGTTCGCAGTTTCTTTGAAAGTCCAATTTCCTCGGATGGAAGTTCTCGCAAAACTTTCGGATTCTCATTTTGCTGAGGAAAACCGGTAATTATAGTTTTTTTAGTTTAGAGCTTCAATAAAAATCTGTAGATACGAAGGAGACTGTTTGGATACTCCATTAAGAATCATTCGACTCAGTGGACCACTTCTCTCTGTTAACTGTGAGAGTGTTAGAAGCGAACTTTTCAAACAAGCGGTTGTCGTGAAAGGGTGTGTTACTAAAATGCCAGTGGACAGTCATCAAATGTCTTAAATTTCAGATTGATTGGAATTGGAATTGGAACTAGAACTGCCTCTTTGAGAAGTCAATGTCCGTCCGCAGTTGGACCGAAAGTAAGTCTAAGCCATTCGTCAGAAATGGTTGGAACCTGGTCCGTGTGTGATTTGTAACAAAGCAAGCGTTTTTGCGATTGTGTTGTTTCATTATCACTGTCGTTGTTAACCTTCCATCTGACGAATGGATTAATTAACAGAAATTCATATGAACATTTCCATTTCTTCCCCCAATTCAAGTACTCAATTCAGGAGAGTGTGACAGCCCGTGAATCCGTAAATCTGTCAGCTAACATCACAATTATCCAAGAATGTGATGTTTCCGTTGCACTGCCCCCGTCCGAAGACACTCCATCAATTGTTCGTTTTCTAGTTTTGTCTATGAATGGAGTCACCGGAATCGACAAGGATATGCTGACTTGTTTGTCACAGGTATGTTGACAAATTTACTATGAAACCTGTATTAGAAGGGCTCCCACAAGTTTGAACTCAATTACCGTAAACACTCTTATAAAATGCCCGTCAATTTTGAGCCAATTTATCTCATTTACCGTAAAAAAATATAAAAAATCTGTCAACTGAAACAATGCTTTTCATAATGTTAGTAATCTTTCATTAGTTAACTCATCTATCAGTTGACAACTTTTTCATATCCTTGACAGGAACTGAGAAAAATTGAATCAAAGTTTAAAGTTAGGGCGCCCTTCTGTTACAGGTTCTACCGTTCATATTCAAATGACTAGAACTCAATAATTCAGATTTACGGAGATTTGAGCAGTGAAAATATAAAAATACTAATGGCCGGAGTTCCTGCGTTTGTGCGGGATTCTATGGAGCTTTTGGGTTTTTATAATACAGTTCCAAAGACTCAATTTTACCCAAATGTTCAAGAAGCATTGCTCGCTGCAAGGAATGCTGTACTTCCATTTCATATGAGGTATGGATTATCTCTCATTCCCATTCACATTAATAATTCCCATTTTTCAGTGTTTCAATGAACGGATGCCGTGACGTCATAGCGCTTTCCTGCGCTGCTTCCAATGCAGATTTAAACCGTCAACCATCCCCAGAAGCTGTATAATCTTTTACTCACTCTCATATCATTTTACCTCTTCTCACAAAAGTCTAAAATTTTCAAAACCTACTGAATTGTTTTGTAGCAGAAAACTGTTGAAACAGACGACTTTGAGTCATCAGATTCTCTTCTTGTTGTGTGCTTCCAGACGGAGATCCCAGCTCAGGAACTGTTGGAAGACGGGATGGTGGTACTGATCTGAAATGAGAGAGCTGGAGTCTGGACATTCCGAGTCAAACAAACCTTCTTGTTATTTCGTCCAGCTGTCTTCTCACAGGTGTGAAGTCATAATTAATCATACTTTGAGCCATTGGGGCTACTGGAGCAAGAACTTGAGGAGCCATTGACCTGGAAAAAGAAAACTAGAAACTCCTTGAAAAAGCGAATAGCTTACATATTCATAATCTGATTCGTGATTTGTGATGTAGACGTCGGAACGATCTGCTGGGGAACTGGGACCACTGATGAACTGGGACAACCTCCCGTAACCATTCCAATACCTCTCAAAGTATCAGGCCTTGATGTTTTTGCCAATTGACTTGACTCCATCATTTCATCAATTAACAAACTTTGCGCCATTGCATCTCCTTCAGCAATCGCCGTTCCCAAACAGAAGCCAGCTGCAGTAGACTGTGACATTGGATTGCCACGTGGCACAGCTGGGAACATTGAGGTCGTCAAATCGGCAGGAGGAAGCATGCTCATTGTCATCGACTGGCTCATTTTTTCAGCGAATTTCAGTTTAGACGTTGGCACTAAATTGTGTGGAAATTGGCCTCCAGGTTTGATAGGGGTGGCCATAATAGTCTCCGTCCATGCAGCTTCCAGTTTTGGTTTTCTGAAAACTTTTTGGTTATTTTTCAAGCTGCAAAAATTTGTACCTGATGTGTTCAACTTTCAATTCTAGTTGTTTCTGTTTGAAAGGCATTGCAAACTGCTCTTTTCCAATCATTTCCAACCAACAGACCAATGATAAATCAGTTGATCCGAGTTTCGGACGAAACGTTAGAAGTTCAGATGGCGTCGGTCCAGCTTCTATTCCTCTTTTGTCACCGATGGCTTGTGCCTGACAATAATCCACACAACCTTCATAAAATCTTCCCTTCGCCAATAATCCACTCAGCCTATCATTTGAACTATTCGACTCTTCTCCTCTATCTTTCTCTTTTCCAGTTGGAGGGAGAAGATGTCCACAGAGTTGATGTACCTAAAAACTTAATTTGAAATTTGTTGTTTGCCAAACAACCAAAAAACCTTATGAAAACATTCAACTCTCGCCGAGCTAGGATTCCAATTCTTAAAATCATCATGATCCGAAAGTTTTGGAAGAGTCAAAAGGGCACATAAATGACGATAGTCTTCAGGAGATGGGCAAATGTGTTCCAGATCCTTAAGGCATTCTACTAGCTCCTAAAAATGAATTATTTCGATGAGGACAGATGATTTGATAACTTTACCTCCACTGCAAAATCGTTATCATGAAGTGGTCCAGGTTCGAGTTTTACACAAAGGAGTTCAAAGAATTTGTATTTCGTTATGTTGTATCTAAAACGATTTAGCATTAAAGGCGGACTCCGAACAACTTTTTTCACCAAAAAGTTTAAAAAGTTAGACATTTTCTGCAGTCGTGGCCTAGGTTTCTCACTGCGCGGGAACTCAAGTCCTCGTCCTAATTCGCCACTTTTTGAAGCCAAATGTTCACTTTCAGCGGCCGGGTAATTAGGATATTTTTTGAATTTCCTTGCAATAATATTAGAAAAGTACATACATATCTTTTCGAAAATTTTAGTTCAATAACAATTTTTGATTGGAGTCCCTCTTTTAAGTTCTAAACAGGAAAAAAGCGAACCGAAATGCTCCAAAATCAAATTCCTTGACTGGTTTGAGTGGTTCCACAAAGTCCAGTGCATTGTCCCATTGTCCATCGAGAATTAATTGTCGCAGAAACAATATATCATCTGAGAAGGCACCATTAATCACTCCGGCTTCTCGTTCCAGTGACAGCTGAAATGCATAAAAATAGGTCACAAGAAAGAGTAGCAAGTTATTTTGTAATCTATAACTCGAGAAATAGGCGGAGTCTTAAAAATTAATATTTCAACTTTGCATTTTGCTTCCTAAATTATTCTTTTGTACAATCCATCCTAATCTATCATTTCTACTGAAACTAAATCCAGCTCTCTCAATGATAACCTCACAAATAACTAACCTGTGTAATGTGCAACCCACGAATTTCCAAAAACTCCAGAATCGCCTTGATGACGTCGCGTTCTCGAATTGCAAATGGAATTCCACTTGGAGTTTTCGGTGACTTTGCTAACGTCGTCGAAATCGACGACCTCTCCATTTTGACATCAGATTATTGCGAAATGGATGAAAAAAAAATACCAGAGTAAGTGCCAATTTTGGTGGGAATACTGGTAGTAGTAGACAGCTTTAACTAAACAAGAGACGCAGAAATGCAAAGAGGATCGATGTGTTGAAGTAGAAGAAGAAGAAGCGGAGAATGGAGGAAGAGAAGAAGAAGTAGTAGAAGAAGGAGCACGAAGGGAGCCTCCATATAAAGGGAGCAGATGGTCAAATTTAGAGATTGTATGAGACAAGGAGACGCAGAGAAAAGCTAACATGAACAGATGGTGTCATGATCGGATACTATCCAGTTTCTGATATAGATTTCTTGAGGATGTCAACCATAAATCTAAAAGTTGTACATCGTTGATTGATTTTCATTTCTATAGTCGTACCGTAAACCTGAGAGCTCAAATATCCTAATTACTAGGCAAGATAGCAAAAATGTGTCAACTAAACACTTCTAATATTATCATTAACAATTTTCAGTTAACAGCTTTTTCATATCCGGAATCCGAGGAAAATTGGCCTACAGATTTTAAGGTATTTCTAAAATACCGGTAACCTTATTCTGATGTAAAAGAGATGACAATCTGAAACTACCGTAACCATATGATTCTTCAATATGGTTCCTCAAGTTTTAACATTCTAAAAAACAAATATTTGGAAGAAGTAAGCCATCATTGTTGCTCTTTAGGTACTCTTTTCTTTGCATCTAATTGGTATGTCCCTTGGAAGAAAATTTAAAACTCGATATTTTTTCTCAAAAACATCTATTCAATATTACATTGGTACAAAATTGCGGAGTTGTGGAAGAGAATCAATATTCCTAGGTTACTGTAGTGGTCGTTGTGGGACCTTCGGCGGAGGGTACCGGCGTTTCTCTTTCATATAAAAAAATTTCGAACCGCTGTATAAATTGTTTAAATGTACTTTTGCAAAGATCTTTTCTGGCATTTGAATTATTTACCCTGATCGAAAATTTAATTTAAAGTGGATCAAAACCAATAAATCCTACAGAGTACTACGAAAAACGAACACACTAACAAAGCATCAACGAAAAAAAAACAACTGGTCCTCAAATTCTCTTTTAGTTTGAAAGAAAAGAAAAATGAAAGCAAAAGAGATAGAGAACCTGGCAAAAAGGTACGAAAATGATGGACGAGGAAGAGGTTCCTCATTTCTGCAGCAGCGGGGTTTTAGAATTATTATTAAACCTATTCACCCATGTTTTTTTCCTAGACTCTACTATTTCTAGAGTAAACGGAAGTCCGAAAAGCCTTGAAAGGAGGCCCCATTGTAAATGCATCGACATTTTTGGCTTTTTTTTATTTGTGAGATCGCTTTTGCATTCTTTCTGTGTACTTATTTTTCTGACCAGCAAAGATGTTTAAAAAACTTTTTGAACCTTCATAAGAACATTTTTTTATAATCAGAAATTATCGCAAAGCAATGGGGAAATAAATACAATCAATGAACCAAAATCACTCGAGAGCTACAACGTCTTCAGATTCTCTATCTTCTTCTTCTTCTTCTTTTTTTCTTCTTCCAATCGACTCTTTTTTGCTTCTGGCTCTTCTGACCCATGTCCTCGATCGATGATGAAATCATCTTCTCCAAAATCCACTTCATCTTGATTTGACTTGAATTCTGTCTCACCAGAATCCGGCATCATATAGAATGGGATTCCAACATAATCAGAACTTTTTTCGACCAGTAAATAATTGAGATCTTTGATTCCAAGCCACTGGCAGAATTCTGCAGACTGTGGATTACGGTAGTAGGCGCTAGGTGGCACATTCTTCGCCTCTGATGTGTCCTAAAAAATAAAACAAATTAATTAAAAGTAGCTGATTCACTAATCCTACCTCTTTCAATGGTGGTGCCGTATGCTTAAATGTATCAGTTTTGATTGTTAAATCTCCTAATTTCGTAATTTCTTCCATTTCCTCTGCAGTAGGCCGAAAGTCTTTCCTGTCATAAACGCATGGCACAGATCCAATTCTATCAGGGAGCACAATCTTCGTTTTATCAGCTGTTGTCAGAAGATCAGTGTTTTTCAGAATCGCGAGCCATTCAGGATCGTAAGACAGTTCCATCTTCGCATCACTTGCCACGTTGATTTCCAAAGCCTGCATGAACTGTCTACCAGGAATTGGTTTATCGAGAGATAAAAATCGTGTTGGTTGGGGACGTTCTGATCCAGATCCTTTGTGTGGTACGAGAGCGGCAAACTTGATGTGGAGATGAGCAGCGAGGTAGTATCGAGGGCGGCAGTCCTGAAAACATAATTTTGAAATTCAGACGTTTTAAAGTATGAAATCATACATAAATCAGCTTCATCAGAGCCGGATTTCCCAGTTTTCCGCTTTTATGGTCCGCCTCGAAGAGGTCCTTCTTTTTGAACAGCCACGCACTGTCACCAAAATCCGGAATTCCTCCTGGCCAATCGTGTGAGAGCATGATGTCAATGGGATTCTGTAAGCAATATATTTTTACTATGTTTACTATGTTTAACTGAACGACCCCTTTTCACAGAATGGCTGAAATCAGATTTCGAAAAAAAAGTTATATAAAAAATCTTAATTTCGTTTGCAAATCTCTCCTAGTTCTTTTTCTTATCGATATTGTTTTTGCCTTACTGATAATTTATCGTTGTTGGCGGCTTTTAACTGCCTCAGCCGGAACATGTCCACGTTGCGAACATGGTAAGCGCTTTTAACATCTCTCTCAGCAAATGCAGGTCGCTCGTAATGAGAAAACTCAACATCCCCATGTGAGTAAATTCCAGATAATCCTGCTATTCGAAGTCCTGCGAACTGGATACAATTCGCGAATCCCATATAAAAAATGTTCGGAGCAACCCATCCACCATTCGGTAATTCACATAAGAATCCAGATGCTTCGTGGTTCCCGCCGATGAAAAGCGTCAAAACTGGAGCCTTCTTTTCACCGGAATAGTATTTGTAGAATGTTTGCAAACTGCGATATTTCGGAGGAATGCTCATGTGTGGAAGGTCTCCGTGGTTTCGAACTGCTTGGTAGTCTCCACAGCAGATGAGCAAGTCGAACTTGTATCCTTTCTTTTCTTCGATCAGTGCCATCGTCTAAGATTTTTAATTTATCAAATGAAATAAGTGTTTAGTTATTCAAAACCTCATAAATCGCATCCATTTCTCCATGTGAACATCCGACAACGGCAATTTTGGCCTTCTTCTCCCCATTATTAACTTCTTCTTCGACGATTAACGGCTGTGGAGCAAGATCATGTTGGATTGTGCATTGTGCCTCGTCATGTGAACCACAGCATGGAACTTCATCAACTGTTTCTTCTGTGGACATTCTGAGAAAGACAATAATATTTTATGAAAAGGCTAAACAAAAAGAGCAACTGTAATAAGGGTTAAAACCAGACTTCAAAACAAATAATACACAATATATTATTTCGACATGATAAATATAAATTTTATGAAACGAAACGTTGAGTGAAAATTGAGAGATCGAGAAAATTTAACGGCGAGCCGGTGCTGCTGGAGTTGAGAACATCTTTTTCCAATAGTCAATCTTTTCCATATTAACAAGTGGCATCAGCTGGTCGGCAAAATCACGGAGAGATTTTGCTGCCTGAAAATATTTTTTTTTGGATAACTTTAAATATTAAAATAACCAACCGGCATATATTCTGCAGACTCTGGCAAAGATATGCTAATTTCCACAAGTGCAGAGTCGGACATCGACTTTAGGGAAGAGGAATCGTAAGTTCCTGCCCGAAGTGTTCTCGTCAACGTTGAATGCAGTATTTTAATATTTCCTTTCGTCCACAATTTTCCCTGAGTTATGTATTCGTAATCCATTCGCAATCCCAATGATTTCGCGTACGTCATCATATCTTGTGAATGAACGAGAGAGCTGATCTCTTTTCGAACAATCGTCGGGCACTTCTGATCAGGTTCTGGCACTGAAAACCTTTACGTTAGCTTAAAATAAAAGTGTATATCCAGCATACCTCCAATATACTTAAGTTGCCAGTAATTTTGAATCTGATGTTCTGTTCGGAACCTTCTTCTCAGTCTGAAATCATAATTTTCATGTCGGGTTTTTTCTCAACGAATTACTTAATATCTGTTTTCACATCTGATGTACTGGAGGTTCTAAGGCTGAACGACATTTCGTGCTCATAGAATTCTTCGCAGCCCGGATCCAAAGACCTGCCAAGCGGCGTTCCAAGTCCTGAAAAGTTTTTTCTTTACAAAATATAACTCAGTTCAACTTACTGGGACGTTTTTCACAAAAATAGACCCGTAGAGAACGCATTCTTGAGTTTGATATGGTGTAGAATTTGCAGAAAGCTGAAAGTGCTATTTATGCTAAATATGCCGTAAAATCAATAGAAATACCTTCTGCTGATTGCCTTCTTCGTCAACATCTACAACATTATCCATTTTCCGATGCAAATAGGTTGAATTTAATTAACAAATTGACTTTGGAGAAAAAAATGAATTTGAAAAACAGCCTTGCGCGTAGTTTCTTGGGCATCTGCAGACAAATGCGCACCGTACTGTTTTATAAGAGAGCACACCAACTGGGAGGAAAACAAAAAGTGGTAGGAAAAATGGGCTCCGCCCCCGACTCCGCCCATTTTTCCTCCCAGCATGGTTCTTCCCATTTTTTCTTTTCCTCCCAGTTGGTGTGCTCTCTTTTATAAATTTGGATTTGGAAAAGGAGAGAAAAGAAGACGAAATTTTGTACGAAAAAGGGAGAAAAAAAAGTCAAAATGCTTTTAAAAAATCAAAATTAAAAGTGAGATGATGTACTTGAACGTTCAGAGTGAACATTCAGACTTTACTAGAAGCTCAGAGGCTTGAACATGGGAAGAACATTAGTACCAGAAAAATAATTTATCGTAATCAGAAAAAAAGAAAGTTTCCTCAAATCTTTTCTTTTGATTCGACTTGAGTTGTTTGCTCGCTCGAGTAGGTGTTATTCATCCTTTTACGAAATCTTTGGATCGAAACAATAGGCTGACGTCTCTGAAAAACTTCCATTTGGATTGAACGAAGTTCTGTTCGGGACTCACATCGTAATTCACGGTGACATTGTGTTTGATGTTGAATGTGACAATAGACATCACACAAGTTTTCAACTGCAATTTTTCTTGAGACGCCGTCAGTGTTGGTGGCAGAGATGAAGTCGTTGTTTCAGTGGTGGTGGTTGTATTATCAAGCGAATGTCGTGGGCGAACCCGTTGATCCATTCCGTCTTGTCTTTCTGCGAAACGCTTCATCGAATCTAAAAGTAACCCAATATATCTTCAAAATATTTATTTAAAACCTACTTTCACTTAAATCAACCCAGTTCTTAGCAGTGTTGTAATTGATCGCTTCACCTGAAATGTACTTATTGTTCGCTTCCAACGTCTCTTCTGGAGCCAGCGGATCGAATTGATAGCTGAAAAATCATTAATCGAAATTATTTTATTTGGATTTCTAATATATTACTCTTCGGGCAATGAGAGTCCTTTTTTCAAGTTACAAGCCATGTACTCTCCTCCATACTCAATGTAATTCTTTTCGTCCATAGTCAGGTTCTCGTCGGCTAGAGCTTGCGCCAATTCAGGATTCGTAACCGTGACTCCGTCTTCGGTTTTCAAACATTCCTCCAGTGGAAGATCAGACACGACCCAGACAGGATCACCATTCGGTTTGAAAATGTTTGAGTCTTGAGGAAGTTTTCCACTACCTTTCTTCTTTCTAAATGCTTTGGCAGAGATATTCATTTGACTCGACTCCGGCATTGTTTCCAGACGCTGAATTTTTCAAAATTTCAATTACAATTTCATAGTTCTGAACTCACAGCATCAGCTGAACGTTTTCGTGCTCTTTGAGACTCCATCATGTGTTTCAAAAAGTTCTTAGCCAAATCTTTATTGAATTTTGGCTTGTCCTCGTTATCGGATGGCTCTTTGGATCCATCTGACTTGTTCTCGGCTGTAAATTTTCCAGATTTTGTTGTAGAAATCTTGATTATCTTACTCGATAATTTCTTACGACCTGAGTTGGAAGAAGTTTGTGAATTCTTCTTTTTCTTCTCGTTTCTAGATCCAACTGGGCCATCATTCTCACTCGATGTCTGCAAATTTGGAGAATTTTAAATTTTAAGAAAATTCGATTGCATTAACCCGTTGATCAATAGAAATCGACTGTGTAGCTGTTGCCGAGTTTTTCTTCTTTCGGATTGTTGTTTTGGGAACATCCTTTTCCACTTTATCCTTAATTTTAAACGTTTCATAACTACCGTGAAACCTAGATAGTCACCCACACTGCCAAATTTGAGCTCAATTATCTCGGTTCCTATAAAAGATATCAAAGATGTGTCGACTGATAACATGTTTGTGATATTATGATAAACTATTTTCCAATTGGCCCCTTTATATTTTTTACAGGAACCGAGGTAAATTGGGTCAAAGCTTAAAGTTAGGATGTCCTTCTATTGCAGGTTTTACGGTACCTTTATTTTTCTCCGAATCACTTTTCCTTCTCTGGATGGAAAATTCGTTGTCATTGCAGTCGGATCTTTCAGTATGTTAGCCGGAATCGGAAGTGTTACATTTGTCATCGGTGGAGGAACGACTGGCGGTGGAAGAGGAGTCAATGGAGTTGAAGCAGGAGATGGAGATTTCGTTGGAATACTGAAAACTGCTGGAGGAGCTTTCGGTTTTGGAACTCCTCTGCGACATCTGAATTTTTATTTATCTTCTTGTCCACTTTCTATTTCCACTCTTACTGTGATTTCCCTTCTTTTCGTCTACATTTTTCTTCTCCTTTACGGACTGGAAGGTTAACAGAGTTCACCATTATGATACACTCCAAGATTATGGAAATAGTCGAATTTTGAATTATTTAATTACAATCTGATGAATTCTTGTGGATTTTTTTCTGTTGAACTTTTTTTCATATTTCCACCGGGATTCCACGTTCTGAGGGATCCGGGAACTAATTTTATAGGTCACTAAAACTGATTTTTTAAAAAGAATGATTTTTCAAATCTGATTTTCTAGTTTTTGAACTTTTCTAAAAAATAATATTCAAAAAATAACATTCAGAAAAAGCAGAATTTCAGAATTTCGTATTCTGAAGATCTGAAATTTTCTAACACTTTTGTTTTGAAAAATACGGAAAAATATTTGAAGTTTCAGCAAAATTATTTTTTAATTCGGGAAAAACAGCCAAGTTTCTAAAAAAAGGAAAGGATTCTTAAAAATAAAAAAAAACATTCTTTGAACAGTTCCAAAATCAGATAACAATTCATCAGAGATCTTCCTCATTACAGATTTTTAATATTTATTTTTCCGGATTTTCAAAAAGTTTATTCCGCTGACCTCTATAACTAATTATCATGAGCACACTGCGTTATCTTGTCGTTGAAATATCAAACTTTGAACCGAAACCTAACAATGGCAGTTCAAACAGTGGTGATCAAAGTTCACAATGAGATCTGAGACACGAGTGAACATGTACAACTTTTCTACTGATAAGAAAAGTCTAATTGCACAGATAATTAATAAAACTTTGATTGTATTAATTTCAAGTTCTGTAATTTTTATTTGTGATACATATTTTCAAAAATTTGTAGTGAAATCCGCAGGAATAAACTTTTTGATAATTTGTTTTCCTAATAACATTTTTTTCCTAATTAATTTGCATTTAAAGACAGAAATCCAATTACACTCAACCAAAATTATGCAAATGATACGAAAACTAAAAATTCATATCTCAACATACAAAAAATTTTAATACCGAAAACTTCAAAGGTTGTTCGGGTCTGTGACCAAATGGTGATCTTTGATGTGTCCTCCCCACCAACATGGGCGGGGCTTATAATACAGTAATACTATAAAAGCTCCCAACTTCCCATTCATTCACCAGCTAGATCATGTCTTTCAAAGTTCTTAAAAAATCATTCCTTCTCTCAAGGAAATCCTATAGCACTGCGACTGCATTTCTGACTTCAAGACCATCTGAAGACATTTATGAAAGGACGCCACCAGTTACTTTGCTCTCTGAGAATGAGAATTTCTTTGTGGAGACAGGTAAGTGTTATTTAGTTTCAGAAGTCGTCCATTTTTTTTTGATTTGCAGTTCGAAAGTTTTCCAATAACGTTGTGAAGCCGTTAGTCCGAGAAATGGATAAAAATTCAAAGATGAACCCAATTGTGACAAAAGGAGCATTCGAAAATGGGGTTAGTTTGAAAAACATCATACATACCTATTGTTAGATTTCAGCTAATGGGCCTTCATGTTCCCGAAGAGTACGGAGGATCTGGATCTTCATTTTTCGATGCGATGCTTGTTATTGAGGAGCTGGCAAAAACAGATCCATCGGTCTCCGCAATGGTTGGCATCCATAATACTCTCCCTGTATCAATGATTATCGATCATGGATCGGAAGAACAAAAATTGAAATACCTACCTTCTTTAAGTTCGGATTCTCTTGCTTCATTCTGTATTTCTGAATCTGGAGCTGGATCAGATGCATTTGCTTTGAAAACTACTGCGAAAAAAGATGGATATCATTATCTGATTTCTGGATCGAAAATGTGGATTACAAACTCTTCAGAAGCACAAGTTTTCGTTGTTTTCGCCAATGCGGATCCAAGTCAAAAATACAAAGGAATCACTTGTTTTATTGTCGAAAGATCTCAAGAAGGGGTTTCTGTATGCAAAGAAGAAGATAAACTTGGAATCCGTGCATCATCCACTTGCCAGGTGAATTTTGATAATGTGAGAGTTCACGAGTCAGCAATATTGGGAGAGTATGGAAAAGGTATAATCTGATAAGGTTCCAACTAAACAAACTTTTAAAGTTTTTAGGCTACAAATACGCAATTGAATGTCTGAATGCCGGAAGAATTGCAATTGGAGCACAAATGATAGGACTGGCTCAAGGATGTTTCGATCAAACGATTCCTTATCTTCAACAGAGAGAACAGTTTGGACAAAGACTCATTGACTTCCAGGTAAACTTCTGTTTCGTCATGTTTTGTATTATTCTGGTACAAAACAATCAGAGCCGGGATAGAGAAACGCCGGTGGCCGTTGTCGAAGGTCCTACAACGAAAACACTACCGTAACCTAAAAAGGCTTTCATTTCCGGTTTTCTTATCTCTGTAGATTACTGTAGAAAACTAATTTCCCGCGATTTAAAAAACTAGTCTATTTTCCGCAATTATTTTAAATTTTGGAGTCAAAAAACTACAGTATACAACAAAATCGGTTTTCTTCAGTAATCTACAGTAATCTTCCCAAACACCGTCCCAGAGATTTTCAGGCAGAAAAAACCGGAAAAAGCGAAAAAGAATCTGAAAAAATAACTGAAAAAGCAAAATGGTCTAAAAACTTGGTTTTTGAATGGGGGAAATTGAACCCGAAAGTTGAAATTTTGAAAAAATTGATCGAAAATGAGTAAAAAAATGCCTAAAGCTGACTGAAATTAGTTGAAAATAAGGTGTGGTCCATGTAGTGGCTAAACTGATCGAAAAAAAAAATCAAAAAACGGGTACAAAACAGCTGACAATCCATTTTTAGCTCCGATTTTTTTGTATCAGAATAATCATTTTTGTTGAAATCTATTAGTCTTAAAATCAGAAAATACCAATTTCCAGGGTCTCCAACACCAGATTGCTCAAGCACGAACTGAAATTGAGGCCGCCCGCCTATTAGTTTACAATGCTGCCAGAATGAAAGAATACGGTATTCCATATGTTCGACAAGCAGCCATGGCCAAACTTTTTGCCTCTCAGGTAACAGGAAATCTGATTTAATGTTCACCAAAATTTGGAATTGAGGTTGCAACATCCACGTCGGCACAATGTGTTAAATGGCTTGGTGGAGTGGGATTCACAAAAGATTTTCCAGCTGAAAAATTCTACAGAGATGCAATGATTGGAGAAATTTACGAGGGGACTTCAAATATTCAATTGAATACGATTGCCAAATTAATTGATAATGAGTACAAATTGAGAGCTTGAACTGTTTGTATAGTACAATTCGAAATAAAAAAAAATTGTTCCCATTTCGACTCTTTTCTTCCTCGTCATCCATCTCAATCTCTATTACCTTCGTCAGGAAGGGAAAAAAGTGAGAAAAAGCAGAAAAAGATGCCCAAGAGAGGAAGAAATTACGCATGCGAAACACCCTGGCTTTATGAGTTTTTTCCTTTTTCCTCTTCTTTTTTCTCGAGAAATGCCTTTTTTCTCTTTTCCTTTACCCAGATTTGGCCGGAAAAAGAACACACATTTGCATTGTAAATGTTGTACCAAAATATTTTTTGCGAAGACCAAAAATCTTTACGTTTGCACTCAGCAAATACTTTTTGGTGTGTGAGAATTTTTGAACTATGAGCCGATCTCTCTTGTTTTTTTTTAAATGAGAAATATCACGAATAGTTTACTAAGACACTCATTATGATATCAAAGAAGTTTTATACCACCTACAGGAGATAAATTCAGTCAAAGTATAGCTCTTTTATAGGGTGGAAAACAATTTCCCGGACTTATAAAATGGGTATATATTCAGGCATTAGTCTCTTGGAGGCACTAAAATAGGTACAAATATAATTTTACTTTGATTCAAAGATACTGAAATTTTCGAAGCGATTCCTCAAGTCTAGATATGGTTATGATTGCCCAAAGATGAAATGTTTCTTGCACGCCGTTGTAAATGAAGCAACTTGGACAAGCGATAACTCAGCTCAAAGTTGGTCAAATAATTTGAAACTTGGGCAGTTTACTGATGAATTATTTCAATTTTGGCACTCCTAATTTGAATTCAGTACACTGTATACTCAAATTGTATTCTAGTACAAATTTCAGTCCGGGCAATTATGCACCACCCTGTATTCCAAGTTTAATAGAAGTTGTAAAACTCTGTAGAAAAAGAAAAAGAAAAAACTTAATATCGTTGTTCTGTGAGCATATAAGCTTTTTTCTTGAAACCAGAACAAAGTATTTTTCTTTGGAGACTCATACTCACTTGAAAACGCAATTTGAAAACATATCAGGATTATCATTCCACTTTTAGATTTTTTAAAAACTTAAATCTGGATGATGCATCCGCTCAACACCAATATCTTCCTCCTCCTCCGCGTTTTGCACATTTCACACATCCAAAACGACTTCACAATAAACATTTCCATAGAAACGAAGAAAAAGGGAAAAGCATGAAGAGGAAAGAGGACATGGAGAAATAGATGAAAAATATATTTATGCTCTTTCTCTCTCTCTCTGACTTTCCTTGTCTTAGCTTCTCTCGTCTTCTGTGAGCCCAAAAAAGGAGAGGTCTTTCTTTTTTATAATTAGCTTTGCGACTAGTTTGTCACTCTCTAAGAAAAAAGAGAAGCGAAAATAGTTACTTTTCTCGCGTTTCTCTTGTTTTATTTTTGTCTTATTTTTTGCGATTTTCATCAGTTTTAGTTGTCCAAATGTTCTAAAAAAGATGATTTAACCCCACATTTTTATGAGGCCACCAACTTCTAGAGAGCAAACGTCATAGTCTTCTTAATTGAATTTCTTCTTACTCTTTTCTTTTTTTCTTTTTCTTTTTTCACGCACAATTGATTTCAGCTCTTTACCCCATTTCCTGAATTCAAACTCAATTGTTTTTTGGATAGTTTTTTTGGTTTGAAAAATCTCGGAAACTAACAAAATTGGCAGATTTTGAACCAAAAATTCTGTTACAAAAAATGTTGTGGAAGAGAAACGGCTCGAAAAAGATAACATCTCCAGATTAGAATATTTCAATCCACACCACGGCCTAATCCTTCTCATCCATTTCTACCATTTCTCGCTCTCATATTTCTCCCGAGAGGACTTTTACGATAATAAATCAAAATGTCAGTTGTCAGCTGCTCCTCTTTTCTCTCTCTCTCTCTCTCTCTCTCTCTCTCTCTTCTCACAATGTTCTCACATAATGTTCTCCTTACAATAACTTAAAAGAGATGAGACATCAAAACTTTTTGTTTCGATTGTTTTGAGAATGTTCTCCCTGAAGTATTCTATAAAAATATGAATAATCTAAAAATTGAATCGAAATTTTGACATGTTTTTCATATGTTTTTGATAGTTTAGCCTTTCCGGTTTTCGGATTACAGCTTAGATTTTATAAAAAAGAAAAACAAAAACAACGTTCGGCTATTCAGAAATCAGAATATAATACTATTTATCTTCTATTCTGAATCATTCTATCAATATGAGTAAACAGGTGAATTTGTTGTTCATTTGTCCGTGAAAAAGTAAACATTTTGAGAGGAGCAGAGAAAAGTAGAGGGAAAAGGAACAATTCCTAATGCAAACATTTTCTCTTTTCTCCTCGTTTTCTATATCCATACCTCTGGGAATTACATTTCATCCAACTATTCTGTTCCCCCATTCCAACATATTTTTTTTGTCTCTTTCTCATTTTTTTTAAACCGAAATTTGTTGATTGAAACGTGTCAAATCATCTAGACCTAATTCTTTCTACAGATTCATGAGCCTGAATGCGCAGACGTCGTAGATGCTTGGCGTTGCTTTTCATTTTTTCTGCATTCATCACTCCACTTGGATTTTTCTATTTCACGATTTCAAATGAATCTGGAAAAGTAAGAGGATACATCTTATTCGGTTTTCGGAATTTGAATTTCAGTTTGGATTCTCCTCGGAATATACTAGCGGATTTCAAACATCAGAAGTTGCCGAACAACCTGAAAATGTTCAATTGGATTTTAAAAGTTTTCCAGATAGTGGTAAGAATTTAAAATTATGAATTTTTCAAAAAAAAAAAAGTAATTCAGAATGTTCTGATTTTTCATCAAATGTAACAATCGATTATCCAGAATGTTTGAGCAAGATGCAATGGATCAGAAATGGATGGAAGTAGGTTGACAAAATTTTTTTTACTGAATTAAAACAATTAAAAGTAATGTATTTTCCTAATTTTATTGCAAAAAAACTTTCGATTCGAAATCTCCAAAAAACCCCGTTAAAAACAGAAATTTTGCTAAAACTTTAAAAATATTTTAAAACAATTAAAATTTTGGTCGGAATCCCTCTTTAAACGTTTTTCATTTTAAGGACTCATCAATGTTATGCTGACAATTACATTGATGGATCTGAATGTTCGTTTCGCTATTATTTATCACAAGTGGAAAATTATTGTCCTCCAATGACAGAAACTATACGACGGAATGGTCTTGCAAAGGTAATTTTGAAAATTCCTAATGCCTTCGATTCTTATTAAATTCTTCCTAGATGAGTCCCAGTATCCGACGCCTACTTCCTATTTTTGATGGAATTCCCGTTTATATGAGAACAAGAATTAATCGATTATGGAAAAAGTGGAAAGAAGGAGCACATGAAGTGATGGAAACATATGAAAAAACAATGACGAATAGGAAAAAATTGAATGTTTTGGTTTTCATTGGCTTTTTGGCAAATGAACAAAAACTGAAACTGGCAAAGAAATCAGATCATGGTGGTCCGCTAGGAGAACTACTCCAATGGTCAGATCTTCTTGCATCACTTTCTATTATTGGACATCATTTAGAAGTTACGACTGATAAAGACAGTTTGAGAAGGTTTGTTTTCGGTTTAGTACAGTGTGGCGCATAATTACCTAGACAGAAGTTTGTACTAATTTTGAATTTGAGTGAAGCATGGTACTGGCTTCAAATTTGGAGAGCAAAAAGTCAAATAATTCATTATTAAACTGGTCAAGTTTTAAATTATTTTATCAACTTTGAGCTGAGTTATTGCTTGTCGAAGTTGCTTCATCTCATGAAAATCACAACGGCGCCCAAGAAAAATGTTATCTTTGGACAATCACAACAATACCTAGACTTGAGGAATCGCTTTGAAAATTTCAGTCGCTCTGAAGCAAGCTTAAAATTATATTCCTATCGAATTTCGTCCTTCTAAAATACTTATGTCTTATCCGTGTGGGTAACTCTGCGCCACCCTGTAGAAAATGCAAGAATTAAAAATGAACCAATAAAATATTTGCAGTGTTTTATGGAAATATAAAGAAAGAGGACCTTGTCAGTATGTGAATGGGACCCGTCAACAAATGGATACCATTTTTACGGATATTATGGGATTGAACATTTTGAGACAGTATCACCGACAATTCTTGTTGAATAACAGGTTAGAGGGATTCTAAAAACTATTATAAATTCTCATGTTTTTGAGATGTCGAATCCGCCTACTTGATAGCTTTGGAACTCATGCAGAATTCACAACTAAAACGTATTTTCTTCAAAATAAACGAAAACTTTCGGGTCCATTTTCCCAAAGAAACCCATGGGGAGGACATGGATTGGATCTTCGACAACATTGGACATTTTATCCACATTCCGATGATAACACATTCTTAGGATTCGTCGTAGACACTGAAGGCGTTGATGAGAAGAGGCAGAAGACGTTATATCCATCTGCTTTAGTTTATGGAAAAGAGAAATACATGTGGGAGAACGCAGAAAAACCGATTGGTGTGCTCAAGAAATTTGTGAAGATTCATGCGACTGTTGCTGATTTAGAAGACGTTAATGAGAAAAAGACGAATCAGTCTACAGTTTTCGATGATGTGAAAAACCATGGATTCTTGAATTCTCAAGAAATTTCGGAACTTCTTGACACGACTACGATTTTCTTTGGATTGGGATTCCCTTTGGAAGGACCAGCACCATTGGAAGCGATGGCTCGAGGAGCAGTCTTCATAAATGCTCGATTCGAAATTCCGAAGTCGAGAAAGAATTATAAATTTCTAGCCGAAAAGCCTACTTTAAGAGAGGTAAGTCTAAAATCGAATGTTCTGAAATATCCAGAAAATTGCAGTGGACCAGTCAGAATCCGTACATGGAGGAAATTGGAGAACCGCACGTGATTACTGTAGATATAAATAATGAAAAAGAGTTGGAAATAGCAATCAAACGAGCAATAGAATTGAAGGTTGTTACAATTGTTACAGACACTTTTTTAATTATAAGGTTTTTCAGCCTAAACCATTTGTGCCATTTGAATTCAGTCCGGCAGGAATGTTGCTCCGAGTAGCTCTTTTGCTCGAAAAACAGGAAACTTGTGGAAAAATTGCAAAGTCTAAGAGATGGCCACCAGTTAACCAGATGAAGATTTTCAAAACTGTCAACTCTGGCGACTCTTGTGAAATGACTTGTCATTCTCAGAAGATGAAGTGTGAATCTTCGTATTTTCCAATCATTAATTCACCTTCTCTACTGCAGCGGTAAGCTCTCTCATTACTTAAAAAGAATATTTCTCAAATTTTCAGTCAATTCGGATGTTCATCAACAATCCCTGATGCTTCTCCATTTGCTCCATTCAATTGCACAGTCCAATCGTCTGCATATCTTTTCAGTTGTGCCTCTCGTCCTCCATTGGAAGTCGTCCGTGTATGTCCCTGCCGTGATTATATTCCAGAACAACATGCCGTTTGTAAAGCGTGTCTTTAATTTGAATAGCTTACGGTTTTTTTTGTATATACGGGTTTTCAATTTTGACCAATATCGAAATAAATCTTTTATATAAAAATGAAAACATCATGATGCATCAACAACAACAAACTTAACAAAGTGATAAAAATAATTTTGGGAAACTATAACTTGGACAACTGTTTCGAGTTTGGTTCCTGTTTTTGAGGAAAATGGGTTCCAAGTCAATAAAATTTGATTCGGGGTTAACTCGGATGTGTTACCTGAATGTAAACAGGAACTTGGTTGCGAAATGTCTAGTTTGAAAATTTAGCAGAAAAATTTCAAAAAACTTTGATAAATACAGTTAGCATTCTAATAGAACTACCATCAATGGAGGTATGATCAAAGGGGCGCATCCTAATTGTGCCAATTAAAGGTTTTCAATGTTGGGCATTCAAAATCGAAAGAAAATTATGAACCAACGAAGAAACTTATTAAAGGGGGACTCCGACCAAAAATTTTTATTGCATTAAAATGTTCGAAAAGTTGTCTATTTTCCCAATATTATAGCGAAAAAAATCGAAAAAATCCTAAATCCCCGAAAAATGGCGTTAAAAGCGAAAAAATTTCAAAAAAAGTTGCTAGGAGGGACGAGGATTTGAATTCCCGCGCAGTGAGAAAACTAGGTCACGGTGCGTGACAGCCGTTTTTTCAAGTGGCCGACAGTGGTTTTCTACGTTTTTTACCTGCCGGACATGAAAGCCGAAAAAATCCGGTAAATTTTCCATGTAAGAAAGGCGCAAGGATGCCGTGGCCTAGGTTTCTCACTGCGCGGGAATTCAAATCCTATTTTTTTTCAAAGCAGTTTTTCGGGGATTTAGGATTTTTTTAAAATTTTTTCGCAACAATATTAGGAAAATACATATTTTTTGAAACATTTTAAGGCAATAAAAATTTTTGGTCGGAGTCCCCCTTTAAACAAGAAACAACCATAAATTAGGTCTTAGGCTCTAAATTCACTGATTGTTTCCTTATTTTCAATAGAGATTTTAGATTTATTCATTTAATGTTCACGCGATCTAAAATCTCTATTGAAATTGACGAAAAAGGTAGTGAATCCATTCAGAGCTTAAGACCTAGTTTTCTCCGAGCTGTCTAATGCACAGCAAATTTTGATTGTATAATCGTAAACAACTTTTTCTCAGTTTTCCAATGATATAACTCCATGCACCATTCCCTAGTAAGTCTCTCGTTTTGCCCACTCTTCATGTGAGGGTAACCTACCGTATAATGTAACGAAGAGAACTGTTTAACTAATTAGGAGCAAGAAAAGCTAATTAGGAGCACAGAACTCTAATTGGAGGACAGAACAAGACATAGTAAAGAGAAGGGAATGGGAGTGGGAGTGTCTTTACCATGAGTCAATGACTTCATCTACAGTACCTAATTGTTCCCAATCCCTTCTTCTCACCCATTCTTCCCTCCGCCCACTTTCTCTCTTAAGAACCAACATTATTCAGCCTGTCTCCCACTTCTCAATCCATTTCATTTCCTCATTTCAATGCCTTTTCCAATACTCCGTACTTCGTTCGTCGTGCTCTCAGAAATCATCAGTTTATTGGAACCAAATCAAATGTATGTTTGTTTCTATTCGGTATAATACCTGGAAGATGTGTTCTTTTTCAGAGTGACTGCTTCTTTATGCTCCAAAAAAGTGAGACGTCTTTTTAAAAACTACTATCAACAAAGGAAACCATCAAAATGGAGATTATCCATGTTTGCTGATTCCGATAATGGGTACGTCGACATTATCAGTCGTACAGTCAACAACCGAACATATGTTATAATGACTAAACACACCTCAGAACTAGCCGGAGCACCACACAAATCGATTGAAATCAATGGATATATAAACAAGTTTGACAGAATTTACAGTTTTATATATATGAGTCAGAATTTACAGTTTTATATTTTCAAGATCTAGTGTTTGGAATCAAAATGGTTGTGGATTATGCCACTGACCTGCTTAGTCTAGATATTTACGGGTTACTCATTGATGAAAACGGTATGTGGGCATTCGATTGTATCAATGATCGACAGGAGAAGTTGTTGGGTGGTATGGGGTTGAATAACAATCCCAACTAATGAAGACAAAACAGAGTGAATGAAGACAAAACAGAGGATGATGTGCTAATAGTAAGGTAAGTGCCCAAGAGCTTGAAAACCTACTTGCTCACACAATGACTTGCTCAAGTCATAGTGTGTAGCAATCTTGCCTACAAATTCTTTCTCGGAATTATCTCAACATTTCAACTAAACAAATCTGTGATTCATGTTTTGAGACCCATATTGACCTACCATAAAACCTGTAATAGAAGGGCCTCACACTGTCAAGCTTGAGCTCAATTATCTTGGCTTCTATGAGAGACATAAAAATTTTGTCAACTGACAAATTATTGGTGATATTATGATGAATATTTTATCAGTTGACAAAGTTTTGATATTTTTCCCAGGAATTGAGATAAATTGGCTCGCAGTTAAAAATTAAGGAGCCCTTCTATTACAGGTTTTACGGTATTTCTGACTAGTTTGATTTTTGGGGGCACACACAGGGCGGTACCCCATGAAAAATCAAAATTGACCAAAATAGGTCGATATGGGGTTCAAAACATTTGAAATTATATTTTCAGTTGAACATTTTCTGTGAAAGATTACCCTGTATAGTTTACAGAAACGCACGTTCTTCTGACTTTGTTAGCAACGTTTCTGACAATTTTCGATTCAAAGAAAAACTGGGACCAGCAGATGTTTTGTTATTCGACAATTCAAACTGGATCACTTATGACAACTTCGATGCTATCAAACTCTTCATTTACAGATCCAGACTCACTGAATTAGATTTGAACTCATTTTTAAGATACTGGCGTGCCTGTGGCTCCCCCGATTTTCATTTCTAAGAGTGTTTTTCAAAAGGCATGCCACATTTATCGAAAACTTTGATGAAGATTTGGTAAATCCCATTGCTGAAACAAACGAAGTGAGAAGATTTCGCGTAGTGTTAGTGACTATTCTTAGACTACTTTAATTCTCATAATTTTTCAGTGCTGATGAGGATGTCGACGGAATTCAAGGAGACTACAGTATCCAAAGATGGGATGGTGTCAAAGCAACGATAAGTTGTATGTTCGGATATTTTTCGATGGTTATTTGGCATGCGGATTGATCGAAATTTCATGTTTTTTTGCATTTTTCTAGTTGAACAATCAAATTGTTTATTGAATCTGATAATAACTATACATTTTATTGCAATTTCCATGTTTTTTGTTAGGTTGCTCAGCTCGAAAGTTGAACACTCATTCTCTGAGACACTTCTTGTTTTTCCCCTTTTAATTTTTCACTTCCAATATTCTGTCTTCATTTTTTCATTTCCCAATTTTTTGGCATATTTTTTCATTCTCAACTTTTCACTTCCTATTTTTCACCTTTCAATTTTTCACTTTTAATATTTCGACCCAATTTTTTCACTTCCTATTTCCTTTTAAAATTATTTTCATTTTTTATTCACGTAACGCAATAAATTAAGAAATCAATAAGTATAAGGTCACGTCCCCTTCTTCTGTCCACGTTGAAGAAAAACCCACGTATTGAAAAAAATTTCTCTGTGAAATCCCACTCTTTGAATGTTATTGTCGGATAATTTTCACAAGCCTAGAAGGCCCTAAGGGTCGCCATGTTTTGGGGTTCATGGCTAGGTAGAATCATTTCCGCTGAACGTCCCCCGTTTGCAATAGATTCAATCAAAGATTAATAGAAATGAACAAATATCATTAAAAAGCGTACGCAAGGCTTCTTACAAGGGAAAAGGAACTTTGGAAATTATCCAACAATGGTCCTCGGAGACCATGGCGGGGGGACCCTTTAATGTACTGAGCCTCTACATGGCGAAAGGGATCAACAGGCGAAACGTCTGGCTAATCAGTACACTTGTTGTTTTTCATAAGTTTAAGTTTTTATAAAAACTGTGTTTTCTGTTGATTTTAACAAATTTAGTAAATCTGAAGCTCATGGCGAATAATTTTGTTAACAAGATTTGTTACCTTTTAATTTTTCGACCCAATTTTTTCATTTCCAATTTTTCGTATTCATTTTTTCATTTCCTAATTTTTAAGCATATTTTTTTCATTCCCAACTTTTCACATTCTATTTTTCACCTTTTAATTTTTGATTTTTAAATTTTCGACCCAATTTTTTCACTTCCAATCTCTTGTCCTCAATTTTTCATAAATGATGTTCGAAAATGTTTGTTTTGTTTTGTTTCGTTTGAGGTCCTTAAAGGTGGTGTGCGGTGAAAAATTTTATTGCTTTATTTTGTGCAGAAATTCATGTAGTTTCCCATAAAAATAAAGAAAAAATTCAAAAAAAATTCCTTCATTGAGAAAAACGGCATCGAAAAGTCAAAGTGGGAACCGGTGGCCTAGCGGCCAGGTGTGAGTTTTCTAGGCCAACTGGCGGTAAATGAGCGCGAAATTCGATTTTTTATTGATTTTCAGTGCTTTCTCTGATGTTTTTCAAAGATTTCAAAATGTTTTTGTTAATTTCATCCCAGGTGTATGAAAAAACCTGACAAAAATCAGAGAAAACACTGAAAATCAATAAAAATTCGAATTTCGCGCATTTTTACCGGCAGTTGGCCTAGAAAACTCACACCTGGCCGCTAGGCCACCGGTTCCCACTTTGACTTTTCGATGCCGTTTTTCTCGTTGAAGGAATTTTTTTTTGAATTTTTTCTTTATTTTTATGGGAATCTACATGGATTTCTGCACAAAACAAAACGATAACATTTTTCACCGCACACCACCTTTAAGGACCTACACCTCAAACGAAACAAAACAAAACAAACATTTTCGAACATCATTTATGAAAACCTTTAAAAATTTTAATCGATCTTTTTTATCCGAATAATTGAATTGTATCGTACAGAACTAGCAAAGAAGATCCCAACGTACTTGAATTTAATTCTTCCATATCGACATTTATCAATGCAAATATGTTTTTTTTCAATTTTCAAGAACCGTAGCTTTGATATTCTCAACTAAAAACTCTGAATTGTATGATCAGCATTTTTTGTTTTTTTTTCCCACCCCGAATAGAATCTGAAAATGGGAAATGAAACCAATTCAACCGGAAAATTCCACTAGATCCTGAGAGTTTTCTACCAGTATAAAAAACCTACCTCTGCTTCAGTTTCTTCACATTTCAACCATGAATTCCTTCTTTCTTATTCTCGTTCTCGTCGCTCTCATGTGCTTGTCCCTCGTCGAAGCTGCCGATCCAGATTTCGGAGGAATCTTCTCTGGAGTCGGCGGACTTATGGGATCCATCGGAGGATTGGCTGGAGCCGGAGGAAAGAAAAAGTAACACTTCTCTCATATTTTTCTGACTGACTGAATAAATTTATTTGCATTTCAAACTTTTTATTGTCATGAAAGAAGAGGTTATGAAATGGAAAGGATCAAGGGGAGTTTCACATAGGTTACCGTAATCCACGGAATGAACGATGGAATCTTAAGATAAATATTAAACAGTTGTAGAAGATGTGCATGAAGAAGAAGAAGAGGATGATGAAGACTTCAGAAGTTCTTGCCATCCTCTGACTATCAGTCGGTGTTCATCGGCTTGAACCGGTTTCTCTTGTTCTGCGGGTTCTTCCTGAAAAAAATTTCAATAAAAGCTCAAAAAATCTGCTCACTTCTTCTTTTCTCTCTTTCTCAATTGATGTCGATGTGGAGTTCTGTGAGTTCTCATCCGAACTCTTTGGTTCAATTTTCAAGAATTCTTGTAGTTCCTTGATAATTGGATCCTTTGGTTCCACGTATTCCGGTAACTCATCGCGAATTTTCACTTGAGTCATCTTGGAAGAAAGTTGTCTTTTGAGTAGAGAAGTCAGAGAATCTTCTCGCTGAAGCTTTCCAATCTGACGATCCACTTTCGATGAAAACTCAATTTCAGTGCTCATATCAATAACTGGAACTAGATTCACACTCAATTCCTCCTTTTCCTCTTCTTTTACTTCATCTTTGTTAGGTTCTTCTGATCTCAACGGCCTCACATATCTGGGCATTTCTTCTGAGAATTCCTCGATGATTGGAGGCTCAACACTAGCTTTTGATGTCATCTTTTTCTTCCGATTTGGAGTCGCATAAATTGCATTTGATTTTTTTGATTTATCAACTAAACTTCTCGCATTTCTCGACCATCTTTTCTCCGGTGTTTGTGATCTTCCTGGTTTCTCGTAGCTTTTTGATCTACGCATTGAAAACTCTTCACCGTTTTTCCGATATGATCGCAGTCTGTAATTTAAAAAGTTGAGATTACCGTAAAAGCTGTATTAGAAGGGCCGGCTTTTACTTTGATCCAAAGTCACGATTTCTACATATTATTGCGGTCATTTTTTGTCGAATTTTTTTTTCGAGAAATTCGGTGAATGTTCGTTTAAAAATTGAGCAATTTTTTGGAAAATTTAATTTCAAACAACACATTTTTGAAGGGGCCTTTTATTAGGAGGGCCCTTCTAATACAGGGTTTACGGTAAGAGTTTTTTAAGCTGTCTAGCTCTGAGTGGTTAATAAAAGTAAGCGGTCAATTCAGGAATTCGAAAAAAATAGGCTTGTCAAAAAACTGAAGCTCAACCAATTATTTGAAAATTTGATTCCTGTTTCCAGGAAAAATAGGTTCCACTTGAATGAACTTTGATCCGAGGCTCACCCGGATGTGCTACCTGAATGTAAACAGGAACTTGTTTTTGGAAGGTCTGAAATTTCACTCAAAAACAACTTCAATGAATACCGTAAACACTCTAATAGAACGACCACCGTAATTTGTAACTTTGAGTCAATTTTTTCGGTTCTTGTAATATAAAAAAGTTGTCAACTGACAAAATGCTTATCATAACATCAAAAATGTTTCGTCACTTTGTGATATCTTTTACAGAAAACGAGATATATGAACTCAAAGTTGGGGCATTGGGGGCAGTGATTACGGTAACTTTTTCTCTGCACAACATTCGGATTCTACCTGGAATAATCTCTTTCTGGTATTGGTGGTGGTCCATAGATATCACTATCTCCATCTTCTTCAAAATCACTTTCATTTCCGTCTTCAATTCTTCTCCGGATCCCTCGATATTCCAACCATGAAGCTCTTGCAACGTCATTTCTCGTGGACATTTCAGAAATCAAAGAATCCTCGGAATCGGCCAAAGGAGATGATATCATTTCAAGCTCATCAATGACTCGTTCCATTAAAATTTCTCTGAAATGGAGTATATTACTTACAGTCCCAGTCAATAAGATATTCAAAAACTTTTTTTTCGGTTGATTTTTGCTCATTTTGACCATTTCCAAGAGACTTGAGCCCGGCTGACAAACTTAAGTTTCCAGTAAGGCCTAGATCGTAAACCTTGCATTTACAGAATTTTTTGAAATTTTCCTATTTTTTCAGCTATTTGCTGATTTTTGGAAGACATCATTTTTGTACTGAAAATATGAAAAAAAAAACAGGTGCCTTTCAAAAATCCAAAAAAAAGGAATTTTCAAAAAATTAAATAGATGCAAAGTTTTCAATTTAGGTTTGTTTTACACCCTTCATAATTTTCAAAATGATCGGAAATTGGACAGCAGAGATCCAGACTTCCGAAAATGGTCAAAATGGCTGAAAATCAACTGAAATAGTTTTTGTATATTGACCGGTACTTTTTCGTTTTCCATGCACATCTAATATCATTTGGCACCAACCACCATATCCATTTATCAGTCATACATGCTTTATTACATATTCAAAAATGCACAAAATAATAGAGAAAATAGACAGAGCCTGAGTAAAATTTGAAAAAGAAAAGAGAAAGATAATATATAGGTCTGAAAAATGAGAGAGAGTAGTGAAAGAAACGAACAGTACAGTAACCTGAAAATGAAAACAAAAATTTTAAAACGATTTTTGACTCCTGTATTTTTCGTTTCGGGACCCACATCTCTCATTTTTTTAGACCTAGAATAGAAATTAGTGAAATTCAATACACAATCACGGGTAGAAGACATAAAACGGTTGTTTTTTTAATGGAGCGTACTTGCTACATACAAAATTAGAAGAAGTTTACAAAAATTACGATAGCATCTACCAGTGGCACAAGATAAGGTGCAGACAAAACTACCGTAATCTTGAATTCTAAAAAAATCTAAACATGCACAAACTACGATTATTCACAACTGATCCACAATGCGATTCATAGCATCTCTAGTCTGATACAACGCAAATATCTCTTGACTTTTAGCACTCGCCGGTCGGCCAGGCAACTCATTTGGATCTGAACTTGCCAGCATCAGAGTGCTGCCGATCGGTGAGTGGGCGGGGATTACGAACTCTTGAGATCCACCAAGTGTGGTGGCGAAGGAACGACGAGATGCTGGAGACATGCTACGATGACGGAGTGAACGTTGACTGACAGAAGCATCGTCACGAGTTGAAGACTTTGAACGACGGTGGTGGTATCTGGAATTGGTTAAGATTACGGTAAGAGAGTTCTAGGAATCTCAGAAATTTGCATCCTTGTAAAACATGGGCTCCGCGTCACTTCGAACCCGCTACACTTCGAAACCATTCATTTCGAAATCGGACATTTCGAAAACTTGGGAATACAGGCGGATGGATGAATTTTAGACTAAAAAAAAACAAATTAAGGGTTTTCAAATACGTTTTTTTCTTGATAGGACACAATCTGAAATCAGAAAAATCCAACATTTGTTTTTTTTTCAAAAATTTTTTAACGAATATTTCGAGTTTCAGGGGGTGTTCTATCAAAGAAAGCGTATTTGAAAACCCTGAAATTGGTTTTGTAGTCTTTGTTATCGAATGGTGTTCAGTAAATTAGGATATTCCCACAAACCTTTCCCTATTCTGATTTAGTTCATTTTCTCTCCGATGGTATTCATCCCTTGGCTCATCCCTTCTCTCATCTCTCCGTCTCTCATCTCTCTCCACATAACCATTACTTCTTCTGGACCATTGTCCAGGAGAAACTGAGTTCGCTACACTTCTATGACGATCCGGAACGATATAAAGAGGACTCAATGGAGCGGGATATGGAGGTGGTTGGGATCTGAAATCAAATTAGAGAAAAGTACAGTGTTCATTAAAAAAACCTCAAATCATCCCTGGAACCAGTCATAATAATTGGATGGGTGACCGGCTGGAACACTTGTTTGGGTCGGTAATCGTGGTGGATGTACTGGGGTGGGTCTTGTATTTCATCGTAGAATTCACTTCCATTATCCCGATACCTTCGATCACTCTCCTCAATCAATCTTTCCTTCCACTGAACTTCCTTTCTTAAATCTCTTCTATCTTCATCAGTCATCATCGTCTGTACTTTTCTATCATTCCACTGTTCATATGGCGCCCCATGAGCTCTAACAAGCAAAGGCGCTCCACCGAACGGGGCGGGCGTCAAAGAGATCATTGAGGTGTCTCCATCTAATGGAGCACGAAAGACTTCAACTGTTGTTGTTGTGGTAACGGCGTCATTCAGGAGAGCATTCCTTTTCGATAACTGAATACCTCCAGATGAGGGTTCAATGTTAACCTGTGATCGGGATATTGGAGTTTGCCAGGCAGGTTCATGATGTTTCTGAAAATTTGACGAGGTGAAATAACTGAAATTAATATGGAAATCCTAGTTAGCACAATCCCAACAAAACTGGACTTCAACTTGTTATCAGGACATACAAAATCGGTCAAAAAATTTGGAACGCTTCACGAATTTGCGTGTCATCCTTGCGCAGGGGCCATGCTATTCTTCTCTGTATTGTTCCAATTTTAGTATATGTTCTCGGAACAACGAATTCTTAAATAGGTCATCTGTTTATATAGGGACCCCCTAGACAGCAGCCGACATCTCCCGGGTTCCGCGCGTCACTTTTTTTTCTTGTTTCTGTGTGAAGGGGCGGAGCCTACGTTGCCTTGTGGGAAAGATGATGTTCTAGAAGGTGTATATGGGTTAAATATGTCATTTTGACAAGAAAAGTTGAATTTAAAATGTTTTTGAGAATCAAAGATCGAACATTGTAACAGCAATTTTGTCAAAAATTTTTTGAAATATTCATTCAAACCTCTCTCGAATTTTCTTTATTTTCGTCTCTCTTGTTTTTTTTTTTGAATTATCTTTTTTTCAAAATTTATCTTGTTTTTTCATGCTCTTTTTCACTCTTTATACACAGAAATACAATAAAAAACACCTATAAAGTATTATAACACAGCTAACTCTTATCAGGAAAGGGGCGGAGCCAATTGGCATGGTTATGTGAATGAAACGGTTCGGTGATATAAATTACTCAAATGACCGAAAGATAACGGGTAAATTTGCTAAAACCCATATATACTTACTGGCATACAAAGTCTCTTTTTTATTTAAAATTCAAGACAATCGTAGTTCCTCTAATAGATGCCCACCCAAATTATCAATTTTGAGTTCATATATCTCATTTCCTGTTTCCTAAAAAAATATTAATGATAATTTCAAAAATATGTTGTTAGTTAATCACTTTTTAATATCTTTCACAGGGAATGAGATAATTAAGCTCAAAGTTGACAGTTTGGGAGGGGCTCCTATTAGAGGAAATACGGTAATACGTTTGCCTACATCTACAGAGTCTTACCGATTCTTCAATAAGGTTTCTTTCATAATAATATCTAGTAGTAGACAACATCACTTTTGTCAGGGGTTTGCCAACGAAACAGAGCCAAAACTTTTTGTGTCTTTTCTGTGGATCCAAAAACAAATGAAAACCACCAAAAAACGAGCAAGAAAAAGAGTTTTGTGATGTTTGTGTCTCTTTTTTTCAGGTCGGTGTCATATTTATACACTCTGTTTCCCAACCCTTCTACGTATCGAATTCCCTCCGTGTTTACTTTCACCGCTTTTGGCACCTCCTCTCTATTTTTCTTCACCGTTGGCTACTACTTGTCACAAGGGTAGGCAAGGGATAGGTTTCTGGCAAGAATCCCTCGAAAACCAAAAATGTAAGAAGAAGATCGAATGCAAATATTGACAGTGATGCGCGAAATGTCTCGCACTGTTTCACATTTTTGAATTTTGCAGTCTCTTGGAAAAACGGATGACTCACCGGACGGAAGACGTTTAACACAAGCTTCGTTGGTTGGATGAACTCGTCTGGTGGTGAATCACGACCCTGGAATAAATAAAAATCAGATATTGGCTGCGTTACTTTGACTTTCGAATGATCTCAAAAATGATTTCGGTTTCAAAAAGTGCTCATACCTGTTTCGATAGATATGGTCCCTAGTTGTTTAGATATTTTATTTCCTGTATTAGAAGCCCACCCAAATTGAGCTCAATAATCTTGATTCATTTAAAAGATATAAAAAAGAGGTAAACTGGTAAATTATTTATCATGATATCACAAATATTTTATCAGTGGACAAGGTTTTCATATCTCGCACAGGAATCGAGATAATTGATCTCAAAGTAGACGGTTCTTCTGGGCTTCTAGTAAAGAAAATAAGTTACTGTTTTTATCTTGAAAAAACGTCATGAAGGAAAGGTTTGTATTTTTTTTTCATTGACAACTATCTAAAACTAGTAAAAATAACAATAAGAAATTAGGTTTTTCTAATTATAAAAGAAAATCAGATTTCAACAGACTATAAAGGTCCAGACAGCCCAAATAGGTTTAGCCCAAAACGGATTTTCGAAATAGGATATATTTTTTTCTTCACTTCCATCTAATAAAAAAAGTTCTGCAAGTTCTTTCCAGCTTTCGATCAGAATAGTCTGCAAGTTTAGCAAGAATTCGATCGTTGTCATGGAAAAGCTATTTGAAAAAACTGGAAACTGATCCTAATGAAATCTTTAAAATAATTTTTTTGGTTTTCAGAATTTGTCTGACAAGACATCATCAGTAAAACTTCAGGATTTTTTCATTATGGACATTTCCGATGGCCAATTTAAATAACTTTTTGGTCAATATCAGTCTATTTTTCCTTTATCTCCTCTTGAAGCTCACTCAAACCATCAACTTTGTGCTCAACTATCTCGATTCCTATAGAATATATAGAAAAGTGGTCAATTAAAAAACTATCTTTGACATTATCTCCCTTATATATAAAACGCTAGAGGCGTCTGTCTGTCCCGATGTCAGTCTGTCAACTTTTGAAATACTTGAAAAATAAACATAGATTTACGTGACCCTTTCGGAAAAATGAGCTAAGCGACGAAGAAAAAAACTAGGTTAAATCGCGCCGAAGGCGCACCAGCTTGCTGGTCATTAATATTTTCCCAGTTGACAATTTTTTGATATCTTTCACCGGAATCGAGATAACTGAGCTCAAAGTTGACGGTTTTGGTGGGCTAGTAATAGAGGAAGTTCAGTATTTTCTTTTTAAAAAATCAACTCACTTTAAACGAATAAATGGGTGATGGTGGAGGAGATGGAGGCTTCGGAAGAGGAGCTAGATGATGTCCATTTTCTCGTTTCGATGGTCCTTCTCTTCCAACTGAAATTAATGTTTCACGGGATGTACTTGGTACCATTTGAATTGGAAGAGGAGATTGTCTCTGAATATGAACAAGATGAAAATAGGATTCAGAAGGAGACTAACATGAAGAGAAGTAGTGGATCTCGTCAAATCGAATCCTTCTTCCAGCCTTCGGGATGGAGATTCAGAATACGGAGACATCCATGAACTCTGACTTGTACTTGGACTCGCTGACTGGATTGCACTGTGTACCACTAACCCATTATGCTGCCCTCCACTTGTGGTTACTGTAGTTTTCATATTAATAATCATTTGTCCATGTCCTCCACTAGTTGACTGATTGCTGAGGTTATCATAAATTCCACGTTGCGGATATCCATTAGAACCGCGCATGGCGGCGGCTTTTTGAGAGACTCTCTGGCGCGAATTTGAGTTTCTGGAGGAATGTGATGATGCATTGTGACGGGACATAGATGTACGAATGAAAATAGTCCAGAGAGATGGAGAATCGGAGAGTGTTGAGGGGTGATAAGAAAAATTGTGGAAGAAAATTTCAACAAAATTCAGTCACACATTTTTAGTTTTCCATAAAAAATAGGGAGACGCAGATAGACAAGAGAGACTGTTGATGTGCTTTTCGGGGTTGTTTGTTCAATATGTATACGCGCATGTGTTTGGAAGGCAACATGGAAAACGAGTGAAAACGAAGAAAAGTATTAGGGAAAACTATACTGAAGAAGAAGAGGAGTGAAATAAGGATTTGGATGGAGAAAAAGGTGAGAAAAGGGGGAGAGATACCAAAGCTTATCAGTTCAGAAACACCCATTCATTATCTATAATTGAATAAGGGATTATATAGTATTAAGCTCGAGGAGCGAGCTGGTGGCTTTTTCAATTTTTAGAAAATGTTCTTTATTTTTTAATTGAAAGTCATGAAAGAAAAATTCGAAATTCCAAAATTCCAAAATTAGGTCTCAGAAATTTTGAATTTTTAAACATTTTCAAAAAACCTAATCATCCACAAATACTTTAAAATTTGAGAAAAATAGAGAACCGAAAATGGAAAACCATTCAGAACTATAAACAAAACGATTTTTATTTTTGACTTGGTGCATACTGAAACAACCGAAAAACCTGTAATAGGAGAGCACTTAGCCTTTAACTTTGAGCCAATTTTTCTCGGTTATTGTGAAAGATATGAGAAAGTTATCAACTGATAAAAAGTATCTTTATATCACAAATATTTTATCAGTTGACACATTTTTGATATCTTGTATAGGAATTGAGATAATTGAGCTCAAACTTGACAGTGCGGGTGCCCTTCTATTACAGGTTTCATGAATATTTTTAGTGCCTGGGATTTAAAAAAATATAGAATTCGAAAACACAAAAACTAGAATTTCGAAAAATAGAATTTACTTTTTTCCCAAGAACCTAAAACTCCAAGAATTCGAAAAAAATAGTAAAAATGCGAAAGACCCGGAAAAGCGGAAATTTTCGAAATTTGGAAATTTGGAAAAAATTGAGTTATTAAAAATCTGAACGTTTGACTTTTTTCAGCCTGAAAATAAATTCTAAAAATATTAAATTCCTAAATTCGATTAATAAAAAAAAATAAGCAACATATTCAGTTTGACTGAATTAACATAAAAGAGGTCAATATGACAAGAAAGTTAAACCAACTAAAATAGAGAACCGTTTTTCGAATAAAAAAATTTAAGGCAAAATAGTACTAAAAACTTCTAGTAAAAAATCGGTTGAATTCCAAAAAGTGTGTCATCCAGTTATGCTGATTCATCTATAATTGAATAGTGAGTCATGGAAGAACATAGTTTTGAAATAGAGGTTCAGATGAGAAGAATCATATTTTTAAATGATGGAAGTACAGTAATTTTTTCCGTTTCAATCCAATTTAAAAATAAAAGCTAACCACAAAATTAACAGAAATCGACAAGGAAACCCGACAAAAAACATGTTCCGTATGGTTGAAGTGAAGTGGTTGCTGGACACTAAACGGAAGCTTATCCATATCTATTTTTCTCTGGACAGATATCAATATCAACGACTCTAAGAGGATCGGAGGGGAAGAGCAAGAGAGCATGTCTGTGCTCCCAAGATGACACAAAAAATGAAGTGCTTCTTCTGTGGGAGAATTTAGAAACAAAGAGATAATTAAAGATGAAGAGACGCAGAGATTCGAAATATAGAGAGCGCATGATAGACTCTCTGAGCAAACAGTGCAACGACACGAAAGAGAAAAGTGAAAGAAGTAGAAGCAGACCAAGAAGCAGATTCTGGATAGAGACCTGAGAAGAATAGGTATAGAGAGAGAGAGAGAGTGAGTGAGTAAAAGTATTCGGGTCTTGGCACGAAACTTGAAACTCGAACATGAATTAGGGATTCGTATACGCATAGAATACTGGAACACGAACATGGAAAGATAGAATCTTTGTCGATTTTCAAAAGTATTCTTTTTGAAAAATGAGAATTGGCAAATAGAAAATCAGATCACTTTGGAAAATTAGAGCTAATAACCTGAGTTGCCTTCATTACAGCGCGTCGCATAATTAGGATCATAAAATCTGAGCAAAGCGTTGTATTGGGCTGAAATATGGAGCGCTAAAACTCAAATAATTCATCAGTAAACTGGCGTAGTTTCAAATTATTTAATTAACTTTGAGCTGAGTTGACGCTTATCAAAATTGCTTCAACTCATGGAAATCACATCGGCATGCAAGAAACCATTCATCTTTGAGCAATCATAACAATAGATTTGAGAAATTGCTTTGAAAATTTCAGTTGCTTTGAATGAAACGTAAAATTATACCTAAGAGTTTTTGTGCTTCCAAGATACCTATGTCTAAAGATTAACCGGTTTTTATTTGTCTGTTCGCCACCCCGTAGAAAAGCAGAAGCTAAAAATGAACCAAAAAAAAGTTTGCAGTATTCTATGGAAGTATAAGGAAAGAGGACCTTGTCAGTATGTGAATGGGACCCGTCAACAAATGGATATCTTTTACGGATATTATGGGATTGAACATTTTTAGACAGTACCACCGACAGTTTTTGTAGAACAACAGGTTGGATTTACTCTGAAAGATTTGATTGGAAAACTAGATTTTCATGTTTTTCAGATGTCGAATCCGAATACTTGATAGTTTTGGAACTCATGCAGTATTCACAACTAAAACGTATTTCCTTCAATATAAACGAAAACTTTGTGTTCCATATTCTCAACGAAAACCATGGGGAGGACATGGATTGGATCTTCGACAACATTGAACATTTTATCCACATTCTGATGATAACACATTTTTAGGATTCGTTGTAGACACTGAAGGCGTTAATGAAAACTCTTGTTGAACAGTCATTCTATAAGTAAGACTTCAACATTTCAGTAGAAAATTTCGGAAATCTCAAATGTTCATTCAAAACAGGAAAATAGTCTATCATCTAATCAGTTTTTCGCACGAAACTATGAAAACCTGGAAAACTAAAAATGAACTTCTTCTCTATTTTCTCCCTGCTTGATGACGTAATCAAAAATGGTGAAGAAGAAGAAAAATGAGAGAAAAAGAAGGAATAAGAATAAGAAGAAGAAAAGGAGGAAAACCGACGGATAAAGCACATTTGTTGCGAAAAAGAGCTGAGAAAGAGTGGGTTGGCATGGAAACAAAAGTAAAAAAGAAAAAAGAAATATTGGGGAAGGAAAAAGGGGAAAAAGTAAAAAGAATTATTACTTTCGGAATGGGCGTGTGAGAGTGCTGCTGATACTCTTTTTTTTTCAAGAAAAAAAGCTTTTTGGAGGATGAAGAAGAATAAGAAAAAAGTGAGGAAGATGACTTTTGAAAGAAGGGAAATGGGCTAAAAGAGACGAGATGAAAGGGGTTTTTTGGAAAAAGAAAAAACAGAGATTTTTTTGAGTTTTCCAATAATAAGGTGTCGGGGGTCTTTGTTGTTCGTATTTAGTTAGTAACAGGGGAAACCCGGGAAACTGGACAACAACCTCTAGGGAAGAAAACAACTTTTGAAAATTATCTCAGGAAAAAGAGGGCTTTAAGAAATTCTAGAGATTTGAAATTATTCTTCTTTTGATGAACTTACTGATTTCACGAAATTCCGCCTATAAATCCAAAATATCGAAAACCCAGAAATCTAGATTTGGAGAATCTGAAAAATTGTAAATTTAAAAACTCTGAAATTTCAAAATTCAGATTTTACCTTAAGCTAAATTTTAGAATTTAATTTAGTGAATTCAGTTTTCGAGTTGCTGAAATTTCGAATCTAAATCTCCGAGTTTGGATTTTCTCAATTTCTCGATTTTCGAATTTCTCGATTTCTGATATTTCAAAATTCCAAAATTTCTGACACTCAGAATTTCGAATATTTGAAACACTTTTCTGAATTCGAAAATTAAAATTTCCTAACTTCTCACTTTTTGAATTCATTTATATCCGAATTTATCAAAATTCTGGCTATATTTATTTTCGATATACCGTAGAACCTGTAATAGAAGGGCGTCTGGAGTTTTAATTTTGAGCCAATTTATCTCGGTTCCTGTCAAAGATATAAGAAAGTTGTCAACTGATAAATTGTTCATCATAATATCACCAACATTTCTTTAGTTTACACATTTTTGGTATATTACATGGGAGCTAAGAAAAATTACCTCAAACTTGACAGTGTGGGGAGGGGGCTTTTTATTAGAGGTTTTACGAAATTTTGAAAGAACCCGAAACTGGGTTTTCCGAATTAGGAATCTTTAAAACTCTGAATTTCTAATTTTTCAATTTTCCGAGGGTTCTTTACTGAATTTGACTTCTAAAAACCTGTCAATTCAGAATTAACATATACTGTCAGTTGATTATTTTGTTCAAATCGCATGCTCTACAGTAACACAATTTTCCACGTTATCTTCGTTTTTAATTAAAAGTGCAGAAACGCTTTTTTTTTGAAGACCAATGTGGTTTTAAAACCACAAACTTTGTTTGGTTCTTCGATCACATTATCTTTCTTCTCCACGAAAAAATATTTATTCTTAAAATTAACCGAACTTCTCTCGGTGAAATTCGCAGTTCGCAATTGTTTCTACCGTTGCAAACAAAGAATTGATTCCATTAAAAATGCGAAGAGGAGAGGGATGTGAAAAATCTCAAGAAAAACAGGAGAAGACTGGAACTAATGAAAAGTTCCGAGTACATCATTTGAAATGCTATCATGGAGTACAGAAAAAGGAGGAAGTAGCGTAAGTTTTTCGTATTTGAAGATTTGAGGAAGAATCTGAAATTTTTAGGAGGTTAATGAAGGATTCGGGTCCTGGAACGTTCCTTGTCCGATCATCATTCTTACGATCTGAAGTTGCTCTTGGATTGTTTTTGTCGGTGAAAGTTGGAGTTGGAGAAGTCGATTGTATTCATCATTATCTCATCGATTGTCGATCAGGAGAGTATTATCTAATTCAAGAATTCAAAGATAATAAAGAAAATGGAAAATCGGTGACTGTCGAATCGAAACCTTTTCCGACGCTCGAGGAAATGATTGAATACTATCAACATCATCGTCTCGCATGCAAAATCCGATTGGGAAGACCATTGAAACGACCTCCGTGGCAGTTGAGACACAATCAAGTCCGATATGATGATTCTGGAAAACTTGGATCTGGAAATTTCTGTATTGTTTACAAAGGAAAGCTGGTGAAAAAGGATGGAGAGGTGAAGGATGTGGCAATCAAGGTGTCAAAGGATACGGATAAAGAATCGGCGGCACTGATGGAAACCAGAAATTTGTTGTTTGCAGAAGCAAGAATTATGATGAATTATAAGCATGCAAACGTTATTTTGGTAAAAATTATATTTACAATTTTCGGCTTGAAAATACTTTTTTATAGCTCTACGGCCTCGCCTGTGATCTTCCTCCATTCATGGTCTGTATGGAATTCTGTGCTGGTGGAAGTCTGGAAGATGCTCTGAAAAAGTTTGGAAAGGATATGGAGGAGTTCGAAAGACAGATTCTTCTTATTGACGCAGCTCGTGGCATGAGATATCTCCATTACCAAAAGTGTGTTCATCGTGACCTGGCATCCAGAAACTGCTTGATTTCTTCCGAAGGCAACGTTAAAATTGCGGATTTCGGATTGAGTAAAACTTTGGAAAAGAATCAGACGGCGTTCAAAGAGGCTCTCAAAGAAGCACCACTTGCGTAAGTTGACGTCTGGAATCTATTTTGAAAAAATTTGTTTTCCAGATGGTTGGCTCCAGAATGCATTCAGCGTGAATCAGAATTCTCAATCAAAACCGACGTCTGGGCATTTGGAGTGGTTATCTTCGAAGTCTACAACAATGGAGCAAAACTATTTAATGGAGAAGAAGACACTGCAATCATTCGAAAAATCAAGAGAGCCAATATGCCAACAATTGAAAATCGTACAAAATTACCGAGTATGCAAGCGGTTCTCAGCTCGATTTGGACAAGAAAACCGGACGATCGACCGGATTTTCAGAAAGTTCTAGAACAACTTGTTGCTGCTCTTGTCCCTATTCAACAGTCGGATCTGAAACGAATGCAGATTAATAATCTGAAAGGAGTCTCGAGAACTCAATTGCCGGTAGGTTTTTTCTTATTCATTTGTTTCATATCAGACGAAGCATCGTTTCACACTTTATCAAGAAAATTTATATGAAGTTTCTGAAACACAACAAAATTTTCAGAACACAAGTCTGGAGATGGAAGTTGTGGTGAACGAGGAGCAAGAACAGGATGGGTCATCGGAGAAGAATCGGAATAAATCAAGAAATGGAGAGATGCAAAAAAAGAAAACAGCGAATCGAAAAGAGCGGAACAGTGCAAAAAGAACCACCAGAGAGGATCCACCAAAGACAAGAAAGTCAGTTCCACTTCGTCATACAATTCGGAATCAGCCTGGAGCCCCGTCGGAGTGAAAAAGAAAACTAGAATTTTTCCCCGAATAAAGATTCTGTGTTTTTTTTGGTTTTTATTCTTTATAGTCGAACCAGCCTGGCTAGTGCGCCTACGACGCGCGCGAGTTCGTCGCTTAGCTCCTCCCTTTTAAAAAACTTTCAAATTGAAAAACTAATTAAAATTTCGATTATTGTCCATTTATTAGGCTGGTCCATAAGTTTCTTTCGATTTTGGTAAAATTTTCGATCAAATTTTTCTCAGAGCGGAGGAAGCTAAATTAATGAAAAATGTCCATGAGCATCGGTAGTTGTCTGGCAAAGCTCCGGTAATTTCTTGATTCCATCGGCCCAGATCGAGGAGGGCTGCGATTGGAAGAGGGAGTGAACTCATATTTGAAGTCGTCTTTTCAATCAAAGTCTTTTCTATCAAGATGGTTCTTTAGAGCCTAAAACGACTATTCATCCGAAAGGGCAAGGTCCGGAAAATACTATGGGGGCAAAAGAATGGTCCAGCCAAATGACATTGGTTTTTGGCTGATGCCTCTTGTGACAGGCGATGTCGCGCGGCCCCATGCTTGAGGGTAGGAGTAGTAAGAGATCCCTCTTCATCTATTTCTTATCAGGAAGGAATAAAAACAAAATGACATTTTGAAAGATTTGACGGTAAAGACCGAAAGCAAGCAGCATCCTCGCGAACGATGAGAAGGAGGAATAAGACAAAATGTGCACAGAAAGTCCATGAGATACTCTATCTAACAAAAAAACATCCACCAAGAAATATAGTCCCACTGAACAGATATGAATTTTCAAAGTTTAGCATTCGAAATCGAAAGAAACTTATGGGCCAACCTAATATTTATTACCAGTCCGTTTGCCGCTCCTCCGGCGCTTGAACCCAAGTGCAAACGAGCTCCAGACTGTTGAAAGTTTTCAGAATGGCCTAAAATCCACAAAAAAAATAATTTTTGTGTATCTTATCGACCGGTACTTTAGATATTCTGGATAAGAAACCCTATATATTTTTTAGAACTTCCTGAACGCTAATTGTATCACTGCAATTTTTTAAGAGAACTATAAAAAATGAATGGGCAAAAGTGCATAAATCAGTGCATAAAACAGGTGAATACTTTATTCGATGTACACAATATACAGAAAAATCAGAACCACCACAATTTCGATGTGCGATTCCTTTTCAGCCGGTCGACGTGGCGGAGTGCATATTCCAGTTAATTCACAAACTTCATCAGCATAGAATCCAGCAGAAGCATAAATCTAAAGTGCATCCTTCCCTCTCACCATTTTCGCACACGAACCTGAAATATTTTTTTGGTCATATTCTACCATTCTTTGATTTTAACCGCTCACGGCCACTCCAACTACCGTATTCCAACCATCAATTTTAGTAATTGCTCCACCGCCAGAATCACCCTAAACAACTTTAATTGTGTTCTTATTTGAAACATTGTGTTACCGAACAAATAGTCGTTTTATGATTGAAACTTTTTGCTGTGAAAAGTCTCGACTCCATACGAAGCACCACACCGTCCGAGGTGTATTCTGCCACCTAAATTTTGAACTATTGTAAGCAATAAAGTTTTCAATAGTGAACCTTAGCCTTATGATATAACAGTCGATGTTTTGACAATGAGTTTGAGGAAGATGCGCTGGCGCTGGAATTATAAATAATTGCAGATTTTCTTAGAAAAAGTTAAAGATTACGGTTATCTCCATATCCAAAGAAATCAAGATCGGTCCCGAGTGCATTATCATTGATATCTCCTGTGTAAAAAAACTTTTTTCAAACAAAAAAGAAATCTCTAACTTGCAAAGCATGCCGGTTGGATTTCAGAAGTATAATCCAAGTCTTCTGCCAACTCGACAATCATAAAATCATCAGGAGTTTGGTAGATATAAAAGTCATCCAGAATTTTTCGGCAAAATTGAATCATGTAACGCTGGAGAAAATGGGTTAAAAAATTAGATTCTTAAAAAACCTACAAACTTGGATCTCCCAATAGTTGTTTCATTTCTGCTCAATACGGTTACTTTACTCGCTTTCACTTCAGTTACGATTAGATGTCTACACCCGAAAATAAAATAAAAAACTACAGTAACCGGAAAAAAAACTAACTCTCCATTGCTGCAATCTTCTTTTTTCACAGGAAAGTTGACATCTGTCTCAATCTATTCTTTTTTATTTCCATTCGCAGAACAATGTGTTGCAGTTAGAATATGTCTTGGAGAGATGACTGTTCCTGAACAATGTGAAGAACCATCTGATTTCAAAGTGTGAACCATCACTGTCCATGGAGCTTCATTTTTCTTCACCGCTGTACCTCTGAACACTTTGGCTGAAATTTTCCAATTTCAGAGAAGAAAAGAAGGGGCTGCCTACGTTTCACAGTTATTCCACAGTGTTCTAATCATTTCTCATTTTCTTCAGTTGTCAATTTTCGACTATCAAAACAAGCAATTAGATAGAAAATCAAAGTCAACAGAATAATTTTCATTGCTATAGACAGAGCTAGAACTAAGATTATTAGCTGGGAGTCAAGAGCTGGATTCATAGAAAAATGTTGAAAATAGAGATCACGTTCAAAATAGAACTTAAAGTTAACCTGAAAAAAAAATCGAAAACTTCAATTTTGCTAGTTACCGTAAGACCTGTAATAGAAGGGGTTCCTAACTTGAAACTTTGAGTCTATTTATCTCGAATCGAGATTCTCGATTCCTGTCGAAGATATAAAATAGTTGGCAATTGATAAAGTGTTCATCGTAATATCGAGAATGTTTTCTCAGTTAACACATTTTTGATATCTTGGAAAGGAATTGAGTTAATGGAGCTCAAACTTGACAGCTTGGGAGTCCCTTCTATTACAGGTCTTACGGTAACTGGTTAACCTAGAAATCAAACAACTTTTTGAAGAGATAATTTATTGATAAATAAACCACATGAAAATTGGAATAAGAAATATAGAAAACCGAATAACTCCATTCTCATCTTCTTCAGAATCCGGAGTGCAAATTCCAGTGAGATCGCATATATCGTCGGAATAAAAACCAGGTGCACCATAGATTTCGTGTCCTTCCGCACCTCGATTCATGAAAACACAAGTAGCTGAAAAAAAGTTGCTGAAAATGATAGTATACACGTGGGTTCAGGCGAGGGGGTCAGAAAGCGCGCCCCAGTAAATTTTTCAAAAATTCTCATTTGGCTGCCGGCGCTTGTTGACTGACAATCATATGCATTAGGCCGACACGTTTTTTTTTCAATATTTTTCG